ATCACTAGTTTACAAAGCTTCACAATTATTAATGTTGATTTATTAAAATAAATTGCGCCATGCCTTTTAGATTTAGTGAAGATGTATATATATATAATATGCGTACTTGTAATTTATGTTTAAATTAATTTTCAAACCCATGTTTTCTTAAATTTGATGTCTAATGCGGTACATTTCGTCAAGCTTTGCATGTAAGAATGTTTCAAAAAACATTTTGTAATGGTAGGATCGTGTATGTACGTGGGTGTTTTATTATTGATTTTCAAAAGGTATGTTCCGCACTGTTTCTGACCAAAATTTTGATGAAATAACAAACTTCAAAAACATTTTGGAAGTCGTGATTTTTTTCAGCTCAATCGGTTAAAAGAAACACCCGCAACAAATCATCGAAATTTACCTCGAAAATATGCAAAAATTTACGACTTGATTCCATTATCATCCTAAAATCGTTTCCCCCTGATGTTTTTCTTCAACGTTTGAAACGGATAATAATCACTAAGGGTCCTGTCTGGACTGCACGGGGGGTGGTCTGTGCAGGTAAAGCGATTTTCGTCTGCATCAGCTCTCTAAAACAGTGAGGTATTTGGTGGCGCGTTGTCGTCTAAAAAAAGGCCAACTCTTTATTTTGACCCCGCGTTTATTTTCAACCGCAGAACGCAGCTCCTTTTGGGTTCCTGCATACGCGACCCCATTTATCGTAGTATTTCTAGCAATAAATTTTATAAGGAGGAGACCTTTGGTATCCTTCCAACTGATCATCATCAATGTTTTGGCAGATTTTTGCACTTTTCCTTTTATGTGTGGTGGAAATCCCCTGTGCTTCCAATGCATGAATTATTGTGTGGTCGTCGGGTCATAATAGTAAACCCAAGTATCTTATTCAACTACTAAAATATGATACAGGTTCCAGTATTCATTTAAAAGCTCAAAATTTGCATTGCAAAAGCAACTCGATCTTGTTTTTGAGATGCCAAAAGCAATTTTGATACCCAACAGAAGGAATCCATTTTCATACCTAAGTCTTCAGTTAACATGGAACAAATTATTGGTTTTGGAACACCCATCTCATCTGCTAAATAGGACAGTTTCAATCGTGGATCTCTAATAATTGGGTCTTTAAGTTTCTGGAGGTTTTCTGCGGTGGAAACCGATTTTGGGTATCCTGGCGACTTTTTTGTCTGGGACATCTTTTCGCCTTTATTTGAACTTATCGACCCAATTGTATTTGTGCTTTGTGTTGAGCAGTTTCCATCGTAAACTTTAAGCATTCAATCATAAATCTGCGACACATATTGCCCCTCCAGCAATAAAATTTAAATCACACTACGATGTTTAATTTGCAAGTGTGACATTTTTTCCGTCGAGGTAAAGTTTGCTGATTTATTGCTAGTGTTAATGTTAACCTAAAGGGCTGAAAAAAATCACAGCATCCTAGATGTATCTAAAGTTTGTTATTTCATCAAAATTTTGGCCAGAAACAGTGCGGAACATACCTTTTGAAAATCAATAATAAAACACCTACGTAGTATCCAGGTGCGACATTTTACTGCATTTTTTGTACAACAAAGCACATATCTGCAGGATTTGAGCCTGACGGTAAGTGATATTGCCAAGCAATGAATGTAGAAATAGCTCGATATTAAAGTTTTGATTTTGATAACAAATATTTACAGACCGGACAAATTTTAATACCAAGCGGAAGCGATACAAACTTAATTGCTGAAAAATCTATACCGCATACCTGACAGATTTCTACACAACAGTGAACTTACTTATGTGGCTATGTCAGCAACAAAGATTGAGTGTAATGCGTAACTCTATCAAAATAATTGAGAAAATAGCTCATTTCTACCCCATTACGTAATGTGTCCACCGATCTCAGAAATTCGAGACATATCGAATTCGGCAACATCGAATCGAGCACCCTTTTTCTATACGGAACTCTCCCATCCTCCATTCTCATCCATCTCAGAAACGTTTTCGACAGAAGGCCAACCTTCGCCATGACAAAGATCGCATAAAACTCGATGATAAAGCAAAAAACTAACATCGCTGTACACCCCACGATCAGCGGTAACGATTTCCCGCCACGGTCAACCATCAGAAACAGCGCAAACGTAGACCTTGTGACTGCCGAGACGTGATGCAAACACGGATTTAGGAATTCACGGAACAATTCTTACTCAACCAATGTCATGATTCGGAGCATGTTGTACATTTTTATGGCCTCTGTGAAACCTAGGGCACCGCGAAGTTTGAAATTTCCCCTATTATTTTCCGGCGTGAGAAACAAAGTCCACACGAAGAGACATCCGATAGCTGATAATGAGAATGCAAATTCCTATCGTGGATACCATCATACTAAAGCCAACCGTAGAAATGAAGCCGAGCGAAATTTGAATCGCAATGGAAACGATTGTTCCATACATTTCGAAATTATGTACAGCGCGGAGCATGGTGTAGACAGGATTCCAAATTGAGAAGGAGAAAAATCCCACCAAAATTGGGACAATATAATCCAGTAAGAAGTAAAATACTCCAGGAAAGTGAGTCATTTGCTTGACGGCAGCCTTAACGTCGGGCCCTCGGTCGTAATCAGGGCGCGGAATCATGGCTGCAAGAAATTCAAATATTAAAGGACGTGACACACCCAATAATAAACTGGCGAAACGCACGTCAGTTCAATTTTCAAAAAATTGGGGAAGGTCGAAGCAGTGTTTTATTTCTTACGGTTTCGGTACATTTCTAGCACTACAATGCAATAAACTCAAGAAGTGAAAGACGCAAGAAATGCGAGGTGCAAGAAACTGCAAGAAATATGCACCCTATGAACTATGCGCGGCGGGGCGTCGTTTCTTGCGCTTTGCATTTCTTGCAGGTCGATATAGCTGCAAGAAACCACTTTCTTCTACCATTATGTCTTACACCTGGTTACTCACACCGGAAACACTGAATCAAACTATTTCGCCCCGTTGGATGTGTCATTTCCTTTAAATGGGTTTATTTATTAAGTAGCGTCAGCTACTTATTGTGATCACTTTGTCCGTCTGTCCGTCCGTCCGTCCGTCCGTAAGCAGGATATCTCGAGAACGAGTCAACATAATCAAACCCCGTTTTCGCCATTGTACTTCTAATTTTTAGTTCTCGGTCGAGTTCGAAAATGGGGTCAATCAGACCACCCTCCACAGCGCCAGGGGGTGTGGTCCAAAATTAAATTCAGGTTAATTTTCATATGGGGTGTCATTTTAAAGGAAATTTGACCGCGATTTCAATGACGTTAATATTTTTGACCTCATGACCTTGTGGACGAGGTCACAGGTCAAAAAGGGACTTAATTGTCATATGGGGTGTCATTTTAAAGGAAATTTGACCGCGATTTCAATGACGTTAATATTTTTTGACCTCATGACCTTGTGGACGAGGTCACAGGTCAAAAAGAGACTTAATTGTCATATGGGGTGTCATTTTAAAGGAAATTTGACCGCGATTTCAATGACGTTAATATTTTTGACCTCGTGACCATGAGGACGAGGTCAGGGGTCAAAAATATACAATTGTCAGATACAACGTCATTTTTAAGTAAATTTCGATCGTTCTGACGCTACTTTTTTATATTCGTTTGTAAGGGTTTATTTAAGTAACAGGCTCACATTCCAGCGTGCTCTCCATGTTTAGAATGGCTTCGTAGCTCGAGATGTATTTCCTAGCGCCAGATGGTTTCATCAGAACCCTGGCGTAGCAGAGGTACGTCGGAATGACAAAGCTGATCAGATAAGTGAGACAAACCGTGATGATTTCCTCCTCTGAGGTGGTCGCTAAGTGGTAGCATCTCGCCCAAAGGGCGGGAACTATGATAACTCCTGCATTAATGTTGATTGCTTGAAAAGCTTTTACGCGTCAATTTACCCGAGGTTGGGTAACCCGGGAGTTTTTAGAGTCCCAACAAAAATAATAAACTGTGTACAGGGTGGCACGCTGAGTCGATAAGACGGCGGTATGAAGGAAATTTTTACACACGACGTCTAACATTTTTGAATTCTCGGGTATCTAGTTCTCACTGAATTTTATTGGACGAGAACAGACGCATTCGTACAGATCGAATGACGCAAAAGGTTGAAACTAGGTCTATTATACGAAAAGTTTGTTACAATTTAGCACAATTTAAGACAAATTTAACCCTAAAATGCATAAATACAAATTATATGCACATTTCTAAACTACAAATGCAATATGCAATATATGTAAATAACTGGACTGGTAAATTACCGGTTAAATTTTTTGATGTTAAATTTAGTAAATATCTCTACTACATTTTCTCTTTCCGGTTGACATGCAAAATTATTTGACGTTTTTACGGTTGGGCGAATACAAATAAACAGTTTATATACTTAAAAAAATTAAACCATCAAAACCATCAAAATTACAACAATCTGAAATATAATATTTCAAATATTTGGATAATTACGAAATACAGTAACTTGCATAGTATGTAAAATGCAAATTTAGAATCATTATGTAGATTTATGTCGTTGTGCATATTTATTTATCTTTATGCACATATGTATTTGGGCACACAAATATGTTCATAATTATTTACACTTAATTTACAGTATGCAGTGACGCGAATGAATGCATCCTTACTTAAAATTATGACATACTGAGTCTTCAGACCCTTCATTTATGTATAACTGAAGAGGACAATTTACCACAACCCGAATCATATGTACATATGTATGTATGTATGTATGTCTGTATGTACATATATATATAAATAAAGTGGTACATTGTGGCAGATAAATTGTGTAATGTAGGTATATATATGTATGTATTGTATATGCATACGTGCATATATGTATCTACATATATATATTTGTATGTACACATCTACATTTGTATCTTTAACGCAGTGCACTCTTACGTATCTTCACAATTATCTAGAGATAAAAAGGATTCAAATTAAATAGCAGCACACATCGTAGCTTTACCTTTTTATTTTTCGGTTAAATATTTATATGACAAACAAAATTACAGGAAGGGTACTCACAATTATTTTGTATTCCTTAGCATCGTAAAATAGTTAACAGATAAAACAAGTGGTCTTGCTTCATAGAAATTGTTACGGATATGTAGCTTATTATGTTGTAATGCGTAATGTCACGACGCTTACAAAATCTGTTCAGCCTTGTAACTTATTTTACGACACGAAGAGTAACAATAATTCCATCTCAACTGGTCCATCCTCCCCCCACACGGGACGCGAGATCACTAAAATACCAACAAAATGTTGAAATAGCCAAAATTTCGAGAGCAACTAGCTTCACAAGTTTCCGAAAGAAAAGAAGTAATCCTAATTTTATCAATTTCTTCACTTTAAAGGGTCCCACAGGATTCGGTACTAGAGCTAATGACACCGTTGAGGAGGTAGGAGTCGCTACCGTTGTAACATCACAATTTGGGCAATAGCAAGCGCAAACAGAAACGTACAAGTCGGGTGGCGCGATGGCTGCGGGTAATTCGCAAGCTTCTCCAAGTCCCCCAATACACACGGTGCGACACATCGCGTTACACTGCGCCCTAGTCAGGACACTGTCGACCGGCGCGATTGGTGAGGGCGGGCAAAATGTAGGTTCAAAAAGTGGGGTGGGAAGCTACAAAAAAATATTTTTTTAGAAACGCATCAATTCAATTTTTCTGTATTTTTTGAACAAATCGTGTTTAAAACACTATGTTAATTTAAATGTCTTAAAAAAGAGAGAGGAAATTCACGCAGTCTTTGCAAACTTTGTAAAATTCGTAAATTCTGTAAACTTTCACAAAACTCTACCAATATTTAGAGTGAAAATTGACGCTTGCATTTTTGTATTCTGTAAGCTCACTCAGATCAGGGGGTCTACATAGTTTGTAAAATATTGTAAAATTATTTTACAACATTGACGGATTTGCAAAATTACCAGAATTGCCTTCGTGATTACATAAAACCCACAAGAATTCCATTCTGACCAAACATAAATTTTTTAGTGATCTTTCTATAAATTTCAGAAAAAAATTCTGATTAGCTCCTGATTTCCAAATATAAAGTTTCAAAAAATAAATTTTATAGCTCGAAATTTATCGAAATTTTGAACATTGCCCCACTTACCGCTGCGCCACAAGTAGAGTCACATTGGCAAAGGCCGTCTCCTGCACGACACGTTGCCGTCGTTCCCACGCCACAAAGCAATCCGCAAAATTGGTCCCCCGGAAGGCCCAGCACCGGTGCCCCACAGTTTCGCTCAAACGTCTGACCTTCCACCTACATATTTACCGAAAAGTTCAAGTCAAATCATTTAAGGACACTTTATGCAATCATGGCTACATGTGTATATAACCTTTGCAATTTTTTACAAGTGCAAATTTGCGATAATTTGTAACCTTGCAAAATCTGTGTACAACGTATGTATGTTTATTAAATATTTATTACTGGTTTACAAACATTCAGGTGAATATTAGCAACTTTGTTAAACTTCGATGGTAAACATGTCACTATTTTTTTGTCCATATTTTTTTTAATTTCCGGCATAAATGCCATATTTTTTCTTAAATTTACGGATCCTGCATAAATGATGTGATGAATTAAAAAAAATTGGTGGGTATACATACATAAATTGAGGCAATTAACGCCGTCATTTGTAACATATATGTACATAAAATCTGCAAATTTTATAAAACAATTTTTTTAACCTTTTATAAAAAAAAGACACAAAATTTGTACAATTTTGTGAAAGTTTGAACGCTTGCAGAATTTACAGTTTATAATGTTACCAAAACCTGTGTGAATTTTCTAATTATAAATATGGTAATTACGCCCTTCAGATCTCAAACACTGTCGGGTTAAGATCCCCTCGAACCAATCACATCCTTTATGCACCGCCCCTCGTAATTTTACCAAATTACAAAACTAACGTCTAACTAAGATATATATTTAAATATGTACACTCACCCAACTAAATTTCACCACGAACTGAACCCCCACAATAAAAAATAGTGGGATATTTTTACCCAATAAATTCAGAAATAATTCCCCTCTCAGCCGAACCGTCCCCACACTTGGCGTCATGTCGAACGATGAGGAACGACTAACACACAAAAATATTAAAATAAACTGCAACCATGACAATGGCATAAATTTGTCACTTTTAATTTTAGACGACAAAAGTAACATGATGGACACGTACATATACATAATTACAAATGTCATGCTTGATTGACGCGAATGCAAAACTTACTCGTCATCTTCTCGCCTGGTTCTTTATGCGTGTACCCAACACAGATTTGTGTTTACATATATTTGTATACAATTATTTTTTCCCGTCGTTCATGTGAAAGTAAATAAATAAATGAGCAAATCAGTGACAACCAAATTCGGACTGAGATTTATGGGTGTATTGTTTTTTTCACTCTGAGACGCGTCTGGTTTGACCAATCTGTCATAAATGGTGGGTCATTACTCGACACTTGTAGTTTTCATGGGATCCACTAATAAATAATGTAAATATGGAGGCGAAGCTGTGAGGAGGTTAGTTATCATAGAAGTAAATTTCACACTGTGTTAAATCTGAAAATTTACAAATAATTTCTCAATTTTCAAACACTACTCCGTTGAGACGAATGTATGTATGTACGTATTTACATAGGCACGAAATGAGCAATATTTCATCTGTAGGGATAACAAATTCAAACCAACTTAAAAAATCTATCGAACCCACCAACGAAATTTTCCGGCTGGGCTAGGTGAACCGCATTTAGAAAATTTAGAAAAACAAGCGATTTGTACATATTTACATAATATGCAGAATCGATCTCCGTTTAGAATTTCTTATGTAATTCTAAATGCGAAATAAAAGTATATTCATGGAAAGGACGACCATGCACAGAACTATCTACGTATTGATACCACTTTGACATAGTCATACATACATGAATACCGCTTGGTATTAACTTAATACTGGATTTCTAAAATTGCACAATTTAATCAATTTATACCGCAAAAAGTTTATTGTCAATGCAAAGGATAAAATTGGGGAATAAATTTCTCCACCATGGTGAACTTACATATTTACTCATGCATGTACATATTAGCTCTTATCATGTACATAGCATGATTATCTTAAATTTCTTATTAACTGAAACATTCCAGAATACATATAAATAGGTCATTGTCCAAAGGTTTTCTCAACATTCCGCGTCACACATATGCGGGCCTGGGTAGTCGACAGAGACAAGTGCAAGCGGTGCATTCAGAATACGTGTAGCGATGGTATATGCAAATGGTTCTGCACGTCGTTCCAATTTGCCTCGCCGTGGGCCAGTTTGTGATACGAAGAATTAAAATATATTTTAAAATTTATTAGTGTCCAATGTCGATAAATAATTCATACGGAATGATGCGGGGTTTAGTTAATTTCGTTATTAATAATCGCTTGCTGATAAAATTTACGAAGTATGGGTTATTTATAATCTATATTATAAGCTGGAAATGTCTGTCGGGGACGGGAGTGAAAGGAATTTTCCGTGACGGAAGTGAAAGTGGAGAAAGTGATTTGCACATCAACTGTTTTGGAAGGTTGATAAGTCAGTTATCCAGGATTTGCTGGTTAGCTTATCAGGAAGGGAATTTAACGGAAATTATTAAGCGTGGTTGTCGCTCTGCTGGGGGGAATAATTGGTTGTGTCCATTTTGGCTATGGTTATCGCTCTGCAGGGGGGGCAGGATGGGTGTGCCCCCCTGGGATATGGTTATCGCTCTGCTGGGGGGAGTGGGAGGGTGTGCCCCCCTGGGATATGGTTATGGCTCTGCTAGGGGGAGTGGGAGGGTGTGCCCCCCTGGGATATGGTTATCGCCCTGCTGGGGGGAGTGGGAGGGTGTGCCCCCCTGGGATATGGTTATCGTCCTGCTGGGGGGAGTGGGAGGGTGTGCCCCCCCTGGGATATGGTTATCGCCCTGCTGGGGGGAGTGGGAGGGTGTGCCCCCCCGGGATATGGTTATCGCCCTGCTGGGGGGAGTGGGAGGGTGTGCCCCCCTGGGATATGGCTATCGCTCTGCTGGGGAGGGAAGCGAGGGTGTGCCCCTCTGGGATGTGGTTACGCTCTGGGGGAAGGGGTATGCCAGACATTATCATTTATATTTGCCTATTATCCCAATGCTAAGTGTGAAATGTTGGTCACTTTCCGAAGGGACATTAGTTCCTTTATTCCGGATATTTAAGGAACATTCTATTCCGTTCAGGCTTATTCAGGCCCGTTACAAAACCAGTGACATAAATTTCACTATGTGTGGATGACGGGAAGGAGAACGGATTCCATTCCCTTCATGGGTAGACAATATTCATATCGGATTTAAAGATAGATTACTTAGGCTACATATAAGGGAAAGGAATTCCCTTCTTCTTCCATTCCCCTTGGATATACTTCAGGCGCAGTATGGAAATCTTCATATCAATGGAAGGGAATGGGAATGGAATTCCGTTCCCTTCATGCGTGGACTATACAGTTATCGTTATGCTGAAAGGAATATGGGATGCAAGATATTAGCTCAGGAGTTTGCCTATCGAAAGTAGTTACACCCCCAGTGTTGGGTGTGATCTATTGGTGGGGTCAGGCACCTAAATGAAATCAGTCATTTCATATTTTTTCAAGACTCCTGGTGGACCATATTATTATTGGATTGTTTAAATTGCAAGATATTTACTTAGCCGATACATAAGGGAATGGAATTCCCTTCCATTCCCTTTGGATACACCTCAGGGGAAGTAGTGAAATCTCAAAAAGAAGGGGAATGGATTCCGTTCCCTTCATGTGTGGACTATATGATAGAAGGAATGACGGGAGTGCCGGATATTAGCTGGGGAGTTTGCATATCGAAAGTGGCTGCACCCTCAGTTTCGGGTGTGATCTGTTTGTGGGGTCGCGCACCTAAATGACCACTACCTCTGTTTGATTTTGCCGCATTGGGATGTGGTTATCACTGTTGGGGGTGTGCGGGCTGGAGCCGCAGTGAAGTCGTCAAACGATGGTGAACGGGGAGGGTTCCGTTCCTTCCCTCTTCCCGTCGGTTATACTTCGGAAGAAGTAGTGGCATCTTTGTATGAAGGGAATGGAAAGGGAACGGATTCCCCTTCCCGCTATTTCATATTTTGTCTAGACTCCTTTCCAGCTCTCACTGCATACACATATACATAAGGAACATGCTGCTCCCAACGACAGACAAAAACACAGTAGCCGCGGAAGGGTGGGGACGGATGGACGAGGGAAAATGTCCTCGCGGTTATTCGATGTTCCCATCGGCTGCCCATGTTATACACATTCCATTCCCTTCATGTGCAGACTGGTAGATTTAAGGAATGGAATCCGTTCCCTTTCCATTCTCTTCATTAGGGAATAAGGATTCCGATGAATTCCTCAAATATTCTACTGGAACAGATTTTGAAATCTGAGCACGAATATAATATCACACGCGCTTTGACATGCCACACACCAGTGACCGCGTGGACCAAGTCAAATGTCACATATGTCGAACACGTCAAACGTGTCTTTGTTAACACAATTTGAATCGGGTATAATAATATGATGATTTTCCATGGATCCATTCTTTGAGCATTGTTGAGATTTCATAAATATTTTAATTTTCTTACCATCCACTTCCATCATCAACTCAAACCATCAATTTCACGTTCTTTGCAAATTCCTTTGACTTCCGTCGGTGACAGAACTTGAGCTTATTATATAGATTAATGTATTTAATTGGTTGGAGTTTTCCAAAATTGCACTCAATTTTCATGAAAATCAAGTAAGCTCGCGCCCGGCGGGAGACGGGCTTATACGCTAGTATAATATATTTGAATATATATTAACTTACATATGTATGTGCACTGTAAATAATATGGGTACAAAATTGTCACCGAGTGAAGACCACGTGCGTAACAATTATTGTGCAAAAAATCAAAGTTTTAGTATTATCTTGGAACCAAATTTTTTCGACAAGGTGTTGTTATTATGTAACATAATAACAACTACATATGCACTTTCGCCAGGAAGTTTCTGTAATATATGTGTAAAATCGTTACCCATTACGATTCTGCCACTAGATTATTTAATGTGTAGTTAATCTTAAATTTGAACTAGTTTAACTCATAAAGGATCAATTGTATGTATAATATTTACAGGAAAAAAATTAGATTATGTATAACATAAACCCCAGTTATATAAGTAAATATGAGATTACTTTCTGCCAGGTGTTGTCGTCGGATTGTTTCCGACGAATTTTCTAAGGATTCAAGGATAAAAGTAAAGTCAGTGAATTTGCTCTAATTTACAAAAGGCCGAGTTACGATGATATTGAGTATAAAACGGGAATTCTCCTCATCGAAGATCAACCATTTGTACAACAGTTCATATACATATCATCAGCCTAACCTTGTTGCACGAAAGTTAGTTTTTAACTTGAAATCTAATTTCTAATTTACTTACATCGAAAAATGTCAAAATTTTACGCCAAAATATGTTTTGTCTCGCTCATCGCTGGGCTTTTATTGAGCCAGGTGAATACATACATAAATACATAAATTTGCCCTACTTTTACACGCTTATTCGAATTTCCGAGTGAAACTAGCTGGCTTAAAAATTACAAGTATAATTTTATTATTTTCTTTGTATTTTTGCCCAGATTGTCGCCCTACAAGAATTCAAATATCGGAGGGAAGTGCGTACTTACACACAGGCTTAAAAATTATGCATAAATACTTATAATTTTACGCCAAAATTATTATTGTCAATTTATTTTTTCATCAAGATTGTCGAACAAAAAGATCCTTTTCCAGGTCAAGATGACCAGGATTATCCTGACCTTTTAATCGAGGGGCCGGATGAGACGTCAAATGATGACGATGCCGTACTCGAAGGAGAAATTGCGCTAACCGTAAACGGGGCAAATGGCACGTCGCGAGCTTGTTCGTACTGCGGGGGTTTGGGCAGAATTTCCTGCAGCAACGGTTGTTATGTACGGTATCGCTATCGCTATTCTAGGTGCACGTCGTGCACTTGTCGCTGTAGCACGACCAGAAACGTGTGATGGAATGTGTTAAAAAATCCTGGAAAAACCCTGTATTCTGGACTGGAAGATATACATAAGTTAATCTATGGAAAAACTATCAAAATACTATCAAATTTTGTGTACATATGCTATCGAAATAAAAATGTTTGGGTGAATGCTTATCAAATCGTTACCTACGTTTTCTTATATGTTGGCAAATTATTTAACGTGTAGTTAATTTAAATTTTGAACTAATTTGCTTACGTACATATGTAACTGATAAAGGATCAATTGTAAACGTAAAAATCAGATTATAACAGAAGTGCTGCGGCGTCGGAGGCGAGGAACTCTGGTCGAGGTCAATGCTGCCGATGCGCGATGGTGCTTCGCGATGACCAATAAATCTGATTTCCTATTCGTAAAACTTGGGGCGCCGCACCGTGCCGCTGAAAAATCACTCAAAATAATCACCGCCAAATTGGTCTGCGTTAACATCTGTTCTGGACTCTACAAGATTTCTAGCAGCGCATATATATGCACAGTATTCTTATTTTCTATGTAAATTAAATTTTTCATGAACAAATGGTTATTTCAAAATTATTTTGGAAATTTATATTTTATTATAATATTAATTATATATATTAATATATTATATAATATAATATAATATATGAATTAATATATTAATTATATATTTTATTATAATATTTTATTATCCATCTATTTAATCTTAATTTTACTAGGAATCAACAAGCATTTGAGCATTAAAATATTGTTAATTAGGTAACTTGCAATTCACGATATTTTGTCATTCCAATATTTGCAGAGTCCGCAATTTTTTCTCAATTCTTTCGAAAATCAGTAGCTCGATTGTAAAGGAACGGTCTAAAAATAAAAATAATCCTAAAATATCTTCCTAAATTGAATTTGAATGTGAAACAAGAAATCGTAGCACTAAATGGGTAAGCTACATGCAGTATGTACATATGAATGTATGTGTAGTTTCTGTGTATTAAATATCTTATTTAACAATACACGCTCACCGGTCCAGTAAAGAGGTCAATACTTACCTCATAATGTATGTACATATGTACGTTCAGAACCAAAAATACGCTTCCTTTTTCAGTAAAGGTTAATCCTTAAGCATGTAAATCTAAAAACAAATGGACATACATACGAAGAACAAGTGAGAGAAAAGGTTCATAACATTCGCATGATTTGTCTAAGAAAATTAGCCCATCGGCCAAGCGAAAATGAACAGAAAATAAATTTCCTTCAAAAATTCAAATTTTTGCATGATATGATTTCGAACCCATGGAATCAGAATATGTATGTACATAGTTGGTGGGGTGTTTGATACTAAAGCCAAACAAAGTTTTGAGTTGTAGATATGCAATTATCTCGAACCGATAACGACAATATGTTAGGAGTTTGCGTTGGATCTTACATATGTATTAACCCCTTAAGGCGGATGGAGAAAAATTGCAGTCCTCATGGAATCGGCGTCAATACAGAAACAGGTTAATGTCTTCCTACAAGATCGATGCACCGGTCGGGCAGAGAGACAATTAACTTTAGAAAAAATCCTGTTTGTAGCCGAATGGATCTCAATAGCCGACCCGCACACATGTGAAAACGGTTGAACTTGCATGCAACTTGTATGAGACAAGGCTATAAACATGTTAACACATTACATACAGTCAATGGAAAAAGTATTGGCAACCCCCACGCCAGCTAAATACAATTGACTGTAACGTTGGAATGCATTATACAATTGGCATGAAAATTTGTAGGCCTTTAGCAAATATAATGTAGTTTTCGATTATAGTCATGTTTTATTGATTAAAACTAGATAAGCACAGTTTTTAAATAATTTGTTGGAAAATTTGCAAAATTAACCCGCAAAAAGTATTGGCAACATGTGGCCAAATTAATTACGCGAAACAATTTTCTTAATCAGCTACCACATTTCATTACGGTAAGTTAATTAGGTGACCAAATATGACGTTAGCTACATTTTAAGTCTACAGTTGTGTTGTCTGGAGCCAAAATGGCGACACCAAACGAGCTGTATTGGCGCCGGGAGAAATAATCATGTCTCTTTCACAAAAAAGCTTTCTTATCGAAAATTCAAAGAGAAAACATACTTTTCCATATTTACTATTGAAAACGTAGCCAAGAAATACAAAATGGCAATCTCAGTTTCTACTTTTCCATGGTGCGAAAGGAAAAAGTCACCTACGCCCACGAGCCACTGATGAATCAAGCAAATTATCACTCGAGATCGGAAGATTTCAGCTCCCAAAACCATGTTGAATTTGAGAACCAACTGTGGGGTCAACATATCATGCAATATTGTGATCAATCAAAAATCATGCCATGGGGTTTCAGGGTCCAGAAGCTCGACTGACGCGAGGGCCCCCAAAACGAACCAACTCAATAAATTGGAATGGACTAAATACCACCCTGAATAGACTTCCAATGAATGAAAAATGTTCTGCTGGTCTGACATAAGCATATTTTGCTTATTCGGAGCCAATTGAATGGTTCAAGTCTGGCGGATGCCATAATAGGCTCACAAAAACGAATATGTTCCTATGACAGCTAAACACAGAAGAGGAGCGATTATGGTTTGGGGTTAAATGACTAGGTCGTGGCGTAGGTAGCTGGTCATTATCGATGGAATCATGACCAATGAGGTCCAAATAATCATTCTAAACGATAATTTTAAATTGTTTGATAAAAATCTAACCTATGAAAGAATTTTATATTCCGAAAATTCAGTGACCCCAAACATGTAGCCAATTTAACGATGCAAGGTTTTGGATATCGAAAAGGTTAAGCTTCTTTCGTTGGCCACACAGTCTCCCAATGTGATTCTGATTGTCCGGATTGAGAAAAGAGGGACTGGTGGGAAACCACTCTTCGAAAAATGAGCTTGTCAAAAGTTCGAAGGAAGTGTGGGCAGGCATATAAAAAAACGTTATATAGGAACTTGTCGAATAAATTCCACGACGTATTTTTGCTCGTATTGCGTCGAGGGGAGGTGCTACGTAATATTAGAAGCAGTTTGTCATAATAAAATTGGCGTTTCATTGATTTATGATTTTTTAAGTTAAGGGTTGCCAATACTTTTTGCGGGTAAAGTTTGCAAATTTTCCAACAAATTATTTAAAAACTGTGTTTATCTAATTTTAATCAATAAAACATGACTATAATCGAAAACTACATTATATTTGCTAAAGGCCTACAAATTTACATGCCAATTGTATGATGCATTCCATGGTTATAGCAAATTTTATTTAGCTAGCGTGGGGGTTGCCAATACTTTTTCCATTGACTGTAAGAGAATTTTAAAAAAAAACTTCATTTTCACACATTGGAGTTACAGAAAATTAGTTTTGGCGAGAAAATATAAATCATTGTAACTGTACTCTATAGCATATCCTGCAGATACATATTTTTCAGAGATAAAATGAGCAACAATTTATTTTAACTTTCACAGACATACATACAGAGTATTATTGCGCCTTAGCGGGAAAATTAAAACTTTGCAGGAATGTTTTAAATTTATAAACCCGTCGTTCCATAATTACCCCCACCGATTATTTATTATTTTCCAGTTGTTCTGAATAGTTTTCTATGTTCCCGCCTAAAGCGGGGTTTGGGCAATCTGGATTCGCCAATTAACAAAGTTTGCGAATTTTACACAAATTATTTGAACAATTGCAAGCATTCCTTAAAGCGTTTATGTAACTCTCCCGCCTAAGGTGTCATATGCATGCATTGTAAAATATATGCTTGCTCATTTTGTCCCTGCGGAAATATTATTTGCAGCCCATATTAAGAATTTTAACTTACTTTTCGACATACTTATTTCAACATAAATACTTACATATTTGGTTCTCTCGTCGATAGTTGCGCCTGCCGAATGGACAGATTTGTACACATTTTAGAGTATTTTGAAATAATTACAAAATTATCATTTAAGTAAAAACATGTCATCCATTTAGAGTTATTTTTTCGAGGTTTAATTTTCAAGCACGATCTGAATTTGTTTCAGAGCCAGACATACATATGTGCGAAAATAAAGTTATCTTGAATTTCCTATGTATCTAGATTAGCATTAGTGCCATGTTCATCCAGCCTTGTACGCAAATTAAAAAAATTATCCTATTTTAACTCGACGTGCTGAACTGTTCAGCCTGAACACTTGCATACATATATAACTCAATTCAGTGATCTGAATTTGAAACTTCCCACGTTAAGGTGTACACATATGAATTAAGTAAGTATGGTTATTCCCAACAATTTCTCTACATGTCCACCGTCCCGCATTTAAAGGTTAAGAGAAAGCTTCAGCCGATCGTCTAATAATTCTGAACAAACCACAAAATGAATTCCTATATTTAGATTGGGACTTACATATTTATGTATCAACATATTTATTTTTGTCCAAATAAAAGGAAATTTTGACCATTTCTCCGTCATGTTCATGCATCTTAAAAAATGCAACCTTCTTACGACAACGCATGCATGCATATGTACCTAAATACGACTCACCATTCACTTATCCCTTCAGTCCCATATTCAGTACATGCCTAAAAGTAGGTTAATTCTCTCAAGTGCTCATTACCGTAACCGTCAATCATTTTACGCAGAGTTTTTATAAAAATTCGGGCCCCCTTCATCGAGTCCACCCCATCCAAACACAAAATGGATTACACTGGAATGCCAAAGGGTAAGATTTGCATACAGAAAATACATAGTGCAATCGGGGAACTAAAATGTAATTATAGATTGGCCGCTTTTAATTTTTAATTTCTCGTGCTTAAATTACAGATAAGCTGGAGGAACAAGAGGCACTCAAGGTGGCAGAAGCAGCAGAGGTTGGAAGACGTTATACAGAGGACAAAGACGTAATCGAATTGGAGATTGAGGAGTGCAAAAGGCGGATTTCGCAACGCACCGCTATTTACCAACGGGCCCGAGATCCTTTAAATACTGAACTACGATTAATAAGGGCAGAGCTGAAGAAATGTATGTAAAAGAATTTATTAATTTTCAAATTTACGCATTTATCCATATTGGTGTACATAAAGTTTTGGAAGAGTAATAAGCTGGTCTGGTCTGAAAATGGGGAATTATCCGAACTTTAATATTTTTAATGACCGCTTATAGCAACCGATATATACATATGTAGGTACATATGTACAAATCTACAAGCTAGACAAATCGTCACCCTCGGATGTGCTATAAATACTTTTTGGTAAGGATTAAAGAGACGTCTTTTCACAAAGGGAAACTCAGCCAAAAACTGATAACACATGTGACGTCACTATTACAAACTCAATACTTTCATGCAACAAAGTCTTACAAATATTGAGACGATAAAAATGCTCATATTTAAATAACGACGTCATGCATGTTGTGTATGTAAATGAATTTCTGACATATTCTCCCTTGGTGACAAACGCCTGCTTAATCCTTACCCAAAAATAGATAACTATGTATGTATAACATCTCCGCATGTAACGACTTCTCGAAAGTTACTTAGAGTGTATTATGCTTATGTATAGGAACTAGATATGTATGGAGATTCTAAATATTAATTTTTTTATATATTTAGGGGAAGAAAAAACCCCTCTAGCTTTCTCTCCCGAGACACCTGAGCCGCAAACAGGCACGCCAGCGACACGACAGGAATCACCAGGTATGTAAGCATATAATACACTTGGACTGTTAGAAATCTGGTATAAATAGTCGGGCAGGTATTGATTTCTCAGCAGTGGCCGTGGAAGCCGTGGAGACATGTGGGGACATTAACATTGTAGGATAAGGGAGGGAGGGGTATATGGATATGGTAGGGACATCGAATAACCGTGGGGATATTGCCCCCCTGGTCCCCCTGCCCCCAAGCTTCAGCCACCACTGTTTTTCAGTATTAAAGCTCCTACCGCTTGATAGAAAAATTATACCGGTCCGTAAAAATTTTCTAAGATATGCAAAGATTTTAATACCGAACTATTACATACTTGCTAATACCGCCCTTTGGTAGCCGTGGGGACATCTGGGGACATTAACATTATTGGATAGGGGAGAGCGGGGTTAGTACGACATGGGCAGACGAAGGGGACATAGAATATGAATAACCGTGGGGGCATTGTCCTCCGTTCGCACAATTCCACGGCCACTGTTGCCAACAGTCTGTTGGTAGATTCATCGCAAGTGGGTGTATCGAGTCAGATTCGCAGGAGATAAACCTTGGAGTAAAATGTTGGAATTTTTCTTCACTCTCTCCCACTAAAAACACGGCAGAAGCGTGAACTTTGCCCGCTATATGTGACCTCAAAAGTGGTCATTCAATGGAAGGAAAAGTACCACGCGATTCCTGATTTATTAGTTATTTTTTAATTATAACTCGTTAAGCTGTTCGGGTGTTTCATGATAAAATGTTCCATTGTCAGACGGCCTGATAGTCGTAAATGTTCGTGATCTGGTGTCAATGAGCTTAAAATGATTTTATTCCTCTCAACAGGTGGTGACAGTACCATTAGTGGAGTTGCATTTGGGCACGGATCCCTCGTCGTCGGTGTTGGACCTGGCCCAACCGTGTCGACAATTAATCTAAGGTTTAATTAGTATATAAATTAAAGCTTTTATTGACGACGACACTTGTGTTCAATAAAGTTCGGAACCATGAAATATAACGCGGTGAAGGTTGGTCAATATATGTACACTCTTAAAAATAATGCTATCTTTTGAAGATTAAATGCGCCTTGAATTTAAATTGAGTAAACTATACCAAATGCCGAGTAATCTTGGCTTTTGATAAAGTTAACTTTACTTTGGATTTAGTTTAGTTTAATTAATTTAGAGTGCATTTACTTTTTACGTCAAAGGGTAACGCTATTGTTAAGAGTGCAATGTGAAAGTTGTTGCTTACAAGGGGAGGTGCATAACTGTAAGTGTATTTTCTAGCAATAATTTGCATGTATGTATGTATATAAATATGTATGTATGTATTTGTTGCCTCAAAAATGCATGATTTCAAAGCCTTGTCAATTTTCATATCACCGGTTTCGCGTCGCTACAACATTGGTGGTGGGACAATTGTACGATCTTCAGCTTTTATTTTCTACGCTGTATGTAAATACGTATGTTCATTCACATTAATTTAATATTTGGAAGAATTGAAAATTAACAATGGCACTGACAATCACTTTTCCATATGCACATTAATTAGACACGTGGAGCCCAACACCAGAAAGAGGTCGGCACCGGTGGTAAGTGATTCTGGCCCATTGAATAGTCCTTGGAGTATCGAGAAGGGGACAGGACTGTCCAGCCCATCTCCTGAAGAGCCTAAAACACGAAACGAGATCCCACCTCCAAAACGGTCCCCACACACCGTCTCCTCATGAAAAACCTGAAACCACGAATGACGATGATTCTCCGCTTACACTCCCACCAGGGCCATAAATTAGTTGACTCCCTCCGTTTTAAGTTATACCGGAAATTTAAATTTTTTGTCACCTATTTTTCTTCATGATACGTGCATACATAAATTTTCATATGTTTCATTTCATTTTTTTTGTAAAAAAGCCAACTTTTTCCGTTCTTTATTTGTCTGAAGGTATGATTATGCGGATATTTATGTATCAGTATTAATATGATATACTATAAATAATTTAGAGACAAATTGTCACCCCCGGAGGTAGTGTTGTGCTGTATATTCGGGTAATTATTAAGAGGCGGTTTTGAACTATGAGGAATAAGTCCAAAACTTGTTTACGAAGCAGGCATGATGTCATTATTTAATAAAATAATACTTTAATATATGTAAACAGTAATCTTAAAAATACTCATATAGAAAGGTTCAATTTTTTATGATTGCGGGTGATGATTAATGTATCTGCAAATGATTTAAATCATAATTTCACCCTGATAAAGAATTTTCTTGGTGAATGTTTATCTGTGTATATACCTCATCGTCAATTGATTCAGAATAAAGCCTTATAAAAATATTTATGTGAATACGATTTTTGGCTAATACTATAGATCCTAAAGTCGCAAATCTTATTCTGGTGGAAATTTTAGTTTATAACGGTGAAGTTATTTTCAACTTTACGCATTTCATATGACGGCTATGGTAAGCATTGTAAAGATATGTAAATAAATATGCAGCGTATGTATGCAAACCTATATTGTTTACTTATATAGCAAGTACATACTACCCTCGCATTTAGGCGTGTCACCTCATTTGCATAAATCTCAATAGCCCATTTTCGGCGATACGGGCTTTCCATGTTGAGTAAACTCTATGACTCTCACGAATGCGTTAAAATATGCAAATGAGGTGACAGAGCAGAGTACGAGGACAGTACATACATACATACATATGTACATACGTATGTATGTAAGTACGACATCATGCAGTAGGAACATGCAAAATATCTATGCAAACATTCTAATTCGTACACTTTCAATATTTTTGTTATATACTTCATTGTTACCGGCGGAGCTACTATACAATTCCACCGCGTGGTAACAATATATGTATGTAGTAACAAGTTACTATATAGATAGTTGCCTACTGAGGGAGGGTAAGAAACTGCATTCGGAGATGGTAATATTTTTATTTCAATAGAGTAGACATTGGGGGCTGAGTTGGATTTAACCTCTATATGCATGTTACCCTTCGGTGATAAATTATTACCGAATCGGAAGAATCTCATATTATATGAGTCATATAATACCTCCGCCGGTAACAATTGTGTCTAAAAATTATTGAGAGTGTATAGTGAACATCCGCAAGTAATGTTCCAGTCCATGAAATGTATCCAATCATAATTTGATTAGTCATTCATACATAAATACTTAAGGATCCTAGCAAAAAAGTAGCTTCGCAAACTTTAACCTTCCTGCTAATTAACCTCATCCGCAACGAAGGATAAATTTGTAGCCTCATTTGAAATGTTGAAACCTTCAATCAAATTATATAACTTTCACGTAACAGAGGAGATAACATGCTTTATCTCAAGACGGAAAGAGGTGTACTTCTCCCGGAGGGAGAATTACATAAAATCAGACAAAGTGGTGAAAGTAGGAGAAAGTTGGTGCATACATCTGAAACGAAATGAATCGTATGCACTGCACTGTAAATACTAAGGTATCCACCCTGAGGGTCCATGCATGCAGGTCAGCGTTCACCTTCACATTTTACGTAAATAGATTATGTAAATCACTAACGTACACTCTTAGAAATTCAGCATTAAAATAATACCAAGTATTCATGTATGAATCTACTAAAGTGGTATTGGTAATGGACGCGTTGCAATAATTACTCGGTATTAATGTGTTACCATTTCTATAATAAATTTTTACGTGCCGGTATATTTTCGATACCAATCCCGGTTCTTTAATACCGAAAAATCAATACAGGCTTGACTATAAATATACCAGATTTCTAACATTGTAACTCGTAAGTTTATGGATGGTGCCTTAAAAAACCGTAATCATACTTAAAGTCAAGATTGATTATAACGACCCCGTTCATTACTTTGGCTTATTTAATCTTGCTGTCAAATGATCTCTAATTACGCTACTTTGAGCACTTGCCGTTTTAATAAAATATCGATCACGCCATGCTTTTTTCCCATTCATACAGGAGAAAGATTACTCACACCCCCATCAAACCAAACGACCTCGGAGCAGTCATCACTACATTACCCGACCGCATAAAAGTCATCATTCTCAATCTCACCAGTCACAGCGAGAGAGTGAAAGTGAAGGAAAGTGCTTCTTCACTTTACTCGAATCGCAACAACTCCACCACTTTCACCACTTTCTACATATCCTGCCCAGTTTTGGTCTAACTTTCTCCCAACGCCCCAAGCCATATGGCAAAGGCTATGCAAAAAACTTTCTATGTGAAACCCAAGTTCGTTATTTCGTTACCAGGTATTTTGTAATACCTAATTGGAGATAATGCACAATCTGCATACTTAAAAATAATTTTAAGGTTTTGAAAAGTAAATACACTCTTGAGTCTTGAGTCTTCCAATGGTAAACTATACTAAATCTAGGGTAAAATTAACTTGATAAGGAGTAAAGTTTGTTCTGGATTTAGGATTGTTTACTTAACATGTATGGAATTCAGAGCATATATTAATATTATTTTCTTTAGAGTGTGTACTATACTGTGATCACACAACTTTCCAAATTAATTAAATATGTTCTTTGTTTTCACATGGTACGTTTCTGTTAAATTCGTGGTCATTTGCATAAATATGTGTGTACATACATAGGTATATTGTTTTTATATGAAGATAAATTAATTAAAGTTTATGTTTAAAGTTTATGGTTCATACATACATATATGTTCCATTTATATATGTAGATGAATTAATAAAAACATGATTTATTTATTTAGTAGCTAAAAGCATGACAAAAAATTTTAAGAAAACTCTCCATTAACATATGTAACACGGGTTTTTATTTGCCTTCAAAAATATTTAGTAGTTAGATAATTAAGAAATCCATGTTTTTTACAACAACTCTGAATTATCAACCATAATAAAATCTCAAATCCTCCATTGAATAACTTTTAAGGGGTCGATTTTCTTCTTCATCCACGCTAAAATCACTACTCGACGATTCGGTACTTGATGTCGTCACATCAGTGTCATCGCTATCATCAGACCTGGTGGAAAATCAAATATTTCAAATTTTAAGTTCCCCAAGAATAATTTTAAAAAAATTCTAGTACATTTCCTCCCAAGAGGGCCTCCCTTTCTTCTTAAATTTTTGCTTTTTCCTAATTTTCCACCTTGTCCCACCGCCAGCCCGTCTATTCACCCAGCTAACGGAACACCACACGACGAGAATGAAGCTAAAGTTGAGTAAACACGTAATCCCGATCACACTCAGGACATCATCGCTCTGATAACATTGTTCTTTTTGTGGGGATCCTACGACAATATTTTTCTTGGTGGGATGTGTTAATATTACATCGTGCAGTTCCGTTCTCGTTCTGTTATTGTACTTGCTCTTCTTCTTATGGTGCCGAAAGCGGTGACGTTCATTAAGTTTGGGGTCCTCTAAATCTTCTAGTTTTCTTGAATTTTGGGAGAACTTGGGTTGAAAGTTTGGGTACAAATTGGCGAATTCAGTCCGAATCGGGGAATGAATGGTATTTTCCGGCAGCGGGGCAATTTTTCTCATAGAATCGGTTCCTATAAGGGAAATGCATAAAATGAAGAAATGTCATTTTCAGAAATATAATTTTTTTTCGAAAATTCTTTGCAATAATTTGTTCGCCTTTTCAACGTATGTACATATGTTTTGGTAACAAATTTGTAGATTGCCCAATATTAGCATAAACCAGCATTCTGAGAATTGCTGTAAATAAATTTTAGAGCAATTGCATATTTTACAATTTTTGTAAAAACTGCAGATTTGATAACAAATAAAATCTATGAAAGAATTTATAAATGTTTATGTAGCACTTTTGAGATTACGAGGGACACGTAGGATACAAAGTTATTGACGTGAATTTCTTACATGAGAATAAAGATGTGTATGCATTTATGTATATATCAAATGTTACGATATTGTAACTCACAAAATTTACGGATTTTCAAGATGCCAATAGTGTCATTGAAAAATACTCAAAATGACAAAAATACAAGAGCACATATGTATCAAATTCTAGACTTCAACATGATAAGAATTTAAAAAATTTTGAATGAATCTAATAAATCATTTTTAACTCATTGCATAGTAAGATGACATGAAAAAATTTAATATTAGCTTTTCCTATACACTCTATTTTTCATAGAGCAACGGTTATTGACCATCTATTATGAAATCCTGTCTTACATAATACCCGACATACCGTGCATAAAGTGTGTAATCGATTATATTTAGTACGATTTATGTAAGGACCAAGGTCTGCGTGCGGTTGTCATAGCAATAAAAATCTGTAGATGGTGAAAGTCAAATTTTTCAAAATTTGACACACTCATTGCAAGGTCTCTTATTTACAAAATACGTACATACATGAGAGTAATGGGTGAATTTATGCATTTACATACACATATCTATATGTTTATGTATATCTATGTAAATACATATGTACGTAAGTTAGCTTTCATTCTCGCAAATCTGTCACTTTATAAAATCATATTTAAGTATCTTCACAAATACTTTACAAAATTGAAATACCCAGATTAGTTAAGTATTATGCACCACCCGCACAAAAATTATACCCCTGGGGGACATTAACCACCACATTAAGAAAATTCATGAAAATATATGTCATTCAAAGCATGTAACATCCGGCGTGGGATTAACTTTTTGAGAATTTTGACCCTTAACCTTAACAGACTAACCTTTCATCTCCACTGCTGTGCTGTTCACTTTTCCACTCCGATATATTTTCACCTCGGTCCTGTCATGATCCATTCTCGTTGTGTAATCAACCTCCGCATTTAAGAAGTAAATCACTCCCAAAGTTAGCAAGCTCGTAATGAGGAACATGACGCAGATCTAAATATGTGGACACAGATGACAACGAAATCTATTTAAACAAACATCTGAAATATAAATTATAGGAATGATATGCATAATCAAAGACATTTCGCACCTTGGGTAATGAGATACAAATACCGGGTAACATGTCCTATTTTCCTATATTTTCAGAGTTTGTAGCACAATAGTATTGTTTCCGAGCATTTTAGTTTGAACAGTTTAGTAATAAAAATCTAGACTATCATCGTTACGATGATGGCTGATTATTAATTTCGCTGTCACATATGTAATTATTTACAGTACGATTTTGTCCCAAACACTGTGCACATATGTAGTAATACATATGTAAATACATACATAATTCCGAATTGCACACATCATACGAATCATTGATAGTATATGGTTGGTTACTTATACTCATAAATATGTAACTTCAATCTTTTGAACATGAATAAATTAGAGAAAAATTAGAAGACAACAATATGCACATATATATATAAAATATTTTATTTGGGTAGAATTGTTTATTGGCGAATATTCAAATGTGTAAATAAATTCACGGATCACCAACGATTCGATAACGTTTCGTCAGATAAGCGATGTATGTAAATATGAAAGTCAAATTGGTACACAAAATTTTTCAAATTCAACAAGCACATGTGCTCAGTCACCAGTCACTAATGACATCCACCGATTTACTAACTTTAATCACACTTTCACCTCAACGGCACAAAAGAAGATAATATTGTTTCTTCATTACTAAAGGTGGACCATTAACAAATTTATAAAACTTCTTTTATATATGATTGTAAAGGCCGTGGCCACATCAATCGAGCATTAATAAATTTACCTACCTACCTACTAAAGGTGGACCGAATATAAGACTTTCATTAGTGGAAAAGGAGTGAAAGCGGTATTATTCCGTGACCACCCACTTTGCAGGCTGGAGACGGACTGAAGTTAAAATTGCGAGTTTTCTCCTCTTCTTCTGTTGGGAATCGATTCGACACTTCGCACCAGATTTTCACCATGAAGGAGAAAGTCTCCCATCTCTCAACCGCAAATAAAGTATAAACAGTGGAGAAATATCAGTACTTTATTCAGTTTGAGACAAAAGCAAAGCTCAAATTTACCCAGCTAGTTATTTTTGTTTTCCTTTACTTTCACCAGAATCGACAAGCTTAAATTGTGGGAGAAAGTTTGTGGGAGAAAAATATGTACATCCGTCTGGATTGATGAAAGATGTGCCCACGCAATTTTATTTTTTCTGTTTACTTTTCATTCAGGAAAACAATCTCGACGGAATAGAGCTTCGACATTGGAGGCTGAGAAGGATTTAGCCTCTGTATATATGTATGTTACCCTTTATGATAAATTATTACAGAAGCGATAGAATTGCATAGTACGTCCGCCGGTAATAATTGTATTATGAAATTATTCAGAGTGTGGTCTGACATTTAAAAATATTCTCATTTCATTATACAATTCTTCTTCTCCATGATTCCTTTAAATATTTCGTAACATTGTGCAGCGGCACATGCAATCTCTTTGATCTTAAATAAATAGTCCATTAATTACATATATTTCGCACTCACCCCTCAAAATATAAAGCTACGGGTGCTATCCGCTCGAAAAAAAGATACAAAAATTTAAATCGTTATCTGAGAGTTGTTTACATGTCACTTAAAAATAAATTCAAGTTTACATAAACTTCAAGCCTTTTGCCTCTATTTTTTTGCGAAGAGTTGAACTCGAGTATTGGTATATCGATTCATGAATCCCAAATAACCTTAGCAATCGCAAAAAATTAACATTTATGTAAATCACATCTGCACCTTCCACATAAGCTACGTAAACATAAAAAATTTTGACTTGCCCATGCCTCACTAAACTTGTTGCATATTTCCAGTCATACATACATACATTTATGTTATGGTCGTGGGTATAATTAGGCATTGCTTTATACAAGCTTCAATTTATTCTCCCTTTTCATAAAAAAATTAAACATTTATTTCCTTTCATCCAGAACCATGCAAAATTAAAAACCACGAACTAATCCGTGCGAAAGAAGGGCTTTGAATCTATTTATGCACGCTTTGTGGGCTGACTCTGTAATCTCATCGAATTGAACTCAGTGAGTGAAAGAGTACGAGTGAAAGCACATCTGGCCTGGGTGAAAGATGTGCTTTCACTGGCTGGGAAAGATTTATGTTTCGTGTGATGTATTTATAGTGCACGCTTGGCTGAAAGGTAATTTTGCCACGCTGAGTAGCTACTCGAGTGGAGAAAGTGCGGTGTGGTGAAAGTCGCGTCGTGGGAGAATAAAGTGAGAGAGGAGTAATCAATTTTAGATATGATCATTAAATTAGTTGACGCGAAGCGAGTCTGACTTTCACCTTCGCCACTTTATACTTATTTGAATGTCACATGTAACGATGAGATGCAAATTATTTGCATGTCTCGCTATCCATGAGATAGGGAGGAGTGATAAATAGATGGATGGATCGCCTGCTGGGGGAGAGTCGATACTGAAATTGACATGTTTCTCTCGTTCAGAATGATACTGAGATATCATTTCCGTTGGTGGGAGATTGGGGAAAGATGAGATTGTGTGGATAAATTTTCAGTCTGGGCATCTAAATGTTCTCCAAGTCTCATTTCCGTTTCCAACCTGTATTTATGTACACTTGATGGGATCTAGTGAGTTTGCTGGAGACCGATCGGGGCTGAAGCATGAAAATGTTGATAAAAAATTGAAAGTTTTTTTATAAAACCACTTAAGGGGAGAGAAACAACTGCCAGCTGGAGAAAAAATTTGTAAACAACTTTTTCGCCCCTAAAAGACAAAAAAACTGAAAAAATGCCTTTTTTGGCGGTGAACAAATAATTTTACGCGATGAAACACATTGGACCATATTCGTATTAATTATTTAGATTTTTTATGTGAAAATCAAAATTTCGAAGAAAATTGTGAAAATTAGTGGTTGACCCTCCCCATAAGTCGGATTGAGTAAGTTTTATACAGTGCGGATTAGTAAGAAACCCTTGACTCCAGCAAGAGAGTTATGGAAGCCGCGAGTTTCTCACAACGTCAGCCTCAACCGCACGGTACAAAATTTAATCAATCCGACTTATGGGGAGGGTCAGCAACTAATTTTCACAATTTTCTTCGAAATTTTGATTTTCACATAAAACATCTAAATAATTAATACGAATATGGTCCAATGTGTTTCATCGCGTAAAATTATTTGTTCACCGCCAAAAAAGGCATTTTTTCAGTTTTTTTGTCTTTTAGGGGCGAAAAAGTTGTTTAAAAATTTTTTCTCCAGCTGGCAGTTGTTTCTCTCCCCTTAAGTGGTTTTATAAAAAAACTTTCAATTTTTTATCAACATTTTCATGCTTCAGCCCCGATCGGTCTCCAGCAAACTCACTAGATCCCATCAAGTGTACAAACCTTAGCTCCAAATTGCTCTAAGGTTCTCAGATTTGCGTACATATTTAGTAATGAAAGTCTTACTTTCTCCAATAATTTTTCTATTTGTCGTGTAAGCTTAATTTCATAATTTTGGGTTTAAAAAATGTATTTGATTAAGCGATTAGTGGACAATTATGTGGAGCAACAATGCTGATCCAAACGGTATAAAAATTTCATTATATTTATGCATAACACACTTCTTATAGGCATCAAGCAAAGAAAGATTTTCGTCAGGAGACAAATCTTAGGTGGTAGCATCTGCATATTTACACTATGCTTTCTCCACTTTCTCCCACCACCCACGGTTTTCTCTTGCATGCCAAGTTTCGTCTTATTGTTCACTCGCAATAAACCGGAAGCCTTCATCATGTTCCGAGAAGTTGGAATTTCTTAATGAATATGTTGACAAAAGACTAGTTTTCTTCATAAGTAATGCTGCTTTTTTGTCACATACATAACATTGCAAGCCGTTAGAAATCTGGTAATTCAGTAGTCTCGCAGGTATTAAATAATTTCTCCCTATTAAAGTTGCTACAGCCCTTGAGCTAAAATAATGCTACCGGACGGTAAAAAAATTTTCTACCGAAATAGTCAAACCTGATATGGGATTCGAAAATCCATAAATTTTCGATTAGTCGATATTAATACGAGAGAGTTGGGTACATACATTTGTCACATACATAATTTATGAATTCTGCCAGAGAAATCATTAATTTTCGTCAAATAAATCTCACTAAACCACCAGTTTTGGTACACTGTAAGAAATCTGGTAAAGTCAGGCACATAGAGCGGGTCTTATATGTACCCGATCACTTTTTATTTCGGTATCAAAATGGTCAAAACCAAGTTTTGAAATCTGAAATTATTGTGGAATAAGGTAAATATATCTGGCTACGTGTCCCTAAAATTTCATAAGTTTTCCTCGAAAGCAAAATTTCCTATACCATTTCAAAACGACTAACAATGCGATGGTGTGAAGTGTAACCCTCCGATTTGGCTTAAATTTTAAAATTAGGTGGTCCAAGCCAATACAACTAACGTTTCTTCAGGCAGTTTGTGCGATGGTGAGAGTTACTCAAAATATTTGAGGTCAAAGTTCAAAAAACGGCCGACTTTTTTCAGGCGGAGTGAGAAAACTCCACTTCCAGTCTCTTCCCCTCGCTTTGATTTGCAGGTGTCTCGCTCACGCATACGCCTTCATGCACAAGCACATGCTTTGATGCAAAATAATAAAAAATAAACATTATTAACTACAGCTTAAAAAGCAATTAATACGCATTATACATAATTTAATTCATAATTAAATAAGTGCGATTTTTACTTATTTCTAGTACAAATTTACATAAAAGTTAATTTATAAATTCGCCAACGGCAAATAAACATGGAAAAACTTAACTTGCTTTCCATTTCGAACGCGTTGGTTATTCTAATATTCAATTAATTTATGTTTTAAGTGCTCCTGTGTTTGTTCCAATGATTCGATATTGTTGGTACTCGAGCGGATTATGGGGTGATGACGAAAAGCCCGAGTTTAAAAATGTAAACGACGTTTGTTTTAGAGAAAAAAAATATTAGTTGCGACCTGAATTGTGGCAATCCCACATTCATCAAATTCAGCTGGTGCAGTTTATCGTATTGTTTTGTGGACTTTTATGAAAATAATCATATGGTCACATGTACAATGAATAATTAATATTTTTCTACAAAAAAAAATTAAATTATAATTGTTGAAATGAATTATTTTTCGGAGTGAAAATCAAAGCGAGGGGAAGAGACTGGAAGTGGAGTTTTCTCACTCCGCCTGAAAAAAGTCGGCCGTTTTTTGAACTTTGACCTCAAATATTTTGAGTAACTCTCACCATCGCACAAACTGCCTGAAGAAACGTTAGTTGTATTGGCTTGGACCACCTAATTTTAAAATTTAAGCCAAATCGGAGGGTTACACTTCACACCATCGCGTTGTAAGTCGGGAAATAAGTTTTTGTAAGTCCCAAAACTTGCTCGACATTGACTCGTTGTAGGCCTGACTACATTTTAACTGAGAGGGATGTGGCCGTGCAAAAATTAAGATATACGTAAAAAAGTATGGAGAATCCGAAAATGACAACCCCAAATACGCAGGATGAGAAAAAACCATCATTTCGACTCCTCCGTAAATGAAAAACGAAAAATTTGTTTAAGAAAATTCTCCATCCACGTCGGTGCCTGATGCGGCCATGAAGTCAAAGATTAATACAAACCACTTGTATCATATTAAGGCCTATAAAATGGGGGTCAAAGCGTATGCAAAGAAATCTCCAGCAAAACAAAGGGGACTGAAGAAAAAATAGTGATCGCACAACATCCAAAGCTTTGCAACAAAATCTCACCAAAAAAGTTGGTCACTGACGACGAGTCCTACGTTCTTAAAAACGTAACAGAAACTCCAGGAAGGCAATTTTTTCATGGGAAATATATCTCTCAACTGAAAACCGGAGAGAAATTAAAATGTTTTTCGAAATTTCTCAAAAAACCTCAGGTTTGGTTGGCGTTCGGGCAATTTGGGCACGTTTCGGACCCCTCAGTTAAAAATGGCTGTGAGGAAGCACAAGTTTTATTTCAGGAATGGGAGATAGACCGTCTGATTCCTTTTATCAAGGAGTATTATTAAATAGAAAATGTAATTTTTAGACCGACCTTGGACCATTCCACAATCCAACAACTATCAAGCAAGAAATCTAAAAAAAATCAGTTTGGCGTCGAAAAATGGAAACCCTACATACATGCCTCATCTTCGCTCAATAAAAAAATTTGGGCTATGTGTAAGAAGGAATACTTCCAGCTTTGGGAAACAGTCGATACTTTAAGAAAATTTTGGTTCCGGTTGCAGAAAATTAACATTGAAGTTGCAAAGTCTTCCAAAAAATCAGTAACGGCGGGTGTGAAGAAAAAGGTTAAATGCAAAGTGGATAATGGATTAAAGTCCTCTTTGTTCCTGGATCAGTTGGGCTAGATATATTTTTAGTATTCTACAGAAATTTGAGATTTCAGAACTCATTTTAGACAATTTTCAGGCCGAAGTTGCAAGTGATCGGGTATATATAAGACCCGCTCTATTTTCAGTGTTACAGCTGCTACCACTTGGTATAAAAATGATTCCGCTCCATTAAAACTTGCTACCGATATTGCGAAATTGCAACACTGAGCACTTTTACTACACGGCATTACTTATGTATTAATTCCACTTGTATATGGCATAGCCATATTTGAATACGTCGTGGTATTATTTTAATACTATGCAGATTTCTAAGAGTGTAGCATAGGGCTAATCTCACACACTTCATTTAACGAAGGAATACTTCGTGGCATCTATTATATATTAAAATCTATGGATGGACTGCATCAAACCACAGTTGAATCCGAATAAGTCCTTCGCAGATGTGAATCTCTCACAGCTTTTCGAGTCAAATGGTCCTATGCCGAGATGCAATTTACAATTTCGCAGGATAGTGTGCCTGTGGGGATTAAATAGACAATGTAAGTACATATTTTGTCCGAGCAGCCAAAATTTGTGGTAAAATTATCCATCAAACAGACCTTATTATTTCTTTAGTTTTATCGTCATGAAAATTGTCACGAAAAGTGTGCAGATATTTTTGGTTTTATGCTATTATTTTGTTCATAGGAACATTTATTAAATTTATACCATAAGAATACCATGTACATATGCAAGTGTTGCATGGATATTTAAGAGAAATAATATGACTGCACAAATGTGTGTAATTTGTGTATGTAACAAATAACGGAATACATATTTCAGAAAACTAATTGGTAACATGGTGAAACAAAACACATTCATCAAAGACGTGCTTGCGTATTTAAGAATGTATGTATGTACATAAGTTTCAGAAGTCCTTCTCCTTACAATCATGAAACATAACATGTGTCTATGTACATAAATTCATCGATATTATACATTTGTACCTGTTTGGAACTCTTTTTTATCACAATCTCGCTTAACTAATGTTATTTAATTCATATAACTACTCCAACTTAAATGTAAACCAAGATCTCGGCACCATCACGCTGACCCCTTTCGCCTCTTACAACAGAAATATAACTGCAAAGTAACTGCTATAAAGACAAATACGGCCAGAAATGTGAGTATCTTCCGCTTTGTGGACCACGACCGTTTTATATATGCTGGTCTTGATTTGTCTAATCTATTTGAGGCTGGATGAGGAATTAGTTCGCCGGTTCTGTTCTGTGAGGCAGGATAGGACACAGGTTCTTGTATAGTGTGAGGATACAAAACTTGTCTGCTTTTCCTGGCAGAATGGGTTAATGAATTAATAATTAATTTGTTGTGCTTATGTGTCACCCTGCAAAAAAATATTTGAATAAGTAAAGTTTACCGTTTTAAACGAAATAAATACTTACTTATAAAGACATGATACCACTTACCCTTCCGTTTTTGGGAGTAAAATCCCACATAAAATTTCGACAGCCAATACTGCTTGAAAAACCCTTGGCATCTCGATAAGTTAAAAGTAAGGTTTTTCTTGTAAACCTACTAAATATGGATTATGTAGTGAATAATGAGACAATACAAATTTCGAGTAGTTCATGGAATTTTCTCCCTCAATTGCTACAGAAACCTAGTGCAAAGTTTATTTTAATGTTGAAATCTATGCAAGAATTAAATAATGCTTCATATTTATACATACGTAAATGTGGTTAGGATAGAGAATTATTTATTTATTTAATTTTTTTGACGTAATTTTGCGGTTAACCTTATAAAATTTCGGAAATAAGGATGTAACACACGCTTAAATTTAATTTATTTGACGCAACATGTTTTCCTCAGTCGGTCTCCCACATCGGTTTCCTCTGACGCGCTTCTTCCCGCAACATTGTCGTGTTTATATTCACTCTAAATAATGTTGTGTAAAATTTGAATGAAATGATGAATGACAGTTATCGAGTAAAATTTTTCAAACAGTTGGATAAATTGGTCCAAAATTTGTGAAAATTTTACATAACGTTGTTTAAAGTGTACATACATAAATACGTTAGCTGTAAAGGGTATGGAACTCCAACGTAAATCATTAATTATGCCATTCTTTTTGATAAACTGACGTAAACTTGTGGTTTGCCGGAACCCCAACAGAGTATGTATGTATTTACATATAAATGCTAGTTAATCATAATATGAGTGACTAACATTTATATGAATGTATTACATGAATATTCATGCTTTATGCTTTATGCAACATGCTTTATTCATGTCTCGCCGCTATGGTTGTACATACATATTTAGTTGTACAATTTTCTCCACAATTTTGTCCGAAACGGAAATAAACTACAATATACATTTACTGTTAGAAATCTGGTATAGTCACGCAGATATTAATTACTCAGTATTAAAGTTTGTACCGATTGATATTATGTATTTAAAATTATGTACACGGCTCTGTCAAAATTTACTACGTATTTATTCATGTGTATGGTAATACTTTAATATAGCTACTAGATGGATATCATTATTTATTAACTTATCAATACCACTTTGGTCACGTCATACCTTATATTTCGGATGTGGAAAAGATGCGAATTGCATGAATGCAAGTTTATGAAGTAAATACAAAAGTATGCATGTATCTTTAAGGCAACAAAATTATGCTACAATAATTCTCAAATAAACCAACGTAATTAATAAATCAAGACGATAAACATGTAATTACCTTGTTTTCGAACAATCACTTAAACTGAACTGTTCGTCTTAGCTTCTGACTCTTTTTGACATTGCTTTAACTATTCCACCAACGATTATTACCGTAATTACCGTAACGAATGAGTATATCGCGAAATTTGTGAACCCTTGTCCTTCATCTTTAATTTTGTGCATCTCGTTTCCAACGTACGGCGAATCTTGTGAATAATAATCTTGCGAATGTGCCGGAACATAGTTGAAATTGAAATTGGGGTAAGACCCTTTAGTGGCGTGATGACTTATTATTATCGGAGGTGATGAATATACCTTCTCGTTTTGTGGTTTTGGTGTAGTCGTTGAATTATTCTTCTTTTCTTTTCCTTTAGCATCGCCTGACCCTTTATCATCATTTTTGGATTTGGATTCGGAGCCACCGGATTCGCCGTCTTTTGAGTCGGAATCGTTCCCACCATCATCGTCTGGAGGATCTTGTTTTTCTTTCTTTTTGGTTGGTTTCTTTGTAGTTGAAGACCGGGATGAAGTTTCTTTATCTGGCCGTGGTTTTGGGGTTGGTTTTCTGGGGGCTGATATTGGATTTCTTGGCTTCGGTGTTGACCCTGTTCGAGGCTGTGGCCCGCTTGAGCCTGGAGGAGGCCCTGGTCGAGGCTGTGGTCCGCTTGAGCTTGGAGGAGGCCCTGGTCGAGGCTGTGGTCCGCTTGAGCTTGGAGGAGGCCCTGGTCGAGGGATTGGTTCACGTGATCTCGTTGGTCCATATATTGAATGCCTCGTTAAACTCGGTCTGTGCTGATGTCTTTGTCTGCATAAATATTTACCAAATTTGTCTACATTTATCCCCTTTAACGACTAAAACGTACCAATTTATTAAGAACTTACGCATCAACGCTTATTATGCAAATCGCATACAAAACTCCTGTCACAAATAATATTTTAAAACAAAAGGCCATCTTGATAATTACGACTCCAAAAAAATAAAAACTGCCTGACTAATTAATATCTTCATCAAATCCAACAATGCTCAGTCGATACTGCACGAAATAGTTGCTCTGATGTTGGCGATGAATCGGATAATTATGAATTTCTTGTCACACTGTATTAGTCACATTGGTCTGACTTGATTCTGCGGTTAATTACGCACGCTAATCCTTTAATCCATGTAAATACTTCATAAATACAAATTTAAATGTGTAGTACTAACCTAACACAATGAGGTAAATAAAGTAAAAAATTATACTAATGTTTTTTTGCATTTGGTTTACAAATAACGACAAGATTGTGGTCAATTGACTGAAAGTGGAGTAAAAGCCCAAAGTGAATCACAAACTAATTTTTTTTCTCAAATCAACAAAAAGCCCATATTTACCTACATACATACGTTTGAAAAGCCAAATCCATGCAAAATTTTTAGACGTAATAAATATTTTCAGGAAACTTGGTTTAGAATTTGTCATATTTATATAATGCTCAACTCATCCGAATTTTGCAAATACATGCATACATATTTAATTAATGATATATTAAACATCATTCTGTTATGCAGGTTGATTTATCAAAATATATATTTCGTACAATAAATTCACATATTTATCAACCTCGATAAGATACATATGTAAATACTGGCCACGAAAGGATGGATCAGTGCAAATACAAAATATTTACAAATTTAACTATATGTACATAATCTTGTCAAAACTGGCTTTGTTAATGCTACATCTCATAAGTTGTTACATATCTATTAGCAGTAATCAAGTTTATGTGGATTATGATTGACAGCAACTATTAATCGCCAGGTATGTGCAAAGAACTAAATCGACAGACTATTTCACCAATCCAGTAGAACTAAATGTAATTTTCTTCTAGCAACGAGATTACGTAGGCACATAAATCACAGTCATGGCGGCGTCACGTATATACCAATATGTATGTAATAGCAAAATAGATTAAATATTCATATCTATAGATTAGAGGTGTAGTGGAATATTCGAAATTCGCAATAATTTTTATAAATAAAGGCACATGTGTATTCTGTAATATGATTATAAACAAACATGCACTACCAGTGTGTGCAGAGCAAAAAGGTCCTTTACGCGTTCTTACATATTTGAAAAATCCCTGAGCAAACTATAAAAATACATGCGACGCGGAAATTTTATTCTAACGCGAACTAGACCACCTTGTAATTTTTTAATGGGTAGCCATAATAAGCGAAACCGTATAATAAAGAACTGTCGCGCGATAATCAATTTTTAAATTATTTTTAACCAAGTAAGGACTTCCACCGAGAAAAATACAAAATCCTAAATTCGGCGACGCTTTCAATTTTCGGTACATGTAGGATTTCCTCGACACGCATTTTCTCCTCATAAATTTCAACGTATCATTAAAATCCTCATGCGTCTCTGCAGCTAGGTCAACAAATTGGGTGACAATTGTCCTTAAGAGTATGGCGCAGTATGGTATTCCCCAGTAAGTCGAAATTGGAAAGGAGCCAAACATTACGACGGTCGCATAGTTGAATAAAACCTGGAAAATTTTCAAATATATAAAATATGATGAAATTATTCGTGTCACCTAATTTTCATAAATCTCACTACGCCCATTTTCGGCTATTTTCGGCTTTCCATCTCGAATAAGCTCTCAATTTTTTTAAAAGAATTATGTAGTCTGTATATTTAAGTAATTGTACCTCAAAAATGAAACCCAAGATCACAATGAAGCTTAACATAATCGTGGCTGGTCGTCTCCGGAGCGTGTATAGAATGGAAATCTGTCTGTAAAAGTAAAGTCCTCCAAAGTTGCTCCTTCTCGCAATATTGGTCCACATGAACATCTCCCTTCGCAAAAGGTTGATGACGAACAAAATCAGGCAAATCATGATTGCGATCGATCTACACACTTCCGCGCAAGAAATTACCAGAAGAATTATGCGAATCAGCACACTAGGCAGACTATTTGGTTCAAAACCCAGCTCGATAATGATGTAGTACATCGGGTCCAGGTTGAAAGGTATACAGCCTACGACTAAAAGCAGGGAAATTTTGAAGTAGACTTGTACCGCCAAATTAGCCACCTTGACCAGCCGGGTGCTTATATGGCCACCATTTTCCTCCTTGGGACGAACTGATGCAGGAATAAGTTTCAAATGTTAAATCTTAAATGCAATTTTAGATGATACAAAATTCGCAGGGTTTCGTTTTCCCGTTCAAAACTACATATTTATCTTATGACAAGTGTGGAAATAGTGGAAAGAACAAAACGAAAGAAAACAGTTATTACTCGTTCGGTCTATGTTGTGAGAAAACTCTTTGGATGTGGGGCCAATTGAAACCCTGCAAGTAATATTCTATCCCAAAATTACTAGAACGCTTACCCTTTGATAGTCGTTTAAACATGACGAATGATCGTTCCATTTCCCCCGCGGTATAATTTTTCCAGAAAAAGATTACTGGAAAAAATATCACAAACACGCCGAACAATATGACCAAGATGAAGACTTGCAAATTTACGACGTCAAACGGCACGATGTCTTTGAAATGGGGGAAAATTTCTATGAATACAAATTTCTTGCTTAAATATGCCACCAGAATTGTAACCACGGGAAAGATTAATGCCATAAAAGAAAATCCAATTCTTATCAAGGACTTGTAATCCCTGGAAAACTTGAAATCTAGAACGAATCTGTACTTTGTCGGATCCCAGTGGAGGGGAAGTTTCCCGAAAAGGTGTGAGTTTTCCATTGTGTCCGAGTAAGCGAGGAAAACGCCGAAAAAATCGGTGATTTCTGGTGGGGGGTGACACATTACGAATATTTATTTGGGAAAATTTATATCCTTTTTTGATTAAAGGATTCAGCGAAGAAATATATGTCTCAACTAAGGTAAAGGTAAGCTATGGGCTGAACCTGGCACGGAGCTACATAATAAATTGTGCAAGAGGTCTAAATAATTGATCAACTTTCAAGGTTTTAAGTACATTATTTATCGAAATTTCGTACCAAGAAATACAACATTAATCTTGTTAAAAAGTCGATATTCGAGGAGATATTGTAGTAATTTCGGTGAGCTTTACCAAGACTGCCATACTTGCAAAACGCACTCGGACGATATTTATTATTTATTGTATTGTCCATTTTTTAATTATCATTTTGAATTTATCTATATCATTTTTTGGGTAATAAATTGAAAACTGCAATAAATTTCCTACAAAAAGGGAACAACTTTAATCTCGTTAAGAAGTCGATATTCGAGGAGATATTATATAATTTTTGGTGATATTATAAAATTTCACCAAGACCGTCATACTTACAAAATTTACTTGGACGATATTTATTATTTATTAAAGGGTGAAAGCCCTTATAAGATCGTTATGTCAGTCTGTGTTTTGGCATCCTTGCCAGGCCGTTCCTTGACACGGCCCTTATTTAAGGTACGGCCTATTTTACATTTTGTTATCTTTTTAGATAATCCGAAATAGTATTGTTTAAACAAATTAAGGAGGTGAAATTCTGTGAAATTTTAGTCAAAAACATAGTCCACTGTGTTTCACCATATAAAATAATTTTTGGACCACCCAAAAATACGTTGTTTTTTGCATTTTTATTTATCCAAAAACATACTGTATGCTCTTGGATATTTCAACTCCTTGAACTTCGCCGTGGCGGTTTTAGACCTCAAACTGTCCTATATAAATATGTCCTGATTGTTACATAGAAACATAGTTAAATATGAGTGAAAAGAGCATATGTACCTATGTGCAAGTATGTACATAAGTATGCACATACATGCATACTTCCTGGAATTATAGAAAGGGATGGAAATTGGCGTTAAAAGGTTAACGTGCATACGTACATACATAAATATTCCTGCAAAACTGGAGTAATAATGGGTAACTATGTACATACGTTTGACTAAAAAACATCAGAGTAAAATACCCATCTAAATATATACTACACTAACAATAATCAATGGTAATTTTTACACATATGTGTGTATTAACGTGTAAAAGCAACTTGAGTATTTATGTATGTGGCACACTAGTTGTGCATTCCTCCTCAGACCTACAAGTCTTACTTCAATTCTCGTTTTTGAGACTTTGTTCGTTCTTGTTGCATAAATTTACCTTGTATGAAAACAGACTGAAAGACGAATTTGAATTTAGAGTTACTTCTGAAACTTGCAAGAATATCAATTCCACCAGTATGAACTTTAACTTTTGTACAAAATTAACGAGTTAAAAACATTTGAATAATACTTACATATAGCAAAATACAAAATTTATCAAGATTTGGAAACATTATTGTCCTGACTATAATTTCGATTGTAAATATTTCAGATATTCTTGACAGTATTGTGATGTCATATAAACTAAAAATTACTGTCAACTAATCCTCAAAATTTTGAATCGAACTTACAAATATATTCTGGCTAAGAATCGTTCAGTTTTTAAGGAAACATTCATCGTAAAACTCAAGTATCCCATAAATTCCAAGTCTGTCCAGTCCGCCTGATTGACCCCGACTCAAGTTCACAGAGCAGTTTTGGTCTTGACAAAAACATGCATTTTCACCATACGAAGCTATACGTCGTTCACCTCACCATTTTCCGATGGTGAAAATGAGAATTTTACAAATTTGAAACTATCTTAACTCCTTAAATTTTAAAACAGTTTTAAAGTCACACACTAACTATTGTTTGAGTTACTTAATTTTATAAGAAGATCCGTGAGAAACATATGAATTTTCAAATAACTTTTGAAAATCGACTAACTCCAAAATTATCGCATCCAGAAGTCCTTTATAGCTTAAGAAAACCGCAATGGAAAATTGCAAGTTATATCCTTGCATGTGCCAAAATTGCGAAAAAACTTTCCCGTCTACACGGCGTCTTAACATCCACCTGAGGCGGATGCACCCTTCCACTCCGAGAACCCGCAGCTTTAAGTGTGACATCTGTCCGAAGGATTTCTACACCAGTTATTACCTCAGCCTTCACAAGAAGCATACGCATTCAACATTGAAACCGTTTGGGTGTACCGAGTGCGAAAAATCTTTCAAGGTATGGTATGTATACAAACGTAGATAAAATAGTTAAATTACTAATGAATAACAAAAATTAATTAATTGAAAATGTGACATATAATATTTAATTATTAGAGTAAGCTCGGGCTGCGGGTGCACATTTCTTCGCACAAGGGCGATAAAGCCTATGCCTGTCCACACTGCCCCAAAATCCTTTCTTCTTACGCAAACTGGCGACGTGAGTGCAGTTATTGTTTTTTTATACATAGAATTATTTAATTAACTAAATTTTAACTAACTTAACTAATGAACTTTAATTTTAACTAAATTAACTAATTTACACTATAAATACATAACTTGGTGAGGTACCTTGATTAATCGTCGCCCACGGACGTACTAAACATACTGATATTTTGTGCGATGTTTTTGGATAAGTTTTGTCACCCACGGAAATTAAGCAAAAAACGCATACACCACACCGAATCCACGTCTTTATTAAAAAATTTAACACCTTTGATCTGCATAAATGTAAGATTTTTTAAAATGATTTTTCAAACGGTTTTGAAGACTACTAGATTAAAAAAACTATACAGTTTTATTTACACTCGACCAAGCTTTTTACAGCGAATGTTGTCTTCATCAGGGTCACAAACACTTATTGTTTTCTTACAGAACACTACAAAAACTTTGGAGTATAAATTGCAATCAATTTTCTGAGAAAATATATGGATTTTTTATTAGGGGCAGAATAGCTGCACTCTTAGAAACTTGGTATTGAAAAAAGCCTAACGGTATTGATACGTGACTCTACCGCCTTGGTATTAAACGGTTATACCATATTGGTATAGAACCGGTATTGAAATTATACCTCATGGTAATAATCTTAATACTAATTGGTATTAAAGTTTTTACCACGTAGTATTAATTCAATACCGGATCAATACCACGCGGTAGAGTCACATATCAATACCAACGGTTATTGATTTTTTTAAGAGTGTGGTAACCAAATAGGGTTTATTTTCCTCCCATTGTTCATGCTGGACGGATTTTTCTTTATACACTCGTGGATAATGCTTCTTTAATTTTTCGATGATAATTTTTTTATACATTAAAGTATTCGACTTTTTCAATAAAAATGTCATGACCGTTTGGTCCACAAGTTTTTTACTTGTTTTCCATTGGTGACAAAACGCTTACTTAATCACTCCCACAAAACAGCACTATTTATAATAAATCCGCGGGTGACGATTTCTTACTAAACGTGTAACTATATACTAATTAAAATCATTGAATAATTTCTCTCCACAGGCCACACGTATATCCACACAAAGTCGGATAACGACCGAAAACATATTTCTTGTCCGCATGAGAATTGTCACGTCAAGTTTGAATACCCCTGCGAACTAAAACATCACATTTCACGCGTGCATAGTACCGTCAAACTTTCGCGAGACCATAAATGTTCCAGCTGTTCGGCAGCATTTTTCGACAAAAACAAACTCCGCCGACACGAAGATATTCATACCCGTGACCCTGCAAGGAATCATTTAATCTGCTACTTTTGTCCGAAAAGCAAAGCCCGTCAGTCCGAGTTGACGGATCATATGAGAAAACATACCCAAGAAAAACCTTACCGTTGCCCCTTGTGCGAGAGATCCTTCAGTTTTTTGGGTAACATGACGCGCCACATTTTCACCCACACGAAGGAAAAACCGTTCTCCTGTAGCGTCTGCGAGAAGGGGTTCAGTCACCGCCAATCGCTCCGAAGTCATGTGGCCACCCATACGCGGGAAAAGCGGTACTCCTGCAAAATTTGTGACTATACCGCCTTCCATAGGACCTCAGTGTCCATCCACGTGAGACGGATTCACTATAGGGTGTACGAATTGCAGTGTGACATATGCCTGAAGAGGTTATTTAGCCAGGCAGAGTTAAACCTGCATGTGGAAATGCATTTCAAGGTGAAACCAGTAACAGGGCACCCCTGTTACTTATGCCAGGTACGATTTGGGAGGTTTGGAGACATGAAGACACATCTGAGACTGTGCACCGGCGAGAAAAGAATTAAGGCCGTAGTGTGGTAATAAATATAGAACTTATAATTGATGCTACCTACATAAATATGTGTAAAAATATGCGTATTTATACATACATACTTACATTTCATAATCCATATTGTTGCTTTAAATATCTGAAACTCGCATATTTTGAACTTTTGCCTATTTATGTATTTATACCGACTAATATTATGAAGTGGATTTTTCGTTAAAAAATTCAAACCTTTTAAACTTGTGGAAACAAATATTTCGCTTTTAATTGTATGTAGATCAAGAAAATTATAATTGGTTATCGGATGTAATTACGAAATCGACGTCGTACACAAGAGGAATTTTGTTAAAATATCACTAACATGATAGACGTTAAAATAAAATTATGTCTTCTTAGATATTTGCTGTGTTGTCCAAGAAAATCATATGCAGCTAAAGATGAGCAAGCTTGCTTAGAATTAGTTTGCGTTTTAAAGCCATGCATACATACATACCTGTCCATTTGAGCCATTTTGTACACATTTCTGATGTAAAAATGGCTCTAATTAGGGGACGTCAGGGTTAGCGATTATGTGGATTAGGATACATAAAGTATAGTCTGCAACTGTTAGTGCACAGATTAATCAATCTCTCCGATCATCTTGAAATATAATTCATTTTCTTCCAGCAACGAAAACACGCAAGTCAATTGTATCCACGGCGCTGTTTTTTTTCCTTAAAATTAAAAACTGAATAATGATCGATTATAATCCAAACTAATCGTATATTTTGACGATCATTTTTTTGCGAAAACTAATCTAGATAATCGCCTATGGAGAACTTTGACCTGATTCAGGAATCGATTCTAATCCTGGAATATTCCTATTGTAATGCCTCAACCATAGCGCTAATTTTGTAAAAATCAGAGAGCATACGTTGGCAGACCTCCCTTACAAGTAGGCCACCCTATACATAAGTCACCTTATAGTCACTCATTATATGGCCATCCTATACGTGTAGCCATAATAAGCGAAGCTGTATAATATAGCACTGTCGATCGATAACTAATTTTTAAGCTACTTTTAACCAAGTAAGGACTCGCACCGAGAAAAATACAAAATCCTAGGTTCGGCGACGCTCTTAATTTTCGGTACATGTTGGACTTACTCGACGTGCATTTTCTCCTCATGAATTTCAATCCGCAATCAAAGTCACCGTGCGCCTGTGCAGCCATGTCAAGAATTTGGGCGACAATTGTGCTAAGCACAATTGCGCAGTATGGCAGCGCCCAGTACGTCGAGATTGGAAAGGAGCCAAACATCACAATGGTCGCATAGTTGAATAACACCTGTGAAAGGTTCAAATATTTAGACACATGTGGATAAATAATTCCGCGTAATTATGTATTGGCTAATAAGCAGATTATTTTTGCCATATTTTTGGGAAACTTGTAGCTCGATGGGCTATACTATTTTCTAATTAGCTAATGGTAGCTTAATTAAGTATCTTGGAAAAATTTCAACGAGTTTGATTAATTTTTTAGAAAATAATACATAAAGTAAAAGTATCACCCAGAAATTTTTTGCAGATGATTAATATTAGCTGAACAGTCAAAATGTACATTATGTACATAAGTAACTAAATTTACCTCAACAAGGAAACCCGCGGTGACAATTAGGCTTATCAAGATCGTCGTTGGTCTTCTCCGGAGGGTGTACAAAATGGAAATCTGTCTGTAGAAGTAATGTCCCCCATAGTTGCTCCTTCTCGCAATATTGGTCCACATGAACATCTCTCTTCGCACGATGTTGATGGCCGACAAAATCAAACAAATCATGATTGCGATCGATCTACACACTTCCGTGCCAGAAATGGCAAAAAGAACGATGCGAACCAGCTTACTGGTCAAATTATTGGGCTCAAGATGCATCCCAATCATGCCGTAGTGCAGCGGGTCCAAATTGAACGGTACACAACCGGCGGCCAAAATCAAGGGAATTTTTACGTAGACTTGCACCGTTAATCTAGCCACCTTAGTAAGCCAGGTGCTTATATGGCCACCGTTTTCCTCTTGGGGGCGAACTGATGCAGGAAAAAATTATAAGTGACAAAATATTTGCATAAAATCTAGATTTGAGTGGGGTCAAACATTTTAAAATCCCGACCGGCCCGCATCCGCACTCAAAATAAGGTAGTAATGAATCATTGCCATGCGGAATGACTATGTGGCTCTACCACGTCGGTTACGATTTGTCGTAGAAATGGTAGTAATAATTTCAGGGAAATTCAAATTCATTACCAAATATTAATGAAGTGAATACCATTATGTATTAAATTTGAATTTCCCTGAACTTATTATTACCATCTCTACGACAAATCGTAACCGGCGTGGTAGAGCCACATAGTCATTCCGCATGGTAATGATTCATTACTACCTTATTCTGAGTGCGAGCTTGTCGGGTTTAACCCGTGACCATTTTAAAACTTTACTATGGGTACACCATCATAAGAAAACTTGCCTCTTATTAGCTGCTGAAACATTACGAATGATCGTTCCATTTCCCCCACCATATAAATTTTCCAGAAAAACATTACAGGAACAAATATTGCAAACATGCCAAGTAACATTACCAAGATGAAGACTTGCATAAGTATGACATCATATGGCACCCTGTTCTCGAAATGAATACAAATTTGAAGTTTGTCGGTCAAAGAAGCCAGCACGATTGTAATCACTGGAAAGATAAATGTTATGAAGGAGCAGCCAATTCGAATCAGGGGTTTGTAATCCCTGGTCCACTTGAAATCTAGAACGAATCTAAACTTTGCTATGTCCCAGTGGAAGGGGAATTTCCCGAACAGGTATGATTTTTCCATTATATCCGAATAAGCGAGTAAAGGCCCGAAAAATTCGGTAATTTCTGGTGGGGGTGTGCACATTCCGACTTTTTCTAAATTTATATATCCTTATTTGTTTAAGGGAGTGAGGTGGGTGAAGAATTGCATGTCTCAACCGTAACATAAATACATAAGCTATGGACAAAACTAGCACGTAACCAATGTTGCAAGAAGACTAAATAAATAATTGATCAACTTTCAATGCTCTACATTACTTACAATTAGTGAAATTTCTTACAAACCACTTGGGTAATTATAAAACGACCTGATTAATTAAAAGTGGATATTCGGGAGTAAAGGAGAAATTAATTTTCTTTGAACTTCAATTAGAATGCCCGACTTGAAAGAAGTAATTGGACTATAAATACAAACATATTTCATCGTGGGATTTATGCCTTGGGAATATTTTGTGTGAATATGGATGTGTATTTACCTATATACTTTTCAGGTTAGGGGTTTTAATGTACGACTCCTTTGTAGTAAGTAAGCTTTTCTGATGCGTAATTTGTGTAATGTGTATGCAATGATAATCCCGTGGAAAATGACAGAATCGGATCCCGCATGAACTTTTGTCGCCAGTAGAATCCCATATAGTCTTACTGGTTCTAATAGATTTGTCTTATTGGAGATGAATCAATTCTAGTATGCATCTCTTTAAGGGTTCCCACTTGCAACAGATTTCAACTGGTAATTTTTGGATTGCATTTCATACATATGCTCATGTATATGTATGTATATATGTACATACATTATGGAGTTGAATACATACATGCATTCTACTAACATACATAATGTATGTAACATACATATGTATACATGTATGTATGTATTGGTATGTATGTACATACATGTATGTATACATGGCCGACACGGGGCACACATTTTCCATGAAATTTGCTTATATGGACATATTGTCATCCCGATTGTCAATTATTTAATGATGGTGTGCAACATGCAAGTCATCTTTTCAAAACCCTGCCCTTCATATCAAAGAGTCATTTTCTTTTTTTAATAGTCATTCCTAAATTTACTCGCTAATTGAGCAGACATCCCAAATCGTCTTTTAAATTCCTTCTAAAAATAATGGGGTTTCATCCCTGCTGCGGCGGTTCGCTGCAAACTTGGACGAAAGTGATCGCAATTTTGCAAATTGTAGGGATACATATATAACAATTTATTATTTTATCCTTACCAGTGGCTGCGGAAACCGTGGGGACATTAACATGGCAGGATAGTGGAAGGAAGGGTTTATATGACATGGGCAGATGATGGGGACATCGAGAAACCGTGGGGACATTGTCCCTCTGACACCATTCCGCGGCCACTGATCAATATACATTTTTTTAATCGTGTCTAAATAACTATTGCTCAGATTAAGGCATCAATTTCACTCTTTGGTGGTGTCATTCTTCTCGCTTGTGGTGGGCTTTTGGCACTTGCCCCCTCACTTGCCCCCGTAAATGTAACCTCCACCATCACGAGCAGTCACCACGGGGGAATCGTGACCAACACGTCGCATGCTTATCTTCATACGACCCTCCTACCTCCGATAAGCCATCCCTTGGACCATTTCCATTTTCTCAACCAATCCACCTCAAACACTACCGGGCCAGATTTTGACCAGAATTCTGTTAAAGTCTTCCACTTTCTTGGTAAATACGAAAAATACGGCGCATTTTGAGATGTAAAATTTTCTAAAATTTGAAGAGTCAATTTGCAGGTGGCATATTAATCATGGCCAGCGTTTTCACCATTATAGAGGGATTCATAACCTTGATCTTGTCCATAATTTTGTTTAACGGGGCTTCAAACGTAAGATTATGTACTACACTCTTAGAAATCCAGTATTAAAATAATACCGTGTAGTAATACATAGCTCGGTATTCAAATTTTACCATATCCGTAGCAAATTTTTACGGATCGGCATAAGTTTAATACCAAGTGGCAGAGTTTTAATACCGAGAAATCAATAATGGGTTTCTAACAATGTAGTAAAAAATGGACATCCATCCATTATATTTTTACTTGTTTGCTAATTTAATTTTTTGCAATTTTTCGCAATTTTTTTCTAGCGACTTGTTGGAAAATGTCGCGTCTGGCTTATCGTCCAAGCCATCTTTCTCTTGCCTGCGACCGTCTTCTATTTTGCGAGATTGACATCTTCCTCCTCTGACCATCTTACCAACTCTACCGGAGCTATTGGGCTTATCATCAACGGGTACTGCATGTGGGTCGTGTACGCCTTCATAAATGAGATGCGGGGGGAGGAGGCAGCCAAGCGGATGGGGCTTGGACAAGCATATTATGGACAAAAGGCGTAATTTTTGCAAAGTTAAAAATAACTTTGTACCAATTGATCCTGAACAATTGAGAAATATACAATTTAATAAAATTTGGACATGCAAGTTGAGATAATAAATGAGACACGATTTAAATAATTTGCATGCAATGCATATTATAACAATAAATAAATATACATAATTATGTGCAACATACATGCATATGTGCAGAACATTTTTTTGCGAGACGGATTTGATGTTCGTGTTTTATTGCGAAGTTAGATATTTAACCAAAGTTCAGAAGAGTCGTAAAAATTGATGCTTTTGTGAATATGTAAATTATGCATTCCAGGTACGCATATCGTTTCTATAGTTATTGCTACTGACTGGTTTTAGATAAGAAGAGAATATTTATTTATTACTGATTCTATTTATGAAAAGTTCACGAAAACATTTTACTTCGGTCGGAGTATTTATGTATTTCATTACCCGCATGCAACATTTTGCAGATTTACATACTTCATGCATTTCATGTATTAAAGTATTTAAGGATAAGAATCGAAGATTTCGGATACTTGATCTTATCATTATTTTCTTTCATTAATTTATTTTCTTTTTGAGATTAATATAGAGGGGTAAGAAAAAGTATTGAGACACTTGGACCTTTTTCCTTCTAAATGGTCGAAAAAATGATTCTACAAATCTCAAATTTTGATAAAATATGTTAAATATATCTAGTCAAAGATATTCGTGGACAAAGAATACTTTAATCAATTATCCATCTCGTATTTAACTTTTTACATCACGCCGGCCATTACTGGTTTTTTCGGAAGACTTTGCAACTTCATTTTCAATTTTCTCCTACTGGAACCAGTGGCGGATAAATAGGGTATGTGGGGTAGGCGTGACATAGGGGCCCCCGCGCAGCGGGGGCCCCCGGGTGCGGCATGGTGTACATATTGCTATGCTTAAGTTTGGTCAACGAATTTCGAAAAATAAATTCACTGATACTGCGGATAAATTATTATTAAGTTAATTGTTATTAAGTACTCGCATAACAAATAGTTTGGGGAAACTACAAGTAGTTAGTTGAGTATTTATGGATATATGTTGATGGTAATTAGGTTACGATTATTTTTGCCGATTTGGAATAAATTTGTCACTGGTCGATTATAAATTGATAACCAGTCAGTGGTAGACTCAAATATATATATGTTCGATTCTGGTTATAATCGTAACCGAGTCATTTCCATTGTGGATTATGTAATCTTGGAAGGTGCTTTCTTGGTGTTCTAACAATTTTTGCATGCGATTCCGTAAAATTTTCGCAGGAATCAATGTGGGTGCCCCTGGACAGAGGTGAGACCTAAGCAAAAACTGATTTTTTTATATTCTTGAAATATAACAAATAAACCGTCACAACGAATGTAACCAAGGGGTGAAAGAAGTGTGTTATCCGTATTTCAATTCAAATTGATGCATGTATGCAATTTGACCTTTAAATGACATTTCATGACCTTTTGACCTTGATGGGTGTGACCTACAGTGCCCATCTTCGAACTCGTCCTCTCTATTGACGTTAGGAGTTTACGTTCAAAATTTCAAGTGTCTATGTCTTTTCGTTCAAAAGTTATCGGAGCTACGGACAGACAGACGGACGGACGGACGGACGGACAGACAGACGGACATAACGATCTTATAAAGGGCTTTCACCCCTTAATAAATATGTGCCAAGAATTATATTTCAACAAAATTTGGCTAGAAAAAAGTCTCATATCTGTCAAGGGGCCCCCAAATTTATTATCCAGCTACTAAAGTACCAGAAAATTTTGCGGAATCGCATGTAGAAAATGTCAAATAAATATTATGTTGGCCTCTTTATTAAGGGATGAAAGGCCTTTATAAGATCGTTATGTCTGTCTGTCTGTCTGTCTGTCTGTCTGTCTGTCTGTCTGTCCGTAGCTCCGATAACTTTTGAACGAAATGACGTAGACACTTGAAATTTTGAACGTTAACTCCTAACGTCAGTGGACAGGACGAGTTCGAAGATGGACACTGGTACATCGTCCCCCAGGACGATGACGTCGTCCCAGTGACGAAAAGTGACGAAAAAGTGTCACATGTCACTTTTGACATTTGACACATCATTTTTAACTATTTTTCAATGTCGAACTCAATGGTGACCTCCATTTTGACCTCAGGGGTCATGTAAAGGTCATAGGACATATCTATGTCAATTTGAACTGAAATTTAACCCCGAATTCAATGGTGACCTCCATTTTGACCTCAGAGGTCATATAAAGGTCACAAAAAGGGTTATCGGCTGTTAAATTTGAAACACGTCTGAAGTATCAGTCTTAACAAATTTTCGAACAATTCGATATTCACTTTGACGTATGACACACTACTTTCACCCCTTGGTTACATGCGTTGTAACGGTTTATATTAATCGTTGTCTCAATCTAGTTCATGGTGATTCCGATCTTTGAATTGGGAATTATTGAGACGATGGCCATAAGTGGTTAGGATTAAAAGTAACTGTAGAACTTCAGTCATTTCTAAAGCGATACTGTCTGGCGTAATTTTATTTCTGGGAGCGGTGCAACGTAGAAAAAACTGAATATTTTCTCTAACAAATTAAAATAGTTCGATAACATTACCAGACATTAAAAATGTCGCCAATCGGAGTTCTTTTTAAGCAAATTCATTATCCGTATCAAGTCGGAGCGCATAATTTAATTAACTTGACAAAATATGCTTGCTAAACATGCATAGTACACAAAATAACAGAAACAAAATATTATAAAATCTAGCATATTTACAGTGTACAAACAATTGAGTATCAAACAATTAAGTGCACGTTGAAGTTTTTTTTAACTACGATATGATGCCGTGTACTTAGAGCTTCTAAACTCCACACTCATTTGTATAAACTCAGCCGAATAGTTCCGCGTCGCCGAGTTTTAAGGTCACCGATATTCAAATGTCAGAATTTTTTAGCAATTCGAAGTGAGAGCCATTTGAAGAGCCAGATGAATTTTTCGCCAAAATAGTTTTTGATGCCTAAAATCGCGACCGCGGCGAAATTAAAAGAATTGAAAGATGCAAAAGCCTATAGAAAGTGCATACCGTAAAACCTCTATTTATAGCCGGGGCTAAAATCCAAAACTGAGGGTCACGGACCCGGCTAAAATTAGAGACCGGCTATAATTAGAGACCCGGCTAAATTTTGTTCGGCCCAAAATTTTAGATTTTACAAAATCAAAGAGAAGTCATGTTGACTCAATTTGAGTTTTCTAATTTAGCAAGATAAGCCATAAGTAACTCATTCACTTTTAATCTACATCTTGAAACGAAGTTTAGCAGGTTTTTTTTAAATTTTCTGTCATGATTATATCCATTATTAACCTGAAATTAGTAGGAAAAAATTAGTAGTTCAACTTATTCGTTGATTGGCATAATGTGTAACATTTTTCTTGAATGGACTATGAACAGGGACACAGCGGACAAGACAGGTCATAATTAGAGACCCGGCCATAATTGGGGACCCGGCTATAATTAGAGACCCGGCTATAATTTTGAAATCTTGGTCTCTAGACCCGGCTATATTTGGAGACCGGCTATAATTAGAAGAGGGCTATAAATAGAGGTTTTACGGTATATGCTTTTGTACATATATTTCAGTATATTGTATATTTTGTAGGCATCAAAAACGTTTTTGGCGAAAAATTTCTGTGGGCGTCAAAAACATCGTACACTGTCGTAGCTCATTTTCCTAGCTCATTTTCTTCGTAAGACCTTGCAGTTTCCAGTAAAATATATTAGAAAGTTAAAAAAAATATGCAGGGAGTTTTATTTTTTGGCTCTCATTTCGAATCGCTAAAAAATTCTGACATTTGAATTTCGGTGTTCTTAAAAATCGGCGACGGGGAATTATTTGGCCGGCATTTATAAAACCACCCCCACCCCCACCCAAATCCACCCCCACCCCCACCTAAATCCACCCCCACCTCCACCCTCATCCACCCCCACCCCCACCCCCACCCCCATCCACCCCCACCCCCACCCCCATCCACCCCCACAATTTTTATGGGGCAACGTGAGATACCTTGGGGCAAAGTGAGATTCTATTTCATATTGGGGTATAGTTCGTAATTAGCGAGCGAAGCGAGCAGGTTAGGTTAGATCAACTAGGTACGCGGAATGCTTGGAAGGCTGAGCTAGCAAACCTAGCTAGCTAGGCTAGATAGAACCTAGGTAGCTAGGGTAGCTAGAACCTAGGTAGCTAGGCTAGATAGAACCTAGGTAGGTAACCTAGCTAGCTAGGCTAGATAGAACCTAGGTAGCACTTCTAGCTAGCTAACCTAGGTAGCCTTGCTAGCTAGCAGAGCTACCTAGGTTAGCTAGCTAGAATTTCTACCTAGGTTCTATCTAGCCTAGCTACCTGGATTTGGGTGGGGGTGGGGGTGGTTTTATAAATGCCGTATTTGGCTGAGTTTATCCAAACGCGTGCGGAGTTTAGAACCTCTAAGTACACGACATCATATCGTTACTAAATAAACGTCAATCGTTGTCACTTGTAACTCAATTGTTTGATACACTGTAGTTAAGAATTTAAAATACCGTTGAATATCGCAAAAAATCCCACCTAGGGGCCCCGAGTTGGCTTTATCCGCCACTGACTGGAACCGAAATTTTCTTAAAGTATCGATTGTTTCACGAAGCTGGAAGTATGTCTTCTTACATGAAGTCCAACATCTTTCGTTGGGGCGAAAATTAGGGATATTTGGAGGGTTTTCATTTTTCAAAATCAAACTGCCATTTGATCACCATGCATTTTGATGCCAACCAAATTTGAAATTTCTTCAGAAATATTCAACATTATTTTAATTTTTCTTCAGTTTTCACTTGAGACATATATTTGTCATGAAAAAATTCCCTTCCCGGAGTTTCTTGCTAGTTTTTAAGAACATAGGACTCGTCGTCAGTGACTAATTTTTTTGGTAAAATTTTATTGTAGAGCTTGTGAGGTCTTGCGTTTACCATTTTTTCTTGACCTTCCGTGTGGTTTACTGAAGATTTGTTTGTACACGCCTTGACCCACAACTTATGGGCCTTAATATGATGAAAGTGGTTTGAATTTATCTTTGACCGTTTGGCCGCATCATCCATGGAGGTGGAGCGACATTTTCCGAAAATAAATTCAATCGTTTTTAACTTAAAATGGGTCATTATGATGTTTTTTCTCATGATGGTTATTCGAGGTTGACATTTTCGGATTCTCCATACTTTTTCGTGTAAGTCTTAATTTTTGCACCCCCACCCCCTTCTCCGTTGAAATGTAGTCAAGCCTTCTGAGAGTCTTTGTCAATCAAATTTTGGTACTTCCGTAAAACTCGATTCGCGAGTTCGTCGCTTTGAAAGGGCGTAGGAAATTTATGTTTAATTTTAAGGGCATGAAACTTTGTGGCTTCGGAGTTCGATATATTTAGCATATTACACCAAATTTTGAGATTTTTAAATTCATTTTTTGACCCTTAAAAAGGACCTAGGTCCAAGTGTCTCAATACTTTTTCTTACCCCTCTATGTACTTTAAAATTTTTATTCAATGAATAATTAAATCTTACTAGTGAGGTTGTTTTGATAATGGCGTGTTTTTATAAACAAAATCCATGTATTAGGCTCAAATTCATATTGATTATTACATGAAATACTAAACATTTCACACAAAAAAAACATGATATTCATCCATTTATTGGCAAAAGCCAGCCGAGTCAGAAATTGCGACAGGTTTGCAGGCCAACCCAGGACAGCAGACTCCGATTGTGGCTTGGATGACCCCATCCAACTTCACCGTCGAGCAAAAGAGCCCCTTCTTGATGCACTGCAATAATTGGTAACAAGTTTTAAATAAAACGGTAAAAGTGTATGTGGCAGGTAAGTACAAATTATTTTGCCAAGGAGAAAAATAAATATTCAAAGCAAATTGTGCCGAATAATTTCAGAAATGGACAACTCCACTAGTCTTACGATAGATTTATCATTAGTCAGTTACTGATAAATATTTCACAATAATGAGAATATTCGCTATTCATGATTATGTACTTCGTATTCAAAGTATTCTTCGTATTGGAACATAAGTTCCGACGGTTTCGAGATTTTGTAGACATCTTAAGTCTTTGTCAAGAAAAATCACGCTGCTAAACTTCGATTTTTAAACTGCTTGACCTCTGGGGTTTTTCTTCTTAAATTATTTTACGATACTATGTAATGACCTTCAATATTTCACAAACTTATCGATTGGAATTATGTAGGTTAGCTAAATTTACATATTTTGAAAATATTAAACAATAACTTACAATGCAAGTCTTACGTGTACAACTCAGATCTGGTTGAGACCAATTTTATTTTATTCACCACAAAAAATAACATACCCGTATTTTTTCATTTTTCCTAATGCGCTAATTTGAGCGCGAGGCGCAAATTTTAAAACATTTTTCAGCCAAACCCTCGCTTTTTAAAAATTCTGTAAATTTTCGAATTTTAGCGCGAATCTAAAAATTCGAAAACATGTCTCTTCAGAATGACTTACTTGACTTATGAAAAATCCAAATGCATTATTTTTTGAAAAATTAAAAATTTGAAAGAGTTTATAATTTTAATGAATTTCAAAAACTGGCAAAAAATTTTGAAATTCAAATTTCGACACAATTGGATTTTTCATAAGTCAGGTAAGTCATTCTGAAGAGACTTCGAATTTCTAGATTCGCGCTAAAATTCGAAAATTTACAGAATTTTTAAAAAGCGAGGTTTTGGCTGAAAAATGTTTTAAAATTTGCGCCTCGCGCTCAAATTAGCGCATTAGGAAAAATGAAAAAATACGGGTATGTTATTTTTTGTGGTGAACAAAATAAAATTGGTCCCAACCCGATGTGAGTTGTACACGTAAAAGACTTGCATTGTTAGTATGTATTACCTCCTGTCCAGCCGCGGTAAGAGCGAACATAGCCAGAACCAGGCACACTATCAAGACAACGCTTTTATAATTCATTTTTGTTCTTGGATAAGTTCCAGAAATTTGGGAATTTTTGGTTTTTATTAAAATTAGCTTTTAACAAAATTGTAAAAATGGTAATCAAATCGTATTAATGCTATGGTGACCACACTTGTACCTCCTTTTATACGAGCTACTCTACACAACTGTCAAATTAATATCATATGCACATTCATACATACTCCATCAATTAAAGAATTGCGTGCAGAGTTATTAATAATAGATAATTATTTCTTATCTAATTCTTGCTAATTCGATTTTTTTGTAGTGTTCGTGCAAATAAATGCACAGAAAAAGTTAACAATGCCTGAAGCTCATCCCATTGTTGTATGTATGTACCTATGATGTACAAGTTTTCGGGGAGATATGATACGTAATTATGCAAATCACTGCAAATACATCCATATAATTGGTTATATAAATTATGAATTGTTCATTATGTTTGACTTTTGTTAAAAATTTGTCAGGAATTAGAATTCATGGATTCAGCTGGAATCACCAATCTTGACAACCATTGTTGTACTATATGTACATACAAGTATGTAGCAAGCTTTTATTCTGCGAATGACATATTTAATATCTGCACTTATGTAAATTATATGCGAATACAATTCTATACTTAGGTAATTGAATAAAACTTATACTGATGTATTAAAAATATGCAATATATTTAATGAGGGTATTATACATATAGGTATTTTCCTTACAGTGTAGTTATGAAATAGGTATGTGTAGGCACATCCCTGAGTTACTTACTTATTTATTGGAGATATATAAATAAATAAATGTATATTTACACTGTTAAAAACCTCACAAGGCACATTATGAGACTCAGATATCTGTATTTATGTATGTACTTTTATTACTGTTCTTTCCATGAAATCATTTTACATACATACATTTATTTCGAAAAAGCTAAACGCCCAGCGCCGTACATAAGTTTCTCTATCTGAATATATGTATGTGACGAAGGGTGTGGTCTGTGAATGGTAATTGTGTGACTTTGGATGAGGATGGTATGTATGTTATTGTGAATAGTGGAAAACTTTGATGTTTAATAATGTGTAGAGCACAAATGGGGGCGTTTTAATTTTGATGTTAAGTTACAATTTAATGGTCAAGGAAAATCTAATGGTTTACAAATTAGGACCGAATTGACTCTCATAAAGATATTGAATTGATTGTTGAAGAGTGACTAATTTGGCTTCCGTGCTGGCTGACGGCTGGCCTGAGAGTGCGGAGCAAGTTGAACTTGCTGGGCAAAATTGGACAAGAGAGAGGAGTTTCATAATACATTTACATAATGAACAAAAATATTAAAATGAGACAAAATATGTATGACAGTACTGAACAGTATGTATGTATGTATGTACATATGTATATTTATACCCAGCATTGGTATTGATTTGGTAATACAACTTCCTGCCCGATTGGCATTTACAAGTATGTTTCTGAGTAAGTTTTTCATTATGATATGACATATGGTTCGACAATTTCACAGAAATACGGTCTACGCATCTACATATGTAGATAAGTAGTAGAGTGTTTTTAGCCTATCTTGCTACGTAGTGTCGACGTTCAACCCAGGCCCCTTGGACCATGAGTCATGTTATCATGATAAGGAGCATCATGGTTGATGATCCAATGTGTATATGGGAAATGGGTACATACTACATAAATGCGGATTTACATAAATACATATGTACATATGTACTCATATACACGCGTACATTGATATAAACAAACATACCTATGTACATGTGTACATAATAACGTTCTAATTTTTAGAATGCATTTTGTACACGTGTCCATATGGGACTGTGCAAAAAAGCATGTAGTCGATTTGAGTGGGGGCAGAGGTCAAGACTGTCCTTCCCGTACTAATAATTTATAACGTGGGACATATAGGTCACACCGAGGGGGAAGGGGTCCGGATTCTCCCAACACCGATCACATGTTTTAGTTTAGCCCCTATGAATGTGTATTAGACACTCACAGGGCACATGTGTACATATTTACTTATAAAATGTATTTAGTTCTAAGGCTTAGTCATCCTCATAATCAAAGAATGCGGTCTGCAACATGCAAGCCAGTGACCGCGGTAGCATGTGGACATGGGGACAATGTCCCCTCGGAAATCTTGCCGTAGGGACATGCAACGCATTTGTCCCCACAGTCCAGTGGGACTGAATGTGCAAAAACATCGACATGCGCAAGCAATAATTCAAAATTAATATGACAAAACGCCCAATCTCTCAATTCCAATCTAATCTAAAGATACATTAATTGGTTGAATTTATTACTAGAGCCATTCACATATGCAATTAATTTTATACTTATGGTAAAATCGGTGAGATTCTGAGTTTCTTGCAGTTTCTAGAAAATTTTGTATTTTAACCTTCCGATTCCTGTTTTATCATTCCCATCAGTAATATTTTTTTTAATGGAAGAGTTTTTTTTCCTTGAAAAAAAATCCTTGAAGCACCTTTAGCCTTGAAGAATTGGCTATGAAAATATGTCTGTTATATGTCCCAAATTACCTTCCGCGACCACTGATACAAGCCACATACCCTATTCTGCTCAAGAATCCTGCCCTTCATGTTACCATCTTCTTAAACCAAGTCATTCCTTAACTTCCTGCCTAACCGAGTGGACACATCGTTTCCAAAGTCTCTCTATATAAAACTTTTCTTAAGAAAATGGCAAAATGGTATCATCCCTGCTGCGGTGGGTCGCTGCAAACTTGGACGAAAGTTATTGCAATTGTGCAAATTGTACGGACAAAAAAAATCCGCTAATATTATTATTAATTTTTCACATATCTTACACAAATATATTAAATTTAAAGTCATCTAGCACTTCGATGGTGTGAAGCGTAAGTCTCGAAAGAAGCGTAAGATTTTGTTGAAATTTTAAAATTATATTGTCCAAGTTCATATTTACAACCAACGTTTCCTGACGAAGTTTTGCGATGGTTGGAATTAGTCAAAATAGATATTTGAGGTAAAAGTTGAAAAATGACTGATTTTTTCCTTCAAATGGACTTCGCTTGGTAATAATCGCCCATTTTCACCTTTTACCTCTAACATTTTTTACTAATTCCCCCCATCACACAAAGTGTCTCAAGAAATTTTGGTTTTATTTACTTGGACCACACAATTTTAAAATTTCAACCAAATCGGAGAGTTACACTTCACACCATCGCATTGTAAGTATGTATAATTTTAAAATTACAGTTTTAAATCCGGTTTTTTACCTATTCTTCAGATTATGGCAGCAATTTGTCTCTACGGTGGCATCGATGTTCTCGTTTCTGGTGGTCGTATGGCGCTCGCCAACGTAACTTTTCCCCTCAACGGAACCACGCCCAGTGATGCCCCCGTGGGTATGATGACCAGCACGTCGGATTCTCATTTTGACACGACCCCCCTGCCCCCAAGGACCGATCCCTTGGACCATTTCAATCCTGACAACAACCAAGCCGTACGAGTTTTGGAACAGAGTATGACTAAAATTTCAAACGCAGTCGGTACGAAAAACATATTTATATATGTCGAATTTTGTAATATTTACGCACATAATTCGCTAAAATCTAGACCCAATTTGCAGGTAGCATATTAATCGCGCTCGGCATTTACATCATTCTAGAGGGATTCGTCACCTTGCTCTTTTCCGTCATTTTGTTTTACGGGGCAGGAAAGGTACGATTACACTCTTAGAAATATTGTGTTAAAATAATACCGAGCGGTATTAATGTATTTATAACCAAAGTTGTTTTAATAAGACATAATGCATATAAATATATGTATTGTATTGAAAAAAATAAGACTGCTAGAAATCAGGTACATATGGTCGTGCAGGTATTGATTTCTCGGCATTAATGTTAAAATACCACTTGGTATTAAAGGTATTCCTGTCCATGAAATTTGCTACTGCTGTGGTAAAATCTTAATTCCGAGTTGTTACAACATATGTAATCCCTCGGTATTAAAGTTTTACCATCATATCGATAGGAATATTTTACGGACCGGTACAATTTTAGTACCATAATACCTGCGTGACTTCTGATTTCTGACAGTGTAGTAGAACAAGTCAAATAACGATTCTTATTTTCTTGTAATTTTTTGCACTTTTTGCAATTTTTTTTAGCGAATTGAGTTCATGTGTCTACCCTGGCTCTTCGCGCAAACCATCTATTTCTTGCTGGAGATCATCTTATTTTTCCTGAGATTCGCATCCCCCTATTCTGACGAGCTTACCAACTGGACCGGAGCTGTTGGGCTTATCATCAACGTGTACTGCATTTGGGTGGTGTGTGACTTCATAAATGAGTTGGAGGAGGAGGAAGCAGCCAAGCGGATGCGACGGGGGAAGGCATGTCGTGAACAAAAGGTGTAATTTTGCGCATTTGTCCATTTTCAAGGGAACTATACATGTAAAAATTGACCCTGAATTAATTAGGGGTATGGAATTTAATAACACTTTGCTTAAAAATGTAGACATGATTTAAATTATTTGCTAACTATGTATGTAGAAATATAAGTACTTAATTAAATATATTTATAAATTAAGATGAAGTTTTTTTACATGTGTGGCATTTTTGGTAAGATGAATTGGTTGCACTTTATTTATGACGAATTCAATGTTAACTAAATAAAATCCAATTAAAATGAGTCATAAAAATTGGCACTTTTGCGAATAACTTCTGCACGCACGCAGTGTTGTATTGCAAAGTGCGAGCACGATTTGTAAATCAATATATCTACATGCTAACAGCAGAAACCGTTTTATCTACTCATTTTAATAAACAGTATCATGATAAGTACTGCGGCAGTACTTATCATTCTGTACATATAAATATTGAGGTAAATTATGTTTGATTAGGAAATATACATATTTATGCAGGTACGTAGAAATATGGATTGGATGCCAAAAACTGCACGAAAAATTTTGGCTTCATATTTTAAGCCACAAAACACTTATCATGCATATTTATGTATTTTTATTTGAAACACCAAACATTTCAAAAAGAAAACCTGCCTCGATTTGTTATAACATTTTTACTGACAATGTCTCGTAAATTGAGGACTGTATGTTTTTTTTTGTTTGTGTGACTATTTGTGCAACTGGCGGTGGCGAAATGTGACCGTAAAAACTGTAAATAAGGGCGATGTGGTCACAATTAGTTACTGGGTTGGTAGTGTCGTTTTATTCGTCACACAAAGAGCATTAATTACAAATTTATGAGTGTTACAGAGAGACGAGGGGAAAAGTACGTGTTATTATTCCCGTAGCTGGAGAGACACTGTTCACTTTGCACAATTGTTCCAGAGAATATTACCAAAAAAGAACGCTTCTTTTACAAAAGGAACACCCTCCTCTCCTCCTCTCCACCAATCACAAAAGAACACCTTGAAAGTTAATTTAATTAAAAGAGGAGGAGAGGAGAGGTCAAACTTTAAATAAAAATACAAAAGAGAGGAGATAAAATTGGACAAAACTCCAATTATCTCGAGACATACTGGAGCCCCGTTTAAATTTCCCTACGGGACTCCAGTCTCAAACCCATATAAAAATCATATTTTCATGTCATGCAAATTCTATTATCATTATGAGGTCATATATTTGTTTAAAAATAATTGTGTTGATTTCTCGACGGCAGACAATATAAGTATGTATACATATGTCTCAACGCACATAATTACATACATACATATGATAGCATTAATCATACTGTAGTTATTTTTCACCACACTGCACAACAAATTGCATATTTCTTTCTCCCGTGCACAGTCTCAGATGCGCCTCCATCTCTCTAACCCTTGCAAATCGTACCTGGCATAAGTAACAAGGAAACCCTGACATTCTCCTTACTTTAGAGTGCCCTTCTAAATGTGCCCTTAATTCAGGGTTGCTAAAAAACCTCTTGGGACACAAGTGACACTGCAATTCGTTCACTCTGTAGTGAATCCGTCGCACATGGGTGCTCACTACTGTCCTCTTGAAGCTGGCATAGTCACACATTTTACAAGAGAAGCGCTTTTCCCGCGTATGGGTCGCCACGTGCTTCCGGAGTGAGTCGTGGACACTGAACCGCATCTCGCAGACGCTGCAAATGAACGGCTTTTCCTTTGTGTGGGTGAAAATGTGGCGGTTCATGTTACCCATAAAACTGAACGATTTCTTGCACAAGGAGCAACGGTAGGGTTTTTCTTCAATGTGTTTTCTCATGTGACCCGCCAGTTCCCAAAGTTCGGCTTTCCGTTTCGGACAAAAGTAGCAGACTAAATGATTCCTTGCAGGGTCACGGGTATGAATGTCTTCGTGTCTGCAGAGTTTATATCTATCAAAAAATGCTGCAGAGCACGTGGAGCATTTATGGTCTCGCGAACGTTTGAGGGTACTATGAGTGCGGGAAATATGAAGTTTTAGTTCGTAGGGATACTCGAACTTGGCGTTGCAATCATTATGCGGACAAGATAACTTTTTTCGGTCGTTATCCGACTTCGTGTGGATATGCGTGTGACCTAAATACATATGAAAACGCATTATGAATTATAATTAGTGAATAATTAATTATTTTAAGTAAATATTCAAGCAGTCATTGGTAACATAAATTCTGTCAACTTCCTGATGAAAATTAGCTCATAAATTTTTGAAAACTTATATACATATTTACTTAGATGGCGGGGGTCTTTTTATTGCTTAAAAGTTTGTAAAACTACTTTACACACTATGTAGCTACCAATGGCTACGTGAACTACCTCATTTAAAAGAAAATAATTCCACTCACGTCTCCAATTTGAGTAAGACGACAGCATTTTGGGACAATGAGGACAGGAGAAGGATCTCTCGCCCGTGTGTGACGAAATATGTGCCCCCAATCCGAGCTTAGTCTAATCATATGTACATAAATAAAATATCAATATGTAATTGATTTGGGTTCTTCATTAATTTTATTAAAATTTGATTATTTTGAAGACGTTTAATCACACATTAAATAGGTACATGTAAAGTTGTGTAAAATTTACTCCAAGTTGGGCAAAATAGAGGATGCTAAAGCAATTGGGTAACATTTATCGAGCATTTGTGTCAGCTTATTTTACTTAATTTTAAAATAACCAGTAAAAGTTACACTACTTTATTTGGAGTGCACGTTGAAAGATTAATAATCTTTTTAATAAATATTTACCTTGAAAGATTTTTCGCACTCGGTGCACCCAAATTTTTTCAGGGTCGAATGTGTCTTATTCTTGTGAATATGTACGTCAGTACTGGTGTAGAAATCCTTCTGGCAGATGTCACACTAAAAGTTACGGAGTCTCGGGCCGGGGGGATGCATTCGCCTCAAATGGACTGTAAGATTCCCTTTTAAGGTGAAGAACTTGTCACAATTTTGATCTGTGCAAAAATATAACTTCCCATTTTTTGCGGTTTTCACACGCTTTAAAGGAGACTTGCCCCTCGGCAGGCTGCACTGTTGGGGTGAACACATTTTAAATATTTGTTATTCACAATTGACCTGAATGTGGTCAAGTGACGTGTTTTTATCCTGAATCTGTACTTGTTGGATTTTGGGGTGATTTTGTACGTTACATTTGAAACTCGAACATTTCTCGGTTGAATAAGTAACACTTCCAGGTCTGAGAAGGAATGAGTGACTAGATATTTAGTATTCAAGATAGGTAAATACTTTTGTCGACATTCCACGTATGTACATATTTTAGATTAATATAGACATAATTACATAGACATTTTGCTCCGCTTTCTTGAGGCAGGTGTATGTGCATACCCATCATTACTCGGCTTTTGGGTTTATACACAAATATGCAAGTTAACCCTTTAAAAACAATTCCATCCCTTTTCTCAAATTCTCGGGAATATGAACATCTGCACCTTTTTTGCTCATTCTTAAATTTGTTGCTAACAACCCTGTTAAAATGTTCGTTGAAACAGACTTCATGTAGGGCAGGTTCGAATTTTTAAGAAATTAAATTCGTTCAGGACTACATCGATTGTTCCTGCCATTTCCCATGGGTTAATTCCGGCAGAGTACATATGTCGGTCACTTCCATTTTCCGGTACATATGTATGTATACGTAGCTTGAAGAAATTGTATGTACATATACACATACTCATACATATATATTTCTATATAGACACTTCAACTACATACAATTAAATTTAATATTTAATTACTCATCCACTCATGAACAAAAGGTGTAATTTTCCGCACTTACATATCTATTTTCAGGGAAATATGTTATGTTATGACAATCGATAATGAATATGATAACGGATCCAGAACTAATAAGAGGTATACAATTTAACATAACGACGTTTTGACGTGGGGATAAGTTTGAATAAAATTTGAGTCACGATTTAAATGATTTTTGCATGCAATATTACATTCAAATACATATATGATTAATTAATTTTAACCATAAATAAGTAAAAGTGACGTGTGGAATTTTGCATGTGACGGTGTCCATACCAAACCTTGAAGCCTTGGCGGCTGGATTTTTGATTTTTGAATTTCCATCAAAAATAGGTCACAGACCAAGAAATTGGTGTAATAGAAGAAAAATTTTGAAAAAAGTTGCCCCCAACCTTCCGCTATGGCCATTATTATGAGTTTGGGCAGGGTTCGTAGTACGGCGATTTTTTCGTCAGTTTTTGAGCTAGGGAGCTGAAATTTCAGATTATACACCATTTTGAGTGTCCCGAGGCGGGACTTTTTCGTCTTAAGGGCTAATGTCTAAAATGACCTTAAAACCGGGCACTTTTCAACATGCAAGTTGTCCCATGGTTTAATATATATGATGTCAAGTCTCACATAGCCCCTTAGATGGGGTATCGTGAGAAAGGTCTCGGCAGGTGGATTCAGAATATATATACTCCTGTTTTTTTAACCATACGATCCTCGACGTCATCACTCTCATTACTAATAGCATTGCAGTGGTGACGTCGAGGGTCGTATCGTAAATAGACTGTACTTTGTGGGGTCTGGGACCACCCACTGATTAGTTATAGACCAATGAGTAATTTTGAGTTTTCCTTAATACGTGCTATGTTGGCTCTCAATCTGCTCGTGTGTTAAATTTTGTATGCCAAAACTCTCAACATTTCTTGATTTCTAGAAAATCAGGGGGGGTCCCAGACCCCACAAAGTATATATATATTCTGAATCCACCTGCCGAGACCTTTCTCACGATACCCCATTTATGGGGCTATGTGAGACTTGACATCATATATATCAAACCATGGGAAAATCTGCAAGTCGAAAAGTGACCGGTTTTAAGGTCATTTTCGACATTGGATCTTAAAACGAAAAAGTCCCGCCTGGGGATACTCAAGACGGTGTAGAGTACGAAATTTCAGCTTTCTAGCCCAAAAAGTGACGAAAAAATCGCCGTACTACAAACCCTATTCCAGATTACAAAAACGGCCATTACAAAGGACTGAAGCAACTTTTTTTCAAAATTTTTCTTCGTTTACACTAATTTCATGGTCTGTGATCTATTTTGGATGGAAATTCAAAAATCAAAAATTCAGCTGCCAAGGCTTCAAGGTTTGGTATGGACACCGTCATGTGGCATTTTTGGTGAATTTCTTACCCGTTATGCATTAAGATTACGCAATTAAGTAAGTATAATTCAGTTAAATGAGTCACACAGATTGTATAATTTTATGAATAAATTATGTCATACTGATGAAAATAAATCGATTCACATATTTACTCGTTATAATAAAAAGTTAGCGAAATACGTATGTATTTTATTTCGTAGCGTTGCAAATTTCTTGGCGCATTATGCATGCTAAATATGCATTGTATCGATAAATATTCTTTAGGGTACATATTTACATATGCTTAATCATTAAAAACATTAATTTTTGACCTACTCAATCCCACACATACATTTCAAAAACAGTGACTGACTTACATAAGGAGTAACAAAGTACATACTCATTTTTCTACAATAAACATTGACATACGTACTTTAGGTAAATAAATACTCCTACACAGTATACTAATTTCTCATCACACTAATTTTCTCTCTCCCGTGCACCGTCTCAGATGCGCCTCCATCTCTCGAACCCTAGCAAATCCTTCATGACATAAGTAACAAGGAAACCCCGATATTCTTCTAACTTTAAAATGCCCTTCTAAATGTGTCCTTAATTCCGGCTTGCTAAATACCCTCTTTGGACACATGTGACATTGAAATTCGTTCACTCTGTAGTGAATCCGTCGCACATGGGTGTTCACTGAGGTCCTATGAAAGGCCGCATAGTCACACATTTTACAGAAGAACCGCTTTTCCCGCGTATGGGTCGCCACGTGTGTTCGGAGCGATTCTTGGTTACTGAACCGCATCTCGCAGACGCTACAGGAGAACGGCTTTTCCTTCGTGTGGGTGAAAATATGTCGCGTCATGTTACCCAAAAAACTGAAGGATCTTCTGCACAAGGGGCAACGATAGGGTTTTTCTTGAGTGTGCTTTCTCATATGACCCGCCAGCTCGCACAGTTCGGCTTTCCGTTTCGGACAAAAGTAGCAGATTAAGTGATTCTTTACGGGGTCACGGGTGTGAATGTCTTCGTGTCTGCGGAGTTTGTTTTTGTCAAAAAATGCTGCCGAGCACGTGGAGCAGTTATGGTCTCGCGCACGTATTACGGTGCTATGAGCTTGCGAAATATGAAGTTTTAGCTCGTAGGGGTACTCGTACTTGGCGGGACAATCGTCATGTGGGCACGACAGCTTTTTTCTGGCATTATCTGACCTTGTGTGGATATACGTGTGGCCTGTCAAACAAATCATTCATTTATTAAAATTAGTTTTTAATTAGGTAATCATTGAGGTAATTCACGCAGTCATTTGTTGCATTGTAAGTTCCGCAAACTTTCAACCTTGTACATAATTTTATAAATATTTCTGAGGAAAATTAGTTCGCAAAGTTTTATAAATGTTTGTAAGTACTCAGACCAAGGACGTCTCTTATTTTGAGAAATTATCTCGCAAAACGTACGGATTTTACAAGTTACCGATGACTGCTTGAATTATGCACCTCGTTAAAAAATGTAATACATGAATTCACTCACGTCGCCAGTTTGAATAAGACGACAATATTTTGGGACAATGAGGACAGGCGAAGGATTTCTCGCCCTTGTGCGACCAGATGTGCACCTTCAACCCGAGCTGACTCTATTCATAAAATATCAATAATTGCTGTTATTAGTTTTATTTACATAAGGTTGTAAAATTTTAACTAATTTTATCTTAATTAATTATTAGAATACTTCCAATTACTCGTAAATATGTACATAAATTAAGTTGTGTAAAAAAATTTACTAAAAGTTAAGTATCTAAACTCAGCCATTGGGTAAAATTTATCCAAGGTTGTTTAAACTTGAGCTCAATGTTATAAATTTTAGGCGATATTTATGTGACTCTCTGCATATTTAGTCAACCTTAATTAAATTGTGCACAACCTAATGTTCGTTGAAATACATACCTTGAAAGATTTTTCGCATTCGCTACACCCAAATGGTTTCAGGGTTGAATGTGTTTTATTCTTGTGAAGGTCAAGTTCATGACTCGTGTAGAAACCCTTCTGGCAGAGATCACATTTAAAGGAACGGAGTCTCGAGCCGGGTGGATGCATCCGCTTCAAATGGGATTGAAGACCACCTTTTAACGCGAAGGACTTGTCACAATTTTGATCTGTGCAAAAATATAAGTTCTTGGTTTTCCCATTTTTTATGGGTGTTTGACCCTTTAAGGGACAAGTGTTCCGTGGGATGTTGCACTGTTGTGGGATCATTTTATTTTCCATATTCGCAAATTAGGCTGATCGATAAGTTTTGTTTTGGTGGCACCCTTTTGGCTCAAGTTCGGTTCCGGGGGCGGTTACTTTTGAGAACAGAGAGCTAATTTTCACACACAGAGAAACATATCGCTGTCATAAATAGATAAGCTTAAAATTTGGACAAGAAACTTCCGAGCTAATCAAAACTTTGCAATTTTCACGTTTTAATGTAGCACTGAGAGTATACACTGGACGGACAAGGATAAGTTTTGTTGGGTTATTTATGGGGTAGCTTTTATACGTTAGGTTTGAAATCCAAAAATTTCCAGGGTGAATAAAGTAACGCTTGCAGGTCTGAGAAGGTATGAGTGACTATTTGATATTCAAGATACATAAATACTTTTCCTTACATTCCATGTTTTGATTGCTGATGAATAGGTACGTACATACATTGTACATAAATAGACGTACATAGGTATGTACATACATACCCATAATTACTCTGCTTTTGGACCGATACATGTGCAAGTTAACCCTTTAAAAATTATTTCCATCCCTTTCTCTTCTCGGAAGTATTTACTTACGCACCTTTATTTACTCATACTTAAGTTTGTTACTATGTATATAACAATACGGTAGAAATGTTTTTTAATCACTGCTTATGTAGGGCAGGGGTGAAGTTTTAAGAAATCTATTTCGTCCAGTGCTGTATTATTTATACCATTTGTAACGTGCCATCCCTAGATAATGCATATGTAGGTCACTCTCCTTCTTTAGTACACATACATGTAGTATAAAAAATTGTATTTCATATGTACATATTTACTAGGCATGTTCCGGGTAGTAGTGTTACCCGGTACCCGGTTACCCGGACCCGGTATCAAATTACTACCGGGTACCGGGTACCCGGCCCGGTAATCCATAATTTAAATAAATTTCCGAATGATATACACACGTATGAATTAGAACCGAAATTTACTGGGTTTCACCAACTAGTTGATATAATTGATACGAAATGAGCTATAGAAGAGGCAGCTTTTGCACAAAACTACAAAAACTTTTTAGTTTAGTGACATAAATATAAAACATAACAATCCCGAGGTGCACCAACCGAGAAAATTACGTGTATTATTGGTATCCCCGGTGTCAATCTAGTTTTTGGTGCATTTTTGGTGTAAATATTTTTGTAGGCACGAGAATAACCCGAATAGTAAACTCGAATTTCTCACTACGTAATCAGTTCAAAATCTTTCGTGTCTGTCACGGGTTAAACTCGATCACTAAATTCGTGTTCCTACTATTGATGAAATGCACGGAAAAATCACGAAAAATTTTCGTGATTTATTTAATGCAGAGCTAAATAATGCCCACAAAAATGTCATTGAAGAAGTCACATTATTTGAATCACAATTATTCTTTTCATAGCAAAGATGAATCGAGCAAGGAAAAGAAAATTATTCCGTAATGCGAAAGATGGAATTAAAGATTTTGCTTTAGTTTCCCAGTACACGGTGCAAACGGTGTTAAATTCCATTGTCCCGAGTTCTAAATCGCCGACACCACACCCACACAGTTCACCACAACGCGACAGTGTGATTTTTGAAACCCACAACAGTGAGGACGACTCGTTTTCCTCAGATTTCTCTGATAGTCAGTCCACCAAGGAGTCAGGTTCAAGTGATAGTGATTTCGAACAGCCTAACCAGGACACCAGTGACGAATTACGAGAGTGGGCAGTGAAACATAACATTACATGTGCTGCTTTACGGGATCTGCTAGAGATTTTAAATAGACAACCTGATTTTAAGTTACCAAAAGATCCCAGAACACTTCTACGTACTCCAAGAGAAACTGCAATTGAAGTTGTCGAACCTGGAGAATATGTGCATTTTGACTGGATCCCATCAGTTGAAAAGTTATTTGTTCAAGCTCCACGGCCAGCAATTGTGAAAATTCAAATTAATATTGATGGTATTCCTCTGTACAAAAGCAGTGCACGACAATTTTGGCCGATTTTAGCTAATATTGTTCAGCTAAATCAAGTGATAGTGATTGGAATTTACTCTGGATTTGGAAAACCTGCTAATATAGATAACTTTTTGACTCGATTCGTCAACCAATTCATTTCGTTTGAACCAGACTTCGATTTAAAATTCGAAATATCCGCAATAGTGTGTGATTTACCAGCACGATCATTTATTTTGGGGACCAAGTGTCATAGTGGTTATAGTTCGTGTGGAGAATGCGATATAAAAGGTCAATATGTGGACAACCGTGTAACGTTCCCTCCAGGAAATTACAACTTGAGAAGTGATGAATCTATCCGTTTGAAATTGGATAAAGCTCACCATAATCAATCGTCCATAGTAGAATTGCTTCCTGTAAACCTGGTCGAGGATGTTCCAGTGGATTTCATGCATCTCGTTTGCCTGGGCATTACTAGGAAGTTACTTTTTTTGTGGACTAAGGGTAAAAAATGTCCATGTCGTCTTCGCCCTCACCAAGTTGACCAATTAACAATTAATTTGTGTAACATAAAAAAATCAATACCAAAGGAATTTGCAAGAAAACCACGTCCACTTAAAGAACTTGACCACTGGAAGACTACTGAGTATCGACAGTTTTTATTGTACTCTGGTCCTACTGTATTAAAGAAGATTTTTACTCCCGAGTTGTACCAACATTTTTTGTGTCTCCATGTGGCCATCGCTATTCTTGTCAATCCTAAAACTTATCAAATTCTAAATAATTATGCAGAAAAGTTATTACAATATTTTGTGAACAACTTTGGCGAAATATATGGAAAAAATACTGCAGCCATAATCTCCATAGTTTACTACACTTAGCCCGAGACAGCATTCGACATGGTCCTCTCGACGACTTCAGTGCCTTCCCATTTGAAAATAAGTTGCAACAAATAAAGAAGTTGGTCCGATCTCCAGCATTTCCCCTGCAACAAGTTCACCGGCGGGTGGTTGAAAGAGAGCAAATTCAGTTCGCATGCCGCAACCAGTGTACCAAGCAGCCAAAATTTCTCCAGCCCGATATTAATTCAGAGGAGAGATCAAATTGCTTTAAAGTGTACAAATTTAATAACTTCGAACTATCAAATAAGGCGGGCAATAATACTTGCAAACTTAAAGACGGAAGTATTATTAAAATACATTATTTTCTGGCAGGTCTGCCTTCAGTATTAGTTGGGCAAAAGTTTAAAACTAATGAGGATTTCTTCAGCTCTCCATGTTCATCGTCATTAATTGGTGTACAACTTGTGTCGAACTTAAGTAGTCCCAGAAAATTTGACATTAACTTGATTGAATTTAAATGTGTACTTCTTCCGTTTGATACCAAGTTTGTTTGTTGTCCCTTGATTCATAGTCAAATCCAGTAAAGTTCCAAAATGCGCTATTCAATTGTTCATTTTCTTGCCACCGATGAGGTTAAAATCACACCCATCAATTGGCATCACTTGGTTGCTGTCTAACGAGCAATGTTGGTGGCCCCCATATAAGTCTGTGGACCGACAAGTGAAGGCCGCTATTGATGGGGACGACCCAAACCCAAATTCGTGGACTTTATTCAATGTCGCTGTTCTCGGAGAGGGTAAAAAATTTGGTAAGTCTCCTTTTTATTTCAGTAATAAAGTATGCAGGTTTTTACTAAAAATACTTACTTAAAATAAACCATTTCTTTATTTAGAGACATACCAACAAGCCAAAAATAACATCGGCAAAGCTATGGAGGAAACTGATCCAGAATTCGAGAGTGAAGCAGAAACAAGTGGTCGTGGGCAACGATACAAGAAATACCCGTTGAATCGAAGTTCAAGCGGTTCGGATGGCGAAGATGGGGATTTTGGGGATCCGACTGGGACTAAAATGAAGCAAAAGTTGTCGCATTCAACTAAGGTGAAACAAATACTGCCACCTCCAAAATATCTCGGTGAGTTCTATGTATGAATAGAAGCAAAATAAATTGTGCTGTCTTCTTGATTCATGCGAATTTAAGTTAAAATCAAAATCAAAACTCAATTTAGTCTTGGTCGGAGATGCCACGTCGCATTCTACATCTCAAGGTCCAGGAGAAGCAATCAGTCCAATGTCTGATGAAGTAACCGATCAAACCCCGCCGATTAATTTCCCGCGTTCCCTCCAACAACAAGGCACACCTAAAATTGCTTCACATTCACGGCAAGCCCACTCCTCCATGATTAGCGTTTGTGAACACGTCAACCGTCCAAGCAGTAGCCCAAAGATTGGTCCACCGCCTGGAAACCAAATTTTGAACAATTCGCGAGGATTCAGGACGGGTAACTTGGAAAACCGTGATGAAAGGGACAAAGACGAAGTTTCTGACAGAGATGAAAACGTTTCATCAAATATCGCAAATAAAAACAGTAGTCCAGGTTAGGATGATTAATGGTGTACTCAATATTCATGTAATATTCACTTATCATGCATTTTAATTAATCCTTATTTTACTATTTCAGAATTTCAGACATGGATGGTGCGTCAAGTAAATATTATGAAAGCACAGCTAAGACAATTACAGGAAAGTGTGGATGCCATAATGAACACTTCTAGTGGAAAACAAGACCGTCCGGTGCAAAATACTTTTCCTGCAGATTTATTACCAATGGACGACAATTCCGATCTGGAAAAGCTTGAGGACTTTATCAAGGATTCCAAGGCTACATTGGTAATATACTGTGAAAATTTTGACGTACATAATATTTATGAACATAATTTAGCTTAAGGTGCTAATTACAACTTCAATTTTATAGATTGTAGAACTTCAAAGAGGCATAAGTGGGACTAAGAAATTATCAAACGTTACGCAGCGGATCCTAAAGAAATTGTTGACAGATAAGCTTGCATCTTCGTACAATTGGATTGGCTCGAGAGGAGGAAAGTTGCCCTTTTCTAAATCTTTTATGAAACAAATTATTTTTGTTAAGAGAGCCTTAGTTTTCATTGGTTGAATCTCATAAGTTTCGTAATTCATAAAAATACAATTGAAATTCGTCGACACTCATTATTTTTTCGACATTTGGTTTCTAGAAGCAATTCACGGAAAGTTGGAAAACGCTGATGATGACGAAATTGCAGACATAATTAAAAACTGGCTAAAGAGCTCCAGCACACGTATTGATTCTGAAAGGTATGAACACATCCCCAGTTGCAAAACTATTAATCTTGATTAATTGATATAAATTTTGTTGTGCAATTATTTCATCAGGAAACGGTTGGCCAAATCTGGTGATACTCTTCCCTCAACAAATTCTGGATCGGAATCCGACGAGTGATTAATCTTTATTTCTATTAATCGTTCACATTTGTTATTAATTGTTTAATGAGTTAAAAAATTGAATAAATTCAAAATGAAACTTAATCCAAACGAGAAAAAATCGTGTTTTAAACGTGCGAATCTGGTTTTTATTTTGGGCTATTCTCGTTGTTCTATCGGATAATTCTCGTGTCGAAACTCGTTCTTCATGAACGGATTAGGGACGAATTGTACACGTTAAAAAGAGCGACACCTACCACCAGTTTGGGACGAAATCACCACCATTTTCATACGTGCCTAACACGAAAACTGAGGTGCTTGGATTCGTTCCAAACTCGTGCCTATATCGTGATGGTGCACCTCGGGAAGTGATCCATTATTTATTAGATCTAGTATATTCCGAAATTTGTTTAAAAATTTTAATGCCAATTGCAAAATTTTTCTTGATTTCAAAGCTCACCATAAAAAGGATTACAGTATTATTGTAGTGACAATGGACATATGTATGAATTGGGTAGCATATGAGCTGTGAGGGTATTTGTCAACATGAACTGGAGGCATGAACTGAGGAGAATGAAATGTGCTGGGTATGATAAGTGAGGGAATGATGCGTGGGTAAATGAGGTGTGCCTCGTATGACATGTGAAGATATTAATTGTGGGGGAATGCGACGTGGAAATGTAATGTGGGGGAACAATGTGTGGGGTATGCAGTGCCCGGACACCGTGCACTTTTGTGTCTAAAATTTTGGATTTCATAGTATGCACATCATTTCTGAATTATTGCTACCGACACTAGCGAAACTAGGGGTAGGCAGGGTAGGCATGGCCTAGGGGCCCCACGGAGTGGGGGCCCCGTAGCCACTCGGAACTGTTTAAAATATTTTGTATGTCAAACAATGTAGCAACTAGGGGTAAGCGTTGTAGACAGCACTTTAAAAAATCTTAGCTAATTAAATTATGCTAAAAAATTCTGCCAAATTTTATTTTGTAGAAATGCTGTAATTATGTATTTTACAAATTTTAGTATAGGCTTTGCGCGCCTGTCCGTACGTGATTGATAATTTTCCATATTTATGTCTTTCAAATTGAAACTCGATAGGGTGAGGAAAAACACACATATCTTGTCAGGATGATCTTAGCATCACTGTAAAAAAAGTTGAGTAAAATTGCCACCAACACAACTGTTGGATAAAAGTCGCCCGGGATTGCACGAATAATAAGCAAAATTTTATTTTTTGACTCAATTTTGAGTAACGTTTATCCAACTTGTTGCTTTGGTGGCAATTTTGCTCAACCTTGAGTAAATATTGGTGAATTTTTTTAGTGTGATTGATTGTGGTTGATTTACAAATGATTAATTTTCTTGAGCTATTTAATTCAATTAGTATGAATCAAAAAACTGCAAAAACTGACACTCGGTACAATCTGCTACTTGCACACAAAGTATTTGAAACAAGTTTATTAAAATGATATTTTAACCTCTTTGGTACCACTCATTTGTAAATAAAATTTCGGATTTCATAATTATATGTACCTGATAGCAACCAATTAGAATTTTCAACCGGATTCGAATTCTTGAGTTTTTTGACAAAAAGCGCGAAAATTCTACTTTTTAGCATTCGTCGGTACAGAGAAAATGCAAAAATTTGTGGAGAAAAACAACGCAAAATATTCACTTTTCACAATCGAGTTTTCCACAAAATGCTGAAGAAATATTATTTTTTAAAGAAATTTTGATGTCAAGGTAATTTATGCAGTACGCACATTTGTGAATTTCTTCGTCAACGGAAAATAAAATGACTTCCCTTCGTCGTAAAGAGGTTAAACCTTTGTTTGCTTAACAATACAGCGCAAAATTACCTTGCTCGGAAAATGTTTTGCTAGAAACCACAAAATTTTCCTACATGTGTTTTCTTAAGTCTTGTCAAATCTGTCAGGGACAGGGGCCCCCGCAACCTTGTGCCTTCCGGCCCCAAATTTATAGTTCCGCTAGTGGCTACCGACAAAAAGAAATCGATTCACATATGTATCTACTCGATCCAATAAAAATCTGAAAATACATATTTTATTTCGCAGTATTTTATCATCTTGTACATATATATTGGGGTAAACTATGCTTAGAAAATATACATATATATGTACGTAGAAAGCATGGCTTGGATGCCAAAATCTGCATGAAAAAAATTTTACCTACAGCTATTTCATGCAATAAAACAGGTATCATGCTCGAATGCATGCCTCTGTCATCTGTATGTATTTTTACTTGAAACACCAAACATTTCAGACAAATAACCTGATTCGATTTGTCATCCACTTGACAGACAATATAAATATGTCCCAGAGAAAATACAAACGATAGTATTAATCCTGCTAGAGTAATTTTTCACCGCACTTTACTAATCCTCAGCCGAACCGCATAAGGTGTTCGAAATTATTTAATATCAGTTTATTTTGTTTTGAAGTGAATAAATAAATACTGAAGAATTGATTTTTTCCAGTCTTAAGACTAAATGAATGCCTTTTGGAATGAAAAATATTTTAATAGGTACATATGTATTTACATATGATTTTTCTTAGATGAGGCTATAGTTACTGCAGGAAAAAAATCATCTAAGTAAGCAATCACTACGGTTTTGAAAAGCTTAATTTTTTCAGATCTAGGTCAATTTCCATCCGATTTTAATGAAATTAGTGTCCAGAGTCAATTATGGCAAATTAGAATTGAACTGTCGACCAGGAGGCTGGAATAGTGCCCTGTTACTGAGATATGCAGGAAAAACACCATCGAAAATGTGTTTTATTGAGATTATAAGAAAATGAAGGCCTTCATGCTAAATGTAAATGAGCAAAAAGTTGATACATATTTTTTATAAAAATACAAAATTAAAATCCCGAAAATCAGTTTAAAACTGAGAAAGTTTTGATGGTGGTCAAAATATTGCCTCCCCCACCACCACCAAGTTTAGTTGCTAAGGCCCAGCACTCAGAAAAGTGATAATTACGAATAATAAAAGGGTACACTGGCTTACACTACTACTACTACTAATAAATTACTTTCAATTGCGAATAAAAACTATTAAATAAAAGAAACCCAAAAAAGGAAAGCTTAGATGAGACTTAAGAAGTGCGATAAAAAGTATTTAATAAATTTCTTCTCCAGTGAAGGATATAGAATTTTAATATTTCCAGCATCAGCGCCCCATTTCATTCACTATTATATAAATAGATACAAATATACAATAACTATCAAATTTCAAATATGATGTAGCGAAACATATTAAAATCATTTGCTAATTGTTTTTGTCACTAAAAAATTATGAATGCTTGCAATTATACTTAAAGTTGATACATAATATACAGGTCTTACCAAATAGTCGACTCCTTTCCCCAGTAATATGCATACGTGAACATGTTGCTTATATAATTTAGTATATAAAATAAAATGGGGCGCTGATACTGGAAATATTAAAATTCTATACCCTTCACTGGAGAAGAAATTTATTAAATACTTTTTATCGCACTTCTTAAGTCTCATCTAAGCTTTCCTTTTTTGGGTTTCTTTTATACAGATATGATAATGATTTTTACTAGTTTGTACATATTATGTAACAAAACCGACAAAACATATCATCGAATTCGTCACACCGACAGAGTTAAACGGGAACGCGGCAACGCCTCAGAAATCAGTGACGAAGGTGACCCCGGGAACTGCTCCCTTCGTAAGATGCGGATAAACCGAAAAACGACGAACCAAATTAAGCAGGGATTGCGAGACTGCAAAAAAATTAAATAACACAAGCGGAAGAGATGATAAAAAACGAGCCAGAGAAGAAGGGTCACAAATGTATTCGAAAGTTTGCACAGAAATTTTTATGATGCAATGGCAAAGGATAAGAACCGTTTTATTCCGTGTAATTTACATATGTACATAAATATGAAAAAATAATTGGTCAAAGTCGAATACACTCTTAAAAAAATCAATAACCGTTGGTATTGATACGTGACTCTACCGCGTGGTATTGATCCGGTATTGAGTTAATACTACGTGGTAAAAAATTTAATACCAATTAATATTAAAATTATTACCATAAGGTATAATTTCAATACCGGTTCTATACCAATATGGTATAACCGTTTAATACCAAGGCGGTAGAGTCACGTATCAATACCGTTAGGTTTTTTTCAATACCAAGTTTCTAAGAGTGTACATATATTGAATCATAAATGCATACTTACAATAAAGTGAGATGAACATATGTACATTGTACTTACATACTTACGTCTAGTATGATACATACTTTACACTATCAAGTTTACTTTGACTTACATATATATGCTTTAAAATCTGGTAGAGTCACATATTGACACACGCCGTAATCCGCACAACCGAATTCAATGCTAACTAAATAAATTCAGTTAAGTGAGTCATAAAAATTGGCAGTTTTAACATAACTTCTGCAAGCAGCTTTATTAATTATTATCAAAATGATGAAACACTTATGACAAAATTCTTAAAATGTTAAATTTTCGAGACAAAATTTCGGTAACTAATGGAAATTTACAAATTTTTCCAATTCGCATTTTAGATCGACATTTAAACCACTCTGTTTGTATTACATATTTAAGTTTTGTTCTCACCAAACAGTGGGGACACTACCATACAAATTGAATATTTCTCTCTCCCGTGCACCGTCTCAGATGTGCCTGCAAGTCTCGAACCCCAAATCGTACCTGGCATAAATAACAAGCAGCACCTTCCCTTCTTACAACTCCGTTAAAGTGTCCTTTTACATGCAGCCGCAACTCTGGCTTGCTAAACAGCCTCTTGGGGCATACGTGACACTGGAATTCCTTCAATCTGTAGTGAATCCGTTGCACATGAGTCATTAATGATATCCTGTGGAAACTCGCATAGTCACACATTTTACAAAAGAACCGCTTTTCCCCAGTATGGGTGGCCACGTGGGCTCGAAGCGCTTGGCGGCTGCTGAACCCCATCTCGCAGACGCTACAGGGGAACGGCTTTTCCTTCGTGTGGGTGAAAATGTGCCGCCTTAAGTTCCCACCAAAAGTGAAGGCTCCCTTGCATAAGGGGCAACGGTGGGGTTTTTCCCGAGTGTGGGTTCTCATATGACCCACCAGCTGGCACAGTTCGGGTTTCCTTTTCGGACAAAAGTAGCAGACGAAGAGGTTCGTTGCAGGGTCGCGGGTATGGATGTCTTGGTGTCTGCGGAGTTTATATTTGTCAAAGAATGCTGCCGAGCACGTGGAGCATTTATGGTCTCGCGAACGTTCTACGATACCATGAACGCGGGAAATATGACGTTTTAGCTCGAAAGGATACTCGAACTTGGCGGAACAGTCGTGATGAGGACAGGACAACTTTTTGCGGGTATTGTCCGACTTTGTGTGGATATACGTGTGGCCTACATACATAAATATGTGTGTATGCATGCAAATTACTTATTTATTTATTGTACTCTAAATAAAGTTGTGTAAAATTTATTCAAGTTGAGTAAAATAGAGGATTACGAAACAGTTGGGTAGAATTTCAGAAATCGAGAGACAAATTTTACACAATCGAGACATCGATCCTCTATTGTACTTGAGTCAAGCCCCTTGACTAAATTTTGTACAACTTTATTTAGAGTGCATAATTAGTAAATAAATAGTACTAGTTAATTAACCAAAATAATAATTCCACTCACGTCGCCAGTTTGAGAGAGTCGACAGTACTTTGGGACAGTGTGGACAGGCGTAGGAGTTCTCGCCCTTATGCGACGAGATATGCACCTTCAACCCGAGCTTACTCTACATAATCATAAAATTAATATTATAATTAATTCAGGAATTGCATTCGTAAGTGAACTATCTTTTTTAATTGCGTTTATGTACATACCTTGAAAGATCTTTCGCACTCGGTACACCCAAATGGTTTCAGGGTTGAATGGGTACGATTCTGATGAGCGTCTAGTTCATAACCGGTGTAAAAACCCTTCTGGCAGATGTCACACTTAAAGTTACAGAGTCTCGGGCCGGGCGGGTGTATCCGTTTCAGGTGGCGGTTTAGTTCCTTTTTTATCTTGAAGTACTTGACACAATTTTGGTAAGTGCAAGCATATAACGTTTCACTCTGGCCATTTTTCGTGGGTTTTTTACGCTTTAAAGAGCACTTTTTCTTCGGGATGTGGCAATATTGTGAGTCCATTTTAAATGGTAATCATTACAATTGACCTGAGAACTGGACGGACTGTGGAGACGAGGAGACCGATGTCTGCTTCGAGTGTTTCCTTAAATTATGCTTATCCTACAAGTTCGGGAACTTTTCTAAGAATTCCATCGTTAACTTTTTACGGAAACACTCTCAATATTTATTAACCATTTATTAGACCCTGCACACTGCACATAGATAAATTGTTTAGTTTTAGGTGACTTTATTTATCTTTCATTTGAAACTTTAAAATTTCTAGGTCAAATAAAGTAATACTTACACTTCGGAGAAGGAATAAATAACTAATTGTGTAGTATTCTAAAAATGTACATCAGTTGGAATTTTGGTGCATTAAATTGATACTTAGATTTATACATATGTATGCACATACGTACTTTGATATGTACAAATTTAACTGCTTCCATGAGTCAGATGTTCATACGTATGTATATACCGAACGTATATGCATACATATATGTACATACGTACAGATAATTAGTGCATATTCGGCTTTTGCAGCAGGTTGACCTTTTAAGCATAATGGGGAGAAACATGAGACAATTATCTCACAAATTGCTCACAATTCTGCCCAGGTGGCCCTTGTTTTTCAGGAAATTAGTTATGGCGTTGCTTAAAACTGGTATTTGATACTAATTTTAATTTCATATGAAAGATTACTAGTTCGACTAAAATTGCCAGGTTAGTAGAGGTTCATATTTTATTTTTGGTAAAAGATGTGAAACTCACTCCCTTACTTCACTACGTATGTATAGTTTAACAAATTGTATTTCATATGTACATATTTGCGTACATATGTGCACACATTCATCTATCCATTACCTTTAACTTACTGAAGAGTAAGAATTATAGGATTCGACAAAGACATCCAACGAGTATTTCAAAAGTGAAATTAAACTATTTTATTATGTTCACCTTATAAAAAGAAAAAAAATTGCAAAATATTTTAGGCGCCAAAATTTTCCCTGGGGGGTTATGAGACTTTTGCGATTGTAAAGTGATGACACAGGGCACAACTTATCTCACGAACGGGTTGATAGAATTGCACTAAATTTTTCTTCTACACTCCTTGGATCAATACCTTGGTGCGTTCTTCGAATTGAGTCGAAATTCGAACTTTAAAGTCCAAAATTTTAATTTCGAAAAATTGGTTTTTAGTTGTGACGCAAAAAGTATGGCGAAATGTTCGTCGGTTGGATTTACCCCAATTTTTGATATGTTGCAGATATTTTGTAGTAGATCAATACTTAAATCACCCTAAAAGTCGAAATCGACACGCGTGACCTTTTTTCGGGGGTCGAAAGGTCGCGATGTCAAAGGTCACCGACCTCAATAAATGGGGTACCGTTGGAAAGGCCTTGACGAGTGGATTCCGAAAATATATACTTTATGGGGTCTAGGACCTCCCCTTGCAAAACTAGAGACAGGAGAATATTTTTGAGTTGTTCCCATTTGTGCTTCCGTGTTAGCTCCCAATCCACTGCCATGTTAAATTCTGGACAACTGCAGATTTTCGTTCTTTACCCTCCAGACTTGCAGGGGGTGGTCCCAGACCCCACAAAGTATATATTTTCGGAATCCACTCGTCAAGACCTTTCCAACGATACCCCATTTATTGAGGTCGGTGACCCTTGACATCGCGACCTTTCGACCCCCGAAAAAAGGTCACGCGTGTCGATTTCGACTTTTAGGGTGATTTAAGTATTGATCTACTACAAAATATCTGCAACATATCAAAAATTGGGGTAAATGATTTACCCCAATGATTTACCCCCGTGTTTCGTGTAATTTGAATTAAATACAATGCCTCCGATAACCACCTCGTGAGTGGGAGTGGCTCGAAAAATTTCCAATGCATGGTCGGAATTTTACTCACTGGCTCATAAAAATCGTTTCGTTAAAATTGAATATTTGCTAAGAACCACACCCACTGGGGGTGTGATTTCTCAAATTTAATTTTTGCATCGTGTTCTCCCCATCATCCGGAGAAAAACGACATATCACATACAACGGTTTCGTTAAAATTGAATATTTGCTAAGAACCACACCCACTGGGGGTGTGGTTTCTCAAATTTAATTTTTTCATCGTGTTCTCCTCGCCGAGCTGAGAAAAATGACATATCACATGACGTGGTTTTGTTACAAGTGAAAATTTCCTGAGAACCACACCCACTGGGGGTGTGGTTTATGAATTGTAATGAGTTCATCGGAATCTCCTCGACGAGCTGAAAAGAATGCCATATCACAACCCATGTTTTCAAGAAAATCGAGAAGTCTCCAAGAGCCACACCCACTTGGGTGGGGCATATGACCACTTGAATCTTGTGGAGGGTGACCTGGGTGTCGGTTTATCTTTTCGCCATGCAATTAGAATTTTGCGCTTTGAAACTTAATTGCATTACTAAATTGTATTTTACACAGTTTTTTAACTTGTGACCCTCATTTCAAGGGGGTGTGGTCGTATTTGAAAATTCTGAAAATATATATTTCGTAGAAACCTTCAAAGTTTCGAAACTTTGAGAATCGGTCGACAACTGACAATTTGGTGACAATATCCATTTCCAATGTATTTGGCATTAGAAGGTCGGCCACTTAACCTATCTACCAAAAAAATCAAGAAAAAAGTTCTAATTATAAAATACATACCGTAGCACATTTTGGTAGTGTCAATCTTCCACCTTGTTCCATGGACAATGAGTCATGCTAACGTGATAAGAACCATCATGATCTAATGTGTACGCATAGATACATAAATATGTATGTACATATTTAATAAAGGTCTAATATTTAGGCTACATTTCATATATCCAAATGGGCTGTGCAAGTAGCATGTGATCGATTTGAGTGGGAGTAGGTCATCTTATCCTGGCCATGTTAAATATAACATGGGGCATATGTACATACATATTTATATACATATTTACCATAGGAGAAGAGGTTAGAATTCTCAGAAAATCGATCACATGCTTTGTGCATGGCCCCTATGCATATTTGACACTCACAGGGTACATGTACACATATTTACTTACAAAATGCATTGATGTAAATATGTCTTCGGATTAGTCATCCTCGTACAGTTTATCGACGAATGATGCTGGATTCTAATAAACCCTCCAAACGAATGTAAATAAGTAGCGTCAGAGCGATTCAAGTTTCCTTTAGCGTTTCCGTATATGACCTCGTCCTAACTCTCATGAGGTCAAAAATATTAGCGTCTTCAAATTCGCGGTGGAATTTCCTTTAAAATGACACCCCAAATGAAAATTAAGTTTTTTTTGACCTGTGACCTCGTCCACAAGGTCATGAGGTCAAAAATATTAACGTCCTAGAAATCGCGGTCAAATTTCCTTTAAAATGATACCCCATATGAAAATTAACGTGAACTTAACTTTGGACCACACCCCCTGGCGCTGTGGGGGTGGTCCGATTGACCCCATTTTCGAACTCGACCGAGAACTAAAAATTAGAAGTACAATGTCGAAAACCGCTTTTGATTGTGTTGAGGCATTCTAAAGATATCCTGCTTACGGACGGACGGACGGACAGACACACAGGCGGACAAAGTGATCACAATAAGTAGCTGACGCTACTTAATAAAAATTCTGTCCTTTAAGTGTTACATTTTTCTTAAAAGTTTTCATTCCTTAACCCACTGCCTACTTGAGTGGACAAATCATTTCCAAATTTCTCTTTAAAATATTTCCAAGAAAATGGGGGTTCTTAACTGCTTCTGTGGTTCACTGCAGACTTGGACGAAAGTTGTCGCAATTTTGCAAATTGTACGGAGAAAAACAATCCATACTATTATTTTTTTTACATATATTATTTTTAAAGTTACAATCTATGTACAATCCCAACATTTTTTAATTGAGGTTATTTAACTATTCGTCAGATTATGGTATCAGCTTCACTTTACGCTGGCGTCAGTATTCTCATTACTGGTGATCGTCTCACACACGCCGATCCAACTGCCCCCAACGGAACCACGGCCGGGGGGATAGCGACAACCACGTCGGATTCTCAATTTGACCCGACCTCAACCCATCCCTCAGACCGTTTCAATTCTGTCAACAAATCCGCCATGATCCAAGCCGTGGAAGACTTGAAACAGAGTACGATTAAACTGGTGAACCTTATCGGTACGAAAAAAATATGTGGAATTTTTAAATTTTGCAAATTTTGAATTTTATAAAAATACAACTCGCTAAAATCGAGACTCAATTTGCAGGTGAAATCTTAATCATGGTCAGCACTTACGTCATTCTGAAGGGACTCGTCAACCTGGTCTTGTCCATCATTTTGTTCCACGGGGCGTCAAAGGTAAGATTGCACTCTTAGAAATCCAGTATAAAAATTGATACGAAATACCGTACACGCCACGCTATTAAAAAAATAACATTTTTCGCAATCTGATGTAGTCACGCAAATTCCTATTTCTCGGTAATAAAGTTGCTACCGCTTGGTATTACACAATTATATCGTCATACGGATAATAGATTTAACCGGACGGGTAGAAATGTAATACAATGTGGTAGCAACTTTAGCATCGAAAAATCAATAACTGCATCACTCTACAAGATTTCTAAGAGTGTAATTTATTGCAATTAGTAATTTTTTTCCTTGAAATTTTTGTACTTTTTTACATTTATTTTATAGCGAATCGTTGGCAAGTGTCGACCCTGGCTCATCGCGCAAGCCATCTTTCTCTTTCTGGAGACCGGCTTCTATTTTGTGAGCTTGTCATCCTCCTATTCTGACGAACGTGCCGCCTGTATCGGAGCTGTTGGGCTTATCATCAACGCGTACTGCATGTGGGTCGTGTACGCTTTCATAAATGAGTTGCGGGGGGAAAAAGCAGCCAATAAGCGGGTGGGACTTGGGAAAGCATGTCATGAAGAAAAGGAGTGTTTTTGCGCTTTTGCCCATTTTCATTTTTAAAAGGGAAATATATAGCAATTGGTTTTGAAGACATAGAATTTAATAAAATTTTGACGTGCGTGCAAGCTTAAGTACAATTTTAGACACAATTTAACTGATTTGCATGCAATATTAACTATACTACTTAGTATGCATAAATAAAATATGTTTTCTTGTGCTGCATTTTTGGGGAGATGTATCTGTTGCCCGTTATTTCTTACGATTACGAAGCTAATTAAATACCATTCTGTAAAATGAGTCGTTAAAATGAGAACTTTTGTGAATAAATTATATCTGCATGCAAATTTTGCCTTGAAAAGTGCACAAAGAATTTCTACATTATTGCTTCTGACAAAAAGAAATCGATTTATGTACTCGTTCTAATAAAAAGCTCATTCAAACGGATATGTACATACTTCATTTCGCAGTATTTGATTCTCATGAATTGCAGTAAATTATGTTTGACTCGGACATATGTACACGTGGAAAACATGAGTTACATAAATGGCAAAAAAAGTTTTACCTGCATTGATTTCACGTAATAGGTATAACCCTTATCATGTTAGAGTGCATATACTTATTTTTATTTGAAATACTAAACATTGCACCCACAAATGACATGATTCGATTTGCTATGTATGCATCCATTTTACTGGGAAGAGCCAGAAATGGCGACAGGTTTGCAGGTCAGACCGGGACAGCAGGCTCTGGTGCCCATTACAAATAAATGAATGGTTCGTATACATTGCATAATCATCAATTTATTCCCAGCCTATTTTATTGAATTATACATGACACAGGTTACATATGCACATACGTACATACCAATAAACTAACTCTCTAGTATTCATTCACGCCACATAAAATTTCTATTATCAAATGGAGTAATTGTGATCTGGAAATATTAATAAAAAATCAATAAAGGTTTTCCTCTTCCTCTAAATAATTGTTTTAATACATATTTACTACACTTTTAGAAATGCGGTTACGATTATAACCAAAAAGTAAACGTATCTGGCTTTACCGCCGTGGTTATGAATTTGACACCAAGTGGTTACAATTGTCACCGACTAATTATAAAGTTTCACCGACTTGATATGAAATTGTCACCAGAGCTAATAAACATAACCAGTGGGTGACAAGCTCATAACCCGCGGCGGTAGAGTCACATAAATACGTTTACTTTTTGGTTATACATAATCGTAACCCCATTTCTAAAAATGTATTAATCAACTTGATTTCCTTACCGAATCTCTCCCGTTGGGAAACGTTTTCACCAACCGATCATATAAATCAGTCCTAGCTGCCATGTTAGCCTCCCTTTTCGCATCGTAGGAAACAACCATCTCCACTCTTTTCACGGACTCCGACCCTCCGGAACCTTTTGGAAGAAACTGATCCACACTGGAAAAACCGGGAAAAACTGAATCCGAGCACACGTGCAAGCTTTCCAAGACCGGAAAACTCTTATGGTAATCAATCCAGCCAAATTTTCCACGGCGACTTTGAAATGAAATCTTGTTATTCATTCCCATCTGTATCTGGAAGACTTTCATTGCCGAAAATACCGGGAATTTCCATTCCATTATCTTATCAAAGGCCGAAGGGAAACTGATTGAAAGTTTTTCCAGCGTGGGGGAATGTTTGTGCAGCAGTTTGTACAGGTTTTCTTGGAGGTAGTCTCCTTTTTGAAGCTCGGCATCATACTGAATCTCAAAGGTAAGTTTTTTCAACGGGGAAGGAATTTTGAGCAGAACCTCGAGCCCATCCGCGTTCAGATCTCCGTCCAAGGTCAGGGAAGAAAATGATCTGAAATTATGTATGTTGGTAGCTAATTAATGTCAGAATGTATTAATTATTAATTACCCTCTTGGCTACCAATTACACACATTTGTATAACGATTTTTTATCACTTGATTACCTTAAACTATTTTTCGAAATGTTACTTTGCCTACCAAGTACACACATTTGTGTAGCAAAATTATTTTTCTTAGATACCAAAATATTTTTTGGTAATTTTAGGTTTTACAACTTGATAGATACCCAGACTACCAGAATGTTTAAAATCCCCGAATCCCCTAATGGAAATAATTTTGCTACACAAATATGTTTAATTGGTAGGCAAAGTACATAATATTACGAAAAATGGATTGGTAGTGAAGTGATAAAAATCGTTAAATCGTTACACAAATGTGTATAAGGTACGCAACGGAATATTCCCGAGAAATAACTGGTAACAAGGAGGTTAATCCGCTTCTTCATATTTATCTAGCTGCATATGTACTATCCTCGCATTTAGGCGTGTCACCTCATTTGCATAAATCTCACTATGCCCATTTTCGGAGGTACGGGCTTTCCGTGTTGAATAAACTATGTCTCTGGTGAATGCGTCAAATTATGCAAATGAGGTGACCGGCTATAGAAATTCGACTATACTTAAATAAGTACATACTTACGGAGGTAACTTTTGTAACAACTTCATCCTCCCAAATCCATCCAAATAGCTGTAGTATGTCCGCAGACATTCCAATGCTGGGCAGGCGGTAATAATTTGCGCAACTTTTTCTGCCGCGTCATCCTCCAACTCCCACCAGTAAGAGATCCCGAGGTCCTTCAGCTTTGGGAAAAGCGTGCCCGGCTGTAATGCAGGGACATCCGGATCATTGGAGCATTCCAACTCTAATTCCTGCAGGATGGGGGCTGACGTGAGGATGATTTTGTGACAAAAGTCCTTCCCTGGTTGGTTCCCTCCTTCACAGTTGAGCCAAAGAGATTTTAGATTTTCCATGAGCGGAAAGGGGACTTCAGGATCCGGGGAAGGGATTGATTCATCTTTAACCTCCAGAGAGACATGGACCGGAGAGAATTTCAATTTTTCGATGATTCCACCCCATCCGTTGTCTTGGCATAGTTCAATATCCATCCGTGTCCTGGCCTTGAGAACGGGGGTGGCACTCTGATTCCAGACCTGGCTCACTAATCGACATTCCTTAATGTCCTTAACCGACAGGAATTTGCACAGGGAAGAAATCACCTTGGGAAAAGGGGTGAAATTATAAACGAGTCTTTGCAACATGAGTGAGTAAGAAATATTTATTATTACATTTGGAATTAGAATAGCAGGCCTAGATTGGGAGACGCCGACTTCATTGTTAGAATAAGATAGAGACATCGGACTTCCTACCTGGAAACAGAACAGTTATTCTTAAAATATAGAAAAAAACATCACATTTTCAGGGCTTTCTAATTGATTAGTGATTCTAACTAATTATAACTAAATGGCAAGTTTAAACTAATTAGTACTTACTAGTTAACGTTAACTGGTACTACCGAAGTTAGTTTTAATTAATAATTAATAATAAAATTACTAGAAATCACCAATTAATCGGCTTAATTAGCAACCTGCGTTATACCAATATACCAATATTATATACCAATTAATTAGACGAAATATTTTCCTTCTAATTATCAGTTACTAATTAATTGGAAATGTGTCAAATTTTTAATAACTTATATGTGTAATTTATCATAAGTATTTAATTACGAATTATTCTTCTACAAACCCCATTATAAATATGTATATAATAACTTACTCAAATTCCTCCTCCTTCTGGATAATAATGATAAGAGGAACGGATAACTGAATTAATCTAACTTGTCACTTGTAAGTATTTAGCAAAGATTTTTTTGCAACAAGTACAAAGTAGCATGATAGTAAATAGCAGATGTGAGTGAATGTATTTCTGCCGCCTTCATCAGCACTTTGTCTCCCAGGCATCATTTTCTCAAAATGTGAATAAAGCTATCCCGCATCAAGCTATCCCACACCCCCGCAACACGCTAAAAAGCAAGGCCAAGGCAAAATATTATCTAGCATGAAATATAATTTTCCTGTACACTTTTACACCTGTAGAAGGGGGCAGTTGAACCCTGGAAGCTTGTGAATAAATCACTTCAAAACAGGTGTGCACAGCAAAAAGGCAGGCAGTGCTTTTTTGCCCCACAAAAATAGGTGCCTTTTTGCCCTTTTTCTAATTGGGGCGAGATGAGATGAAAACCCTGGGATAAAATTAAAATGAAAGTTATTCCTTGCGTTTTATATACTTTTCGCAAATATGACCTTTAGCCAAAAATTTGATTAACTAAGCTGATGACATTGTAGAAACAACCCTTAACGAAAAGTATTCAACAAACTTGAAGCATTGATGAAAGCCTCCAATACAATTTTAAAAACATTAAATATATTCTATAATTTCTTTAATGCGTTCTAACGACAAGAAATCGGTTTCAATCGTCAAAAATCGAGCAAAAAGACACGACACAGGCAAATAGGCAAAAAGGCATGGAAAATAGCAAAAAGGCTGCGTTTTTGCACACACTGCTTCAATAATGTTATCCATACGACCTGATAATTCTACCTAATAATATAATATAATAATAATAATAATTTATTCATGACAATTTTTACAAGGCTCATGGCCCATAGAATTACACGTTAGATTACATCGTAAAGAATTAAATAACAAATCAATAATACTACCATGACAATTATTTCCTTGCAAAATTATCCTGGGGGTTCTCGCTTAATAACATTCTACTAAATAAGGTTTGTGTATGTTAAAATACAGATTCTTAAACATTTGCATTACAACAAGAATAAGACAACTTGATTAAAACACAGTAATATTGTACGAAAAACTCAATTAAAAATTAACGTCATTGTTTGCAGGATTCAAGCACTAAAATCAAATAGATAACCATCAGACATAATTAAGTATCAAATTTATAAACGTAGAATAAGAGCATTATTATTCACAATTCCATCTCAACTAATTAGGTCAATACGAACGAATTCATTTGATCAAATTAAATAACTCAAAGTGGTGGATTACTAAAATCAAACCATTAAATACTACGGCATAATTTATAAACGTAAAAAGTAAACAGTCAGTATTTGCTCCATGAACGATACTAATGTCAAGTCATTTAACTGCAGACCCTCAAAATTAAATTCATAATTCCAAATTAAATTGCAATATTATTCACAATATCAACCGATTATGCTAATTCGCATGACAATAACTGCAAAAATCAAACCATTAAATACTACACATAGCAAATCTCCATTTTTCAAGTCCTCATAAGAAAATCATGAAACTCCAATTCTGAAATTATCCATTTTCACTAGGCAAGCATCTATTTCCCTCATCAGTGATTTCATGTTGGCATCCATAATTGAAAGTATGTAGGCTACGCCGTCATTCGAAATTGGTTGGGATAATTTTGGGCTTCGTTTAACGTCTTTGAGATGTGGTCCTTCCAGGTAATGTGTATCGGGTTGATCGTCTTTTTCGGGTTGAGCGTCTTTTTCTACAGGGGGCTGTCCACACTTGGCGTGGTCCAATTTCTCTGTCTTCTCCGTAGGTTTAGTTTGGGCTGTGACTGAATGGCTGACGTCATGATAGGGTGAGATTCTAATTTCTTCGGTGACTTGAGTCCCATTGACGAGAAGGTCGGCGCCTCGGAAGTAGACTTTGTTTCCAAGTTTCTTTTGCTCAAGGAATTCTGGTATTTGTCGTCTCTTCTTTGCACGTTCCCCTTTACTTAGGTCCTCCACAATTGAGATTTTGGCAGGGATGGCTCTTAACTTGTGGCAGTTTCTAAACACCATATTGTTTTGCTTGGTTGATGCCAATTTCACCAGCACCGATTTACCGTTGGACAACGGACAGATATCTTTAACAGTGATATCCACTTTCAAACAATTGGAAAGAAAATCTGTCGTCTCCTCCATTGCAGTTTTGGCAGAATAATATTCATATCCATGAATTATGATGTTGCATTGTCGATCACAATTTGCATTTGGTTTGGTTTCATAGCGAAGAATCGTTTCTGCATTCTTCCTCACTTGCTGCTCCAATCCGATAAACTTATTTATGAATCTGTCCAGTTCACTCTTAAAGTTGAACACTTGCTTCTTTATGTGGCTCAATTCTTCTGCGTGATTAACAAAACTACTTGATAAGAACTCGAGTTTCTCTTTCGCTGATTGTGCAAATTCTTGTAGATCGAGTTGCACATTGTCAAGTAGCTGAATTTTGTGGGCGTTTTTACTTATATTATTCGTTGGGGGCTTATGCACAAGTGAATATTTCTGATTTTTCCCCATTTTTCGAAGTGGTATGAATTTACAGCAGAAATTCTTATGTGGGGGTAATCGCGATGAATTTAGCTTTATAATGATATAACTTTATTAGTATGACTTGTACTTTTACGTAGTGAAAAACTCAAGTTAATGAGAGCTCAGAATAAACACGTCTGCTCGCTTCAATAACTAAACGAGAACCCGATAATTCTACTTAAAATTTTGAACAATATGAGGTTTGCAGCACATGATATCAGCACAAATCTCATTTTTCTCCAAAAATTTCACTTTTCCCCTGACCACTCCCACTTTCAGGGGGTGTGGAAGCAATTTATGGGGGTGGCGGGGTAGAATTAGCGAGATGCGGGATAACGAGTTGAGGGGTGGGTTGATACGGGCCGCGGGGTAGATTTATTCACATATGAAAAGTTTGCCCGGCATCCTCAGCTGTCGAATAAAATTGATTTATTTAATAAATAATTTCTAACTCTCAATTCACAATTTAACACAGCAAGCAGGCAATTTTAAAAAACCATTCCAATTTAAGAAATATGGAAGAATTGCTGAAAAGAGTTACTTTTGCGTAATGTAAGCTTTTCATGCATGAAAATCTCTCTCTTTTTTTGTGTTTTAAGTCGCCCCACTATTTTTGATTCGCGGTGGTGGTGAGTTGGCAGAAAGAAAGGCAATGAACAATTAACCTTGGATTGGAGTGAAGGTTAACAAGAGGTAGGAAAGAGTCGTAGTTTAGAGTCCGAACAGAGCAGACTTACTGCTGAGACAGTGGTCCTTATAGTGAACAATTGGTGTTAATAATTAGTGAGTTAATTGTGACAATAAATTGGCGTTGCATTATTGAGATCGTCATTTGTTGTTCACACATTATTTACACCATTTCTCGGAGGAAAGCAGAAGTCTCATCCTTTCAATTGCGAAGAGACTACACCCACCCAAACCTGAATAGGCTCGCTGCTGGTAGTGGGAGTGGCTATTCAAAAGTTACTTCTTTGCAGAGGTGGGCAAGATCAAAGTTTTCGAAGATCAAGATAAAAGATCAAGATCAATTTTTGCGTCCCACAAGATAAAGATCAAGATAAAGATAAATCTGCCGAATACTAAAGATAAAAGATCAAGATCAAATCTCAGATCAAGATCAAATCCCAGATCAAGATCAAGATCAAATCCCAGATCAAGATCAAGATCACAAGATCAAATAAATTCCAGATATGTTGCAAATATTTTTTATACATAAACCGATAAATACAACTAGGTGTAATGTATGTAGTGTGCACTGTGCACATTACAAACACTAGATAAGTAGCGAAAATTGGTTGTCTGACCAATTTTAGTTATTCAAAGCTGACAGCGTCAACGTTATTATAATTTCGTATAGTTATATAATACATAATGAAACATTTGCTCTGATGTTTTAAGTTGCCCTTATACTTCATTTCTTGGTAAATTATGTAATAGTTGAAGTATCCGGTCGACGGGCTAACAATATTCGCATTTAGGAAGTAGATCGCCGATTGAAGAACTGGTTCCATTAATCAGTAAAAAAAAAATTAAATCCCGTACGAGTGTTTTTCGTTTCCTTGCATTTACTTCGAGTAATGGACCAAGGTGCTATTTTTAAAAAATATCAATGTTTCAAAATGCTACTTTTCATATTTGAGATTTGATCTTGAACTTGAAGATCAAGATCAATATATAAGATCTTACCGAGCTAGATCAAGATCAAGATCAAAAGCTCCAGCCGAAGATCAAAGATCAAGATAATATCTTGATCTGGTATCTGAGATAATGATCTTGCCCACCTCTGCTTCTTTGGAACTGATGGTATCACAGTTGGTCAAATGGACACATTTTCAACCTGGTACGATTATTTGACACAATTTTTAAGTAAATTAACAAACCGCAACTTTTACTCGGTACCGTTTAAAAAGTGTAATAATTACACTTTTTAATTACTCTGTAATTATTGTTCTTCTCATATTAACCCGGGCCATCTACACCTCCCCCAAATGATGACGACATCAAAGTTACACTCCGTCCCGATGGCATCGTAAATTCTGACGAAATCGACATCGAGTACACGGTTAAAGTCGAATATGCAAATGACGACGTGACTTTTCCATTATATGACGAATACAACGAGGGCGCCGGTTGGCGGTGGCCCACGTGGTGATAATCCAGCAGATCCCGACTATTCATCCCTTCAGCAGGACACGTTAGCGGTGCCGGGTAAGTGAAATATTTTTTTTACTTCATTTAATTTCCACATTGCAATTAAAAGTTAACTACATAAATATCTGACTTAAACTTAAGGTACGTTTCGTCCTTCTTCCCCCTTGTCGCTGGAACAATATTACAATCATCCTGGCAACATGATAACAAAGAGTGGGTCCACGGATGCCGAAATACGGCGGATTTTCCGCGGCTTGAAGATTCGGAGAATGGCGGGATGGGAGACTGGCGTTGTGCCACAACGGTTGTGGACAAGGGTTGGCTAGCTGATGCCAAGAAAAAGGTCGTCCCGGCAGTCGCGACGCGGTCGTCCGGAATTTGGTTGGACACTGATTGGCCCATGGTTGTCGGTATGTACATAAATCCCTACTAATTTCTTCATTTATACGACGAATCTTAAATCGTGTTAATTAAATATTTGCATTACCTAGCTCAACTTTTGAGTACAACTTGTCTGTCTGTTACGGAGTTTTTTTTGCATCAAGTAATGCTTATTAAAATGGACCCGCTCCATTTTTTAATAAATAAGAAGAATCATTGGTATCGAAAAATAGGAGGCAGAAAATGATGGGAAACAATCGATGGAATCGAATTTTTAATAAAAATTGATAACTCAAAGTATGAATGAAAAATTAGGATAAAAATTTCTTATCCTCATTTTTCATTCATATTTTGAGTTGTTATCAATCAGACAATCATTCATATCCGACCTCTGTTTTTAAAAATATAAATAGTTGAAATTATATTTGAACGTAACGTACTGTAGGAGAGAATAGTGGAATTTGGTGGTTGCAAAAGAGAGCAAGGATAGGAAGCAGGGCGGTTAGCCTAGTGGTAAGGTGTTCTCCCGGCATGAGAAAGACACAAGGTTCGATTCCTCGTACTACTCTTCCTTCTTATTTTTGCTCTCAACGCGTATGCAATTCACCGAAAATCCCACAGTACCCAAGTCAAGTCAATTGTTGTAGCGGTTAATTTCAGCTATTATTCCATATTTACAGCTCGTCTTGCTTCGCACGTGACAGGAACGGATGGACAAATCGCTCAAAGCCTGACGGAAGGTTGCTGGGTGGTAGTGAAGGACGATCTCATGAAATCCCTCGGTGCTTTGGGGGCGGAATGTGTCGCTCGGAAAGACCGCAATTGGGAAGAATGTGAGGGGAGGAACGGAAATTATTATATTATAGTATTTAGTATATACCTCGTAGATTTATATATTAAGTATTTTCCACTAATTAATTAATTTCAGACAATAGTGTTCTCCGCGTCGTCGATCCCTACAGACATTGCGCCATCTTGGATAGATCGAATATAGAGCAGAGTCCCTTTATTCCTAAGGCGCAACAGGTACTTATGTATATTTTTCCGAAATAATGCGGTAATGGTTATCTAATTCAAATAATGTTTGTCTTACTTAATTATTTATTTACAATTAACCCTATTTTCAACCTGCACCGGAATTATTTGGTTAGTTTTATCAAAAGATCAAGTCAAAAATTAGGAATTATCTGACACTTATCGTTCCGTTGAATGGTCCCTCAGAAGAAAAATATTGCCGGCAAAGTTAATTTTTTTTAGTAAATATCTCTCCCTTTCCCTCCACGAGCCGAAAACCAAGGCGCTCCACACTGGTCCGGATTGCTTTATTTGTTTTCCAAAACCTCTAGCTGTCGAACCATTTAATTTTTTCGAGTTCTGCCTTCGGGGATCGAGACATGAAGTTCCAAGGGGTATAAGCTATGCAACTTTCATTGAAGCCACACCCCTTTGGGGGTGTGGTCACAGGTGAATATTTATTTTCTTGCATTACCCCATCAAGTGGGGAGTCATTTGAAAGGTCTAATCAAGCTCTAAACAACTCCGACCATTATTTGGACATTATCGGCACACCCACTGCCAGGGGGTGTGGTCAAAATACAAATTTGAAAGTTTTGTTTTGATAATTTTGAGGATGTATTTTCATAAAATTACAATATTCTATATTTTATGAAGTATTTCTGCCCTCTAACTTAATTAACAAACAAAATAGGACCAAAATTATAAATATAGTTATGCCTCCTCAGGGGGTCGCCACTTCATAAAATACCCCGGCTCGTAATAAATTTTTTAGAGGGGTTTTGTTTACCATATTTCCTTCCCCCAGGACTGGGCAAGATATTTCGAAGCGATTGTGTTATTTGGAACACTCGAAAATTTCATACGTGACAATAATTGGAGCATTCCTGATATTTTGCTTATGGCAATTTTCAATTACATAAATTCAAATCTCTCTGCCTATTTGTAATGGTGGCAGCTGGTGGCAGCAGTTTTTGTAAATTAGATATGGGGGATTAATAATACATTTACGGTTCCTCAGAAAAGCACAGGAATAGACAGGAATTTCAACTTAAAGTTTGTCCCATTTAGCCCAATGTTATAAGCCAAGTTTGAGTATACGCCACGCCTTCACCCGTTGAACAATCCAAATGAAACTTTGAAGTTGAACATCTATGTCAAAGGTACTGAAGGGGTTACTTCGTTTTCGAATCGGTGAGAATAGGTTTTGGCCAAGAAATTCAGTATTCCGGACCAACGTGCGCTCGTGGGTACTTTTGACCCCTAATATTTTTCTTCAAAGGGGCCATGGAATGATAAGCGCCCTGTGATTCCTATTTTTGACTTGCTTTTTTGGTATAACTCAGAAAATAATCCGGATGCAGGTTGAGAAAGGGTGCCATATTCGAGTAAACTTATATAACACGTAGGATCCCAAGGACTTCACTCACTTGCTTCACTTCACGTCTAAACCACCTCGTCTCCCGGATAATTCAATGTCTAGATTTTTTCCCATGGAAGTGGGAACAATGGAACTCAAATTTCCAACTGCTTCCCGCCGATGTTACAATCTCTTGGGATGGGTCGGCTCATTTCACCTCGTACGTGAATGAACTAAATCCGGCAGAACATGGGGAATTGTACGCGGTTCTGGAGCAAGTTATGTCCGCGTTTGTTCCACTCTTTGAAAAATTACTGACAGAAATGGGATCAGCTGCAGAGGCTGATCCCATTTCAGAGGATTTGAAAAGTCAAGCATACGCCGGGCAAGGAAGCGAGACAGTGCGGGAACCTTCGTGTCGCCATTATCCGTCAGACCCGTGAGATTGCGAGGTCGAGGCGTGCAAATTTTGGTGGAAATGAGCTCGATATTTTTGACACCGGAAAAGGCAAAACTCGGTAAATATTTAATATATAGGGTGGTTAAAATGTCACGCTGCAATTTAAAATTTTTCAATGGAAAAAATTCGTAATTTCCATTAGTTGCCAAAATTTTGCCTCTAAAATTCAACATTTTGATAATTTGGTCATCAATTTTGATGTTGGAGTTGAATAATCAGCAAAAATCTCAACCCCGAATCATCGTAACTAAAGTATTTAATGAAGATTTATGGACTTTTCCCTTTGCAAAATTTCCCATTGTAGCGTGACATTTAAACCACCCTGTATATACGCATGATTTAGAATTTCGGTTGTAAAGTTGTAACCATTGGCCGCGGAAGCAGTGGGGGCGTTCCGCGGCCACTTGTTGTAAATAGTGTGAGATGAAAATTTCAAGCTGAAAGTCAGACTGTGTAATGCTCTTCATTCATTTAAGTCTGGACCATGCACTCTAAATAAAAATGAATAAAATTTACTCAAGGTTGAAAAGAGGATGACACACAACAACAAAAGAAAAGAGGTAAAATTCGTCCAACGTTATTGGGTCACCTCAATGGCGGGTAAATTTTGCACAATGTTGGATCAATTTTACCTTTTGCTTGATTCATCCTCTGTTTTGCCCAACCTTGAGTAAATTTTACCCATCTTAATTTAGAGCATGGCTAACTACTGAAATTAAAGATGTGCAATGTTAAAAATGTGGCCTTCTTATGGACAGACATCGGATATGAATGACCGATAAAATCTCACTCAAAATATCAATGAAAAACGAGCGTTAAAATCCCTAAAATATGACCATAAAAATGACTTGTTTTTTTATTTTTGGCTTGTTGAATACTCTATTTTTATCAAGAAAACAATCTCTTAGACGATTTATCTAGTGCCAAGGAGCCGTTCTTAAATTACATAACGCTAAAAATTGATTTTCTCGACCCCCCCTTAACATAGCGTACATAGGCACGATATCATTGGGGCCTAAACCCCCTCCCCCCCCCCTTCAAGCGTTACGTAATTTAAGAACAGCCCCCAATGTATTAAGTCATCCCAGAAGAAAGTGATTGTTAATTTCTGTAAATTTCTCGCAATGAATTAAACCAGAAAAAAATATTTTTTCATCGTCGTCAGGACATTTGGTATATATTCAATATTTAAATGTTAGAAGTTGGCCAACATTCATAAAATGAACGAAAAAAGCCCCAAGTATGATGGAGAATACGAATATTTCTCAAAACCCGAAAATGACAAATATGCTTTGACCCACGCAGAGGCGTTCCTTGGATTGGGACGACCTGGAGCACATATTGAGTCCGGCCTTTTCAAAACTTATGTAAAATATCTAGTCATTACGACATTGGATGTATCTAGCTTGAAAGTGTCTCGTAAAATTAAGTGCCATCTAGCCCTCTATATCCATCTTTCAAACCGCGGAATAAATTTTACATGAAATAATGTTGGGCTCATTTTAATTTCTTTATCACTGATTGTAATTATAATTTGTAACGTAGCTCATAGAGTTAGAATTTTTGGTTATAATTCCATCCCTTAGGATCAGTACTGAAACCTAAAAAATGGTACCGAGGGAGATCCATAGCTTAACGTTTGCAGGAGTATGCACAACTACTACAATAAGATGCATTAATTCTGGGACCATATATGTAATGGATGTTACGGTCGTGATACGGGAGGGAGAATTCACTGATTCAAATAAAAGGCGAAAAAATGAATGAAGAGTCCTATATTGCATTAGATTTAAATATGTCCGAATTTTCAGAAAGAAAGTGTTCAAATCTAACACTTAATTGCAGAAGAGAATCCATAAAAATCACAAAAGATTTTACATGCGTCGCGGAAAGAGATTGACAAAAACCAGTGTCCTTCGAGAAACGACAATTATCTTCGTCTTGCACCTTGCACCTTGACCATAATTTTTCAGAGCGACTAGTATTGCTCCAGAATTAAAAACTTTTCCATAATACGACAATTTTCTTCGTTCGAATCAAATAATTTAACCTTACAATGCGATGGTGTGAAGTGTAACCCTCCGATTTGGTTGAAATTTTAAAATTTTGTGGTCCAAGTCAATACAACCAATGTTTCTTCAGGCAGTTTGTGCGATGGTCAGAATTTAGCAAAATATTTGAGGTCAAAGTTGAGTAATATGCAATTTTTAGCACCGTAAGGGAATGGAACTAATGGAAGTGGAGTTTGCTTCATCCGCCTGGTAAAAATCGCCCGTTTGTCAGGTTTGACTTCAAATATTTTGGCGAATCCTAATATCTCGCCTGAAGAAACATTGGTTGTACTGACTTGGACAACAAAATTTTAAAATTTCAACCAAATCGGAGGATTACATTTCACACCATCGCATTGTTAGTACTCAGGATGGAATTTTTAAGCGAAACGGCAGATTCTTTGATTTCTATTAAATTACTCCATCACAGGACTTCGGAATTTCAGTACAATGAGTGGTACAAAATGAGCCAAAAGTACAAGCTCTTTTCGCGTCGATTTCACCGAATTTGACATAAAAAATCCAAAATTTATTTTTGGGTAAAAACATCAATATACCATAGGTATTTTCGAATTATATGCAAACACCCCCCCTTCAAAAATTGGTAAAGGAAATTGTGAAAAATGAGAAGGTCAATGTGCACTCGGCACTAAAAGAATAAGACCCCAACTTGCATTTGCAATTTGACTTCCCCCTGGAATACGAACATTTTGATGCATCAAGAGTTTCAAAATTCGAAAATTGGCGGTTTTTTTTTGCATACACATAAATCATTAAAAAAGTCATGGTCCCACTCATTTTCCGTCTGACAACCTGATGCCAGAATTTTCTCCTTATGAAGGGCTACATTTTCAGCTTTTGTTGCCTGACGAGAAATGCGTGGGACCGTAAGATTTTTGGGGTCAAAGTTTCTGATCGAATGACTTATACGGCAAGTGCCGTAACAAACGAGGGCTAATGATATACCAACATTTATTTTTTTTGTATTTTAATAAGACAACATTTAAGTAATCCAGTATGGTTAATTAAATAAGACGCATGATTGAGTGAGTGCGACAAAGTGAGACGGATACGGCACTGACGCGCGATGGTTGTGGATACCCACCAGAACCCGAATCTCACTCTGCCTCACGCTAAATATGGAAAAGAGTTTTGTAGTACACTTGGTCTGGTTTTCATCGAGTACCAAACGGGAGTGTTTCTTCAAAGCAACTTTAAAGCGTTGCCCGTTTTGTGCCTGCCCAAAATCTGTCCTGGGCACTAAATACATAGGTTTAAGCTAACCAAATTCCGTCCAATTAACCAGAAATCATTACAAATCGGGCGTGCAAAATCGGAAGTTTTTAATAAACCGGTTTTTCGATTGTTCGGATTTTTAAAATTGTGGCGAAACCGGTTTTCGTGTAATCGGATTTTGGAAAATTCTACGAAACCGGTATTAGGTTCTTTGCAGAAACCGGTTTTTAAAATCGGCTTTATTGCAAATTGTAAATAGTTCGGAAATAAAATAAACAAAGAATGCAAAATTAATTTTGGATGCCCTACTTACAAACCCCTCGAGACCTATTTTCTAATCATGGAGTTCAATTCTCTATCTCATTTCTTGAAATCAAATGTTACATGAAATTATGAATTGGTGCTGGTAGGTCTGAAATTGTAATCCTATATTTTGCATCACAGATAACTAGGGCTGATGGGTGCCCGCGCCCTGAGAATTTAGGCATTTATGGCGTAGGGCATTTGCCCTATTTTCCCGGCATTTAAATTAATGCCCCCATAAGCTCAAGGTTATAATAAATGCCTAGTACATTTATGACCTCGGCAAATGCCCAAAATTCCGGGCATTTATTTTCATGCCCAGGGCAACCTACAGCCCTACACATAACAACGTTCTCATTAGCTGAAGGTCTATCCCCCTAAGAGCAGATTTGGGTTTAAAATTGTTAAATTGGTGACTAAGAGCATCCGCCTTCGCGAATGAAGCACGTCTGCCTTACATTTCCCCGTGCTTAATATGCATTTCTCTTGCGACGTGCGATAGGACAATTATATCTAGTGTATAGTGCGTGCCGGTACGGCCCTCCGGGCCGTACGGCCTGGAGCCAGCGCTCCATCTAGAAGCATCGTCGGTACGGGCCAGTGTACGTCAATAAATGGGAAAATCATTTTTCATTCATATCCGACGTATGTTTATAGAGCTAGATTTAGCCATGGGTCCAGACTGTCTCTAGGACTCGAACACAGTGGAATAAGGAAATACCCTATTTCAAGGGTTGTTCATAAGTTTCATTGCTAAAAAAATATGTAGGAGCGTGCACCCACTGTGGGATTTTTTGAGTTTTTTTAAAACACTTATATAAAACAGCAACTCCAATTTTATATAAGTGTTTTAAAAAAACTTAAAAAATCCCACAGTGGGTGCACGCTCCTCCATATTTTTTTAGCAATGGAACTTATGAAAAACCCTTGAAATAGGGTATTTCCTTATTCCACTGTGTTCGAGTCCTAGAGACAGCCTGATTTTACCCTTTCTACCAGAATATTACAAGCATTACTGGGACGTCGATGGGATGGATAACGAACGCATCGTCGCCACGGGGATTCTATTTTGCAAATGAAAATATCGCACCGTCAAACATATGTCTTGCCCCTACTGCCAAGCCGATCAGTGGATCCGGTTATCACATCGCCATCACTTAGGAGCATAATCTACCCCCGACGGAAATTGAGATAATCCAGGGTCGGAGTATCGTCTTCAAAAATTCTCTCTCACGGCGTAGCACACCATTCGAGTTGGTGGATCCCACGAGGCGGGGACATCTTAAGTTCATCACGTTTTTCCTGGTCGATCCAGGGACCACAGTTTTGTCCACGGCGAAAGTGCCATGTCAGAAGAAATCCTGGTATTTGGGGCAAGTCAAGGAAATATTGGGGTCAAAGCTTCCCCTCAAAATTGTGGAACGTATCGTCCTCTTCCTGACTTCACACCCGCTCGGGCCGCACGAGATTTATCTTGACGACGATGAGGCCGATAAAGTTTCGGAGGCTGTTCAGAGGGGGCGACTTGACTGGAGGATGTGTCGAGAGGCGTACTACGCGCCTTGTAAGTCCGCCCCTCACGTGGGGCCACATACAGATTTGCCAAAGAAGCGAAATATTTATCCTTGAAAATTTCCTGACAAAGGTGAAAATTTAGATTGGTTTAGATCTCGGGAAAATTTGTACATCCAGCTATCTACGAGTTATTATTTGGTTACAAGATTCAATTAAATTTTGTATTAGAGTAGAAATGTGCAAATAATTTCTGCTAATTAGGTAGTTTGTCGTTTAGTCTTACGTATATGTATGACTTTGTGGTGAAAATCTTTAAATTTAAGATTTAGTTTTTACTGAATTGTTGTATTTTGTAGCTGCGTCTACAAGTGTTGGTAAATAGATAGTACTGGTGACTGATTGGTTAGAAGTTTTGTTAAATTTTGAATAGTTGTCCGTCTAAAAACCCCGAAATAAATTTGTATGTAAAATGTTTAATCACATCGCCCAAATATGTATCTACATGTATATAAAATATTTTTTTAATTCGCTTTAAATTGCCCTAACTTTAGCCTATTTGACTGCAGAAAATGCTTTCACATTGCAAAGTGACAAACTATAGAGGCTGAACAGGCGAAGAATGGCCACATAAATATGGCTTTAAAATCTTCGTGGTGTGAGAGAGATTGTTTCATAAGGTGGGATATATCGGCAGGCTAAAAGGCAATAGCAATCACCCAGTGTGATCGTGGACCAAAGGTAGGTCGCTCTGCGCGATTCAGATGAGATTCCGGTTTCGAGCCCGGACGGTTGCACTACATTTTTGCTAATTTTCCTATGCCAGCCAATATATTTAGCCCACAGTGGGTTGACCGAATTCGTTGAAATTTGCATATGTTATCAACAAACCAATCTATTTGTAGCCCTGTTTTAGGCCTTTTAAGATGGCCTTATAGATTTACTAAGATGTCTGTCTGTCCGTCCGTCTGTGCGCACGATAAATCTCTTTAAACACAAGCTATCGACTTGAAATTTTGCACACTTCATCTTCGGGTCAAAAGTAAGGATGAGTTCGGAGATGGGCATGATCGGCCAAATAGTTGGCCAATAGGGGTCTTTTCCACCCAAATGTGTTGCCATTAACTACCAAGATGGTATTAATGCCATCTTAAAAGGCCCCGCAAAGTTGCTTGGAGTAGGTTTTTTTTAAATTTTATTTGAAACATGAAGAAGTACAATACCTCAGAACCGGAGGTCGCAGTGAAGACTATTTCCTAATAAATAGGGTTGCTCATAAATACAGACTGTAAATCGACTAAAAATTGACGGATTCTAGGTCATCAAGACATGTGCGAACAGATCGCTTCATAGTGTAGT